AAGCCAAAGGTTCTTATTTCACAAATTTGGAACGCCATTGTCATTTCTATGTACAGAGAACATTTGTTAGCCATTGATCATGTTCAAAAGTTGTTGTACCACCAAGTTCCATCGGAAATCGAAGGAAAGAGAACTTTGAGAGCACCTACTTTCTTTGCTTCTCAAGATGACAACAACTTTGAGACGGAGTTCTTTCCAAGAAACTCAGAAGCTGAAAGAAGAATTTCCTTTTTTGCCCAATCTTTGGCTACTCCAATGCCTGAACCTGTCCCAGTTGATAACATGCCTACATTTACTGTCTTTACCCCACATTATTCCGAAAAAATCTTGTTGTCATTGAGGGAAATTATTAGAGAAGATGACCAGTTTTCCAGAGTTACTTTGTTGGAATACTTGAAACAATTGCATCCTGTCGAGTGGGAATGTTTTGTCAAGGACACCAAAATTTTGGCCGAGGAAACCGCTGCTTATGAAAATGGTGAAGATGCTGAAAAGGCATCCGAAGACGGATTAAAGTCCAAGATTGATGACTTGCCTTTCTACTGTATTGGTTTCAAATCAGCTGCTCCTGAGTACACTTTGAGAACAAGAATTTGGGCTTCGTTGAGATCACAAACTTTGTACAGAACTGTTTCCGGTTTTATGAATTATGCTAGAGCTATCAAGCTTTTATACAGGGTTGAGAACCCAGAATTGGTGCAATACTTTGGTGGTGATCCAGAAGGTTTGGAATTGGCTTTAGAAAAGATGGCCAGAAGAAAGTTTAGATTCTTGGTTTCTATGCAAAGATTGTCCAAGTTCAAGGATGACGAAATGGAGAATGCTGAATTCTTATTACGTGCTTACCCAGATTTACAGATTGCTTTCTTGGATGAAGAACCAGCTTTGAATGAGGATGAAGAACCAAGAGTTTACTCCGCTTTGATTGATGGTCATTGTGAGATGTTGGAGAACGGTAGACGTCGTCCTAAGTTCAGAGTCCAATTGTCTGGTAACCCAATTTTGGGTGATGGTAAGTCCGATAACCAGAACCATGCTATTATTTTCCATAGAGGTGAATACATCCAATTGATCGATGCCAATCAAGATAACTATTTGGAAGAATGTTTGAAGATTAGATCTGTTTTGGCTGAATTCGAAGAGTTGAATGTTGAACATGTTAACCCATACTCCCCAGACTTGAAGTCTGAGAATCCATTGCACGAGAAGAAAGCTCCAGTTGCCATTTTGGGTGCCAGAGAATATATTTTTTCAGAAAACTCTGGTGTTTTGGGTGATGTTGCTGCTGGTAAAGAACAAACTTTCGGTACGTTGTTTGCAAGAACCTTGGCCCAAATTGGTGGTAAGTTGCATTACGGTCACCCTGATTTCTTGAATGCTACATTCATGTTGACTAGAGGTGGTGTCTCCAAAGCACAAAAAGGATTACATTTGAACGAAGATATTTATGCTGGTATGAATGCAGTGATGAGAGGTGGTAAGATCAAGCATTGTGAATACTACCAATGTGGTAAAGGTAGAGATATGGGTTTTGGATCTATTTTGAACTTCACAACCAAGATTGGTGCTGGTATGGGTGAACAAATGTTGTCTAGAGAATACTACTACTTGTCAACTCAATTGCCATTGGACAGATTCTTGTCATTCTATTACGGTCATCCTGGTTTCCATATCAATAACTTGTTCATTCAATTGTCTTTGCAAGTGTTTATGTTGGTTTTGGCTAATTTGAACTCATTGGCCCATGAGTCCATTATCTGTTCATATGATAAAAATGTTCCAGTTACTGATGTTTTGTATCCATTTGGTTGTTATAACATTTCTCCTGCAGTTGATTGGATTAGACGTTACACATTGTCCATTTTCATTGTTTTCTTCATTTCGTTCATCCCATTGGTTGTTCAAGAATTGATTGAAAGAGGTGTGTGGAAAGCATGTCAGAGATTTGTTAGACATTTCATTTCCTTGTCGCCTATGTTTGAAGTTTTCGTTGCCCAAATCTATTCATCATCTGTTTTCACTGATTTGACTGTTGGTGGTGCTAGATATATTTCAACTGGTAGAGGTTTTGCTACTTCAAGAATCCCATTCTCCATCTTGTACTCGCGTTTTGCTGACTCGTCTATTTACATGGGTGCTAGGTTGATGTTGATTTTGTTGTTTGGAACTGTAGCCCACTGGCAAGCTCCATTGTTGTGGTTCTGGGCTTCGTTGTCCTCGTTGATGTTTTCCCCATTCATCTTTAACCCACATCAATTTGCTTGGGAAGACTTTTTCATTGATTACAGAGACTTTATCAGATGGTTATCAAGAGGTAACACGAAATGGCATAGAAACTCGTGGATTGGTTACGTTAGACTTTCTAGGTCTCGTGTCACTGGTTTCAAGCGTAAGTTGACTGGTGATGTTTCTGAGAAAGCTGCAGGTGATGCTTCAAGAGCTCACAGATCGAACATTTTGTTTGCCGATTTCCTTCCAACTTTAATTTACACTGCTGGTCTTTATGTTGCATTCACTTTTATCAATGCTCAAACAGGTGTGACCACCTATCCATATGAAATTGATGGATCTACGGATGTGCAAGAGGTGAATTCTGTCTTGAGACTTATCATTTGTTCATTGGCTCCGGTTGTCATTGACTGTGGTGTGTTATTTGGATGCGTTGCTATGGCTTGTTGTGCAGGACCAATGTTGGGCTTGTGTTGTAAAAAGACTGGTGCCGTTATTGCGGGTGTTGCTCATGGAATTGCTGTTATTGTTCACATTGTCTTTTTCATTGTCATGTGGGTCATGGAAGGTTTCAACTTTGCTAGAATGTTGTTGGGATTTGTCACGATGATTTATGTACAAAGATTATTATTCAAGTTTTTGACATTGGCATTCTTGACTAGAGAATTTAAGAACGATAAGGCCAACACTGCATTCTGGACCGGTAAGTGGTATAACACTGGTATGGGATGGATGGCTTTCACTCAACCATCTCGTGAATTTGTTGCCAAGATTATTGAAATGTCTGAGTTTGCTGGTGATTTCGTGTTGGCTCACATCATTTTGTTCTGTCAATTACCTGTCTTGGCTGTTCCATTGATTGATAGATGGCACTCGATGATGTTGTTCTGGTTGAAACCATCGAGATTGATTAGACCACCAATCTATTCGTTGAAGCAAGCCAGATTGAGAAAGAGAATGGTGAGAAAATACGTCACCTTGTACTTTGCTGTGCTCGTATTGTTTGCTATTATTATCATTGCCCCAGCTGTTGCTTCTGGTTCTGTCAAGGTTGATCAATTTGCCAGTATTGGATCTAAGGGTTCCATTGCTTACGGTTTATTCCAACCAAGAAATGTATCCAACAATGATACTGGTGCCTCGAACAGACCAAAATCTTACACTTGGTCTTACTTGAGTGAAAAGTACTCAGGTAAAACTACAGCATATTCTACGAATGCATTTAGATAAGTGCTTTGGCCACCGTGGAAGTGAAACTTGCTTCCACACTTTGTTCTTTTGTTTGATGTTTGATATTTATAGATAAATTTGAAGAATTACTTGTATTTTTTGTTTTATATTGAAGAAAGAATCTGTAAGTTTGGTAAGAAGTCTATATTGGAATGCACGCATGGCACCACCAATTTAACCAAATAGAAAAGAGAGAAAAACAAAAAAAAAAATAGAAGCCACGTTAAGATCGATTACGTTTCAGTCGAACATTCCCCCAGCTAGAACTACATCTACACCTAAAGCATTACAAATGGGGTTTTTACGAGGAAAGGAAATCCCACTATCCACGGAGATATTGTTGGGGCTTTTAACCACAATCAGTGCCTTTTTGTTTGTCATCAAATATCGAATTTTCAAAGATTCACAGACGTCCGGATCTGAGGAGTTGAACTTCCATGACATTCTAGTCTCATTCATCCAATTGGTCCCCAGCACAACCTTGTTCAATCCATGGGTTATTGTGCTGGCCATCTTTGCCGAAATATCAGTCATTTCGTTCATATTTTCATTCCTGGTATTGTTCGTGGGCAGTAAGTTTGTCGAACGGTTTTGGGGACGTTTGGAAGTGATCAAATTTGTTTTGGTTGTGGGTAGTATCACCAACTTGATTTCTGTTTTGATTGCTATTATATCCAATTTGATCAGAGAAGATGCAAAGAATATGAATACGCCATTAGGCGGTGGAATCTCGTACTATTTTGGATTTCTAGTTGTATTTAAACAATTGATTCCCGAGCACAATATCGTCTTGTTTCAAGGATTGGTCAACTTTAGAGTGAAACACTTGCCATTTGCATTGTTGATAATTTTGGGGCTTTGGTCTGTAATAATTAGCCGAGCATCGTACCCAGCTGTGCCATCAACAGTGAGCTTCTTTACATCGTTCATTTATTTGAGATTTTTCCAAGCATTAGGTGCAGAACCTATCTTACCAGTTTCAACCAATGATTCAAGCTCGGGCTCCGTTTTGATTGGCGACGCGTCTGATACGTTCCAATTGACAGAGTTTTTCCCAGCAGTGACCAAACCGTACCTTGGTCCGATATTTAACCAGATATACGAATTAGCAGTTCTTTTAGGAATAGTTACACCATTCAACGATGAGACAGTTCAGCAAAGTAACACAAGAGCGCAAAAGAGACTGGAACAAGTGAATCAAAGCAGCAAGAGTATTGCCAGCTCCGTGGCCGAGAGAAGACGACAAATCGCCTTACAGGTGATTGAGGATAGAATAAATAAAGAGCATCCAAAGTAAGTAGACCAATATGTATAGTCAGTGAATTAGTTATCTGACCCAAAGGTTGGAGATCTTTTGCCCCAATCTAATATTCCAATCTCTTGACATCGAAAAAAAAAAAATTTATTCGAAAAAAAAAATAAAAACATTGATCTTTGACATCGATTCTACGTTCTTTATTCAAGTCCGAATACCAGCAACAGCCGGCTATTGCACACTTTACGCACATCCCAGGCAGCTATACACTCCATAAGTTGAGATAATGTTTGGTAAGTCAGGAGCTTTTAAACCTAGGTACGGTAAAAACAATCAGTCGTTCCTACCTTTGCCTGCGACTTTCAATAGGTTGAGTCAACGTCGCAATCTACCTTTGGTTATCACTGGGATCCTCATATTATGGTACTTTTTTGCTCCCTTTTCAATAATATCAAGCCTATTCGGTTCATCTACGGCGCCCCACTATCCACCGGAACACCCATACTCCAGCAAACACACGATTGCACATCAGTCGAAATTCATATATCCACCAATAGAGCAGGCATCACTTTTGAAACAATTGACTGCGCAAAAGCTTGTTGTTCATCAGTCCAAAATAGGCGACAAGACAATCCTTGAGCCTTTAAGCGTCTTGGATAATCCAGATCCCACTGTACAGAGGATGAAAGAAAACGATGAAAATGGAAAAGACCAGTTCATGAAGGCCAAAAATGCGTTCAAGAATCAAGATCGGGTGGTGTTTAAACCTAAAAGCTTGAAAAACTACCCGGAAGTCGTTATTGTTACTGCTGTCGATTTCGACAAGTACTCGGCAGATGGGTTGGCCAAGATTGTTCAAAACCGTGTTGATTATGCCCATTTCCAAAGATATGGAGTTTATGTGCGTTGGGCTCAGGAATTCATTCCCCAATTGAACTCTATTACTGCATTGACTGATAAGGAAAGATCAAAATGGGTAAGATTGTTTTGCACAAGTGCAGCTATGTTTGCTTTCCCCCATGCTAAGTGGTTTTGGTATCTTGATGAGGATGGACTTATAATGGATATGACGGCCAATGTCCAGAAGCTATTGTTGAACTCGGACGTTTTGAACCCGCAAATGTTGAGAGACCAGCCTTTGATTCCTAATACCGGTTTGATCAAGACCTATAAGAGTATTAAAGCCGAATCGGCTCAACTAATCCTCACACAATCGGAAAAGAAAATTGAGACAACCTCTTTTGTCGTGAGGAATGGTCCAGTTGGTAAAGCAATTTTGGAGACATGGAGTAATGACCTCTATTTGAATTATAGAAGTTTCCCCTATGGTCCTGATTCTGCATTAACACATCTCCTACAATGGCACCCGTTTGTATTGAGTAAAACGACATTGGTACCAGCTAAGACTATTTGTGCATCACACTCTCTGAGCATTGCCAAGGAGTACTCTTACACGGAAGGTGATCTTGTGGTACAATGGAATGACTGTAAGCTGCCTGCTGAATGCGAGGAGATATTAAATGCATACCAGCCAAAAGTGAAGAAACCATGAGAAGAAGAGGAAAAATAAGATGTCGCGTTTTCTGTATGGCCCCCTTTTTATAGATGTTTTTGTATATTCTAAAATGTATCTAAAGACAAGCTGTTTACTTGATCAATCAATTCAGGACTAACATTCACATCGGTTTCGTTCAAATGACCAGTCTTGATTCGTCGAACCTGCTCCCATGTCCCAATGATTGATTCCATTCGCTTTAAATTGAATTCATTATTGCAATTTACTGTGGGTATCACTTGGCCGATGTTGAAAAATACAACGAAATACGCTAACTCGCGAAATGAAGAATGCTCACTATAAGGCAACGAGTAAATACGATACAACTCTTGGTCTGGCTTATGTTTGCCTCTATACTTAGGAGCCTGCGATAAGATATGGTCGGTGTATGTGTACATGGTAGTACTCGCCATCAAATCTGCCACTGCTTGCAACGGAGTGGGTTGGATCGCATCCAGCAACTCTGGCCCTGGCTCTGGCTCTGGATTTGGTCCTGGCTCCTTTTTTGCAGTCTGCGCAAAACTCCACCCAGTTGGCCGCAATCCAACACAGCGTTCAAAAGCTTCAAAGTACCGATTGTGATTGAAATAATTGGAAAGCTCTTGTATTGAGCCAACTATATTCATCGGCACAAGGTGAACAATGCAGTCGGCATCATTGTCACTTCCCAAGTCGTCATCAGTTAAAACCAGGTCAAGGTAGTCGTCCTCGTATGCTTTTAGTATGTCGTATTTGTTTTTTCTGTTGTTAATATTCAGTACGTATATGGGACAATAAAGCTTTTTCAGTATAGCAATGGCTAGCCGCTCTTTACCAATGACGTATGTGCCCACCAATATGAGAAATTTCTTCTTTTTGGTTGTTGTTGTTACTGGTCTCCAAAAATCGGTTATTCTTGATTGCGTCAACATCCCAAACCAAGTGTTGAATAAATTATTAGTCGATTTGTTGTCTTCCTGCTTGGTTAAGTGTTCAAACAAGTCTGCAATGGTATCACAGACCAATTCTTGCTTGGGGAAATTATATGTAGGATTCATGTAGGTTGTGTCCAAATACACTTTATCAATTCTCAAGGAGTCTTCCAACTTGTAACGTCCAATACTGAACCGAGCAAGTAAAGGGTGGTCTAGTATTGTCATGTCGACTCTAAAGTCACCACAATGGAGAATACGGTGCACATTGCCGTCCAAACCAACTGATTCAAAGAGAAAAATCCCTGCACCGGGACAATGGTTTGCTGTTATCGGTGTAACATACAATCCAGGCGAATTGCCATCACTTTCAACACCACCATCGGGGACATCATTTGGACCGTAATCTCTCACCTTGTATCTAGTATCCATAGCCATTTGTTTAATAAATCGGGGATCAATGGAAAAGTACAATGTTAGCAACTTGCCTGTGATCTCAGTGCAATAAATAATTCGTTTATACTTTGCGTCATTGTCATAATCTATGTCATCGTTGAAAACGCGATCGTATGCCCACTTTTTGGAAATGCCTCCGTAGTGGTCAGCGTGAAAATGGGTCAAAAAGTATTGATCAATAATGGCATGTGGCGCAAAGCAAAATGCATCAACTGATACTTGGTACTTTAATTTCGCCTTCCTATCTACAGGGAAAGTCATGGTTTTCAATGCCGAGATTTCATTTCTTCGCAGCCTGGATGAAGTTGCGCTTGGTGTTGGTGGCTTGATGATTTTTGGCTTCTTTTCGGTGTTGGTTTCGGAATTTACGTATCGTATTTTCTCCTTTTCAATCTTCCTTTTCTTTCCATTTGTAGCAACCGTGGTATTCTTCTTCGGTGATGGAGTTTGCTTTGTAAGCGGCAGCGTAGGCGTAGTTTTGACGATTGGTTTCTCCTCCACAAACGTGACGCGTACAAGACACGTATCTACGTGATCGGTTTTATCTCTTATATCCAATGATGATATGTCAAGATCGCAAACAGGGCACATGATAGTTGGTTCATTTGAGGTGGATGCATGTGGCTTAGTGTCTTGTGGATGGGGATCATTGACTTGTTGTTGGAATAAAATCGAGGTATTAAGATTGACCTTAGGTTTTGACTCCCTCTCATCTGTGGTTTCATTCATCTCATTTTCAGGCTCCATCTTTATTATAGGTTCCAGGTATAGTTCTTCCTCGCACCCCACCATAAAGCTGTCGCTCTTGTCGGTTTCTTCTTTGACTTGTTGGGACCGCGTCACGTTCAAGCAATCTTCATTTTTGATTTGCTTCTGGGTGAAGTCGAAGATTGACCGCTGGATGCCCTGCTTTCTTGGACTATTCTTGTCTGTAACTTTGACCATTATACCCCTTCAAAATGATACATATCATCGTTCGAAACTAGGAGGAAGCTAATTTTTGCAGCAATGGCAAATTTTTATTTATGAATGTTGCGGCTAATTTTATTTTTCTCTGCGCTTTTGAAGATGATGTTTCATCAGATCAGGGCCACAACAAAGATGGGACTTCTAACAATCATTAGAAACCAGAAGAGGAAGGATAAGGAAATACGAATGTTGGTCCTAGGACTTGACAATTCAGGCAAGACCACAATCGTTAAAAACATGTTGCACGAAGATGTTGACATCATTTCGCCAACAATGGGATTTCAAATACAGTCGTTGCCGTACAAAGGTTACACACTAAATATGTGGGATATTGGTGGACAAACCAGTCTAAGAGCATTTTGGAGTAACTATTTTGACAAGACAGATGTAGTTATGTGGGTTATTGATGGTCTTAGTTTGGAGCGAATAGAGGAGTCGTACCGAGAGTTGCGTGATAAAATTATCGAACAAGACAGGTTAGTAGGAGTGTATTTGCTAATTGCTATAAATAAAACAGACTTGATACCGGAGGGGGATTTGAAGTCATTGAAGGAAACTGTGAGTCGGCTTTTGCAGTTGGAAGAGGTGATTCCTGAACGAGATCATTGGAATATCGAGTTGGTTAGTGGCAAAACGGGAGCTGGGATCGGAAAGGTTTTGGATTGGGTTATTTCGAGGGAGTATTAACGGGAATGAAGTCGAAGCACAAAATATAAGGTCATTTTAGATTGGCGATGGGTCTTATAAGTAAATTGTGGAAGAACGAAAGTTAGTAAATTCTTCCACCGTGATTTTAGTGTTATCGATTTATATTTCTTGAGCTTGGTGGGGTATCTGCATTGCTACGGTTTGTGGCATATTAGGGTTTGAGCTATTGTACGTGGAATGTTTAAACATCACTCACGGAAGCAGTAGCCACAATGAGATCGTTCTGAGGACATTATTGTGATACATTAGAGCATGTTTTGATAAGAGTTTCGCCTTAGAGAATTTAATTGTTTGAAATGGAACTCCATTCCGTTTCAAAACCCATGAAATATAATTGACTGGTCATTCGTCACTGAAGGCCAATGTTTACATTTATTCCATTTCCATTGCCACTAGCAAATACAATCACTCAATGCTCCAAATTAGGAACTGTTATACGAAATTCTTGATGCATATATCATTAAAGGTTAAATGTTGGATAATGTGTGGATAACGCGTCAATTAGATGAGTTTTGTTTGTCTGTGTATGTGTACTAAGAAAAAATAATCGCGTCAATAAAAACCACAAAACCAATTAAACATGATGAGAGAAAAAAATAAATATCAACAAAAGTATATGCACCAATTTAACTCCTTTGGGTAATAGTACAAAGTATAAAAGAACTCAACAATTTATTAAACAAGAGATTGACTTTCTTTATAAAACCAAGAGCCAAGTCCGCTCATTGTTTAATCATCATTCAAAACCCCAAGCCACAAGCACTTTTTTTATATCTTGACAATTTTTTTGCTTCTTTTCAGTCATCATCACCACCAATCATCCATCGTTAAGGTAAAAAAGTTCTATTTATTACCCATATTGTCACCTTTTGAATCAACTGGCTTTACATATGTCAAACGCTAATAGAACAGGCCGAGCAATGACCTCGCAGAAAGAAAGCATTCAAACTCTATTACAGAATTTCCACCATACTGTCTTGTCAGAGAACAGTGACTTGATTGAATTACTCGGAATTGCAAAGCAGTTGAAATCGACTTCACCGCCAAATGCCCCATTTACTCTATCTTCAATAGTCAGAGGCTTATACACGAAGAATAACAGGCTTATATCCCTCGTTGCCAAGACAATGCATGAATTTGACCAATATGGTACAGAAAGGTTTAAAAACTTCATTAATGACTTCATACTATGGATACAAGATGACAGCATTGTGTTGTTTGAGAAATATATTGCCCAATTGAGCACTGTTCTTGCTGACGATGCTGCTACGTTAAAAAGATTAGTGGGTCCAATCAATAGCTTGAGGGACTACGCAAACTTTATTGGTGACTGTATCCATTACTTGAGAAATCCTTTCATCCTTGAAAAATTATCAACAATTTCAAAACAATTACGTGCTATTCATGACAATTATGAGTATGTCTCCCACTCAAGAGAAGTAAACAATATTCAATTCTCCAATATCCGATCATTTAGGTCCACTGTTCTCAAGCAAAAAGAACTCGTATCCAGCTATTTCAAGACCGATCAGATTATACGAAGAACTGCTCATGCCAACATTTCCCTCTGTGGAGACCAAATCGAATTGTTGCTTCTCGACTTGATTGGCACCGGTGATTACAATGCGTTGGCAGTTTTAGAAATCACAAGGAACAGCCAACACGAAATATGCAGGAGTTTGAGATACCCTCCTTTCAGAGTTAACGAATTATCCATGTCGCATTCAGGCCAAACAATTGAATTGAAAGCTATAAATTTCCTGTCAACAGAGAATCCTGGGAGCTCGATGCAGATACACTTTGAAGACGAACTATTATGTGACAAATGGATTAGGCACCTTTCAAAGTTGTGTCCTTTAGAGCGTGATAACTCGCCAGTGAGTGAAAAGTTTTTGATCAACTCAGACTCCAGCTCTTACAACATGTCGGGTTTGGGGATCAATATAGTGTCTGATGCAGATCGTAGAGAGGCTGTTTCGAATAAGGTTCAAGCTCAACCTACAAACAGTGCCAATTCTTTTAAAGAACCGTTTGAATCGCCTGCCTCATCACCAACAAAATCAAGAGCTAGCTCGGAGTCTATAAGATCACAATATGAAAAGTCGTTGCCAATCATGAAAAAAGTCATTACCGAGCAGCGCAATTGTGATCATGATGATGACGATAATGACGATGACGAAAAATTGTTTCAAATCATCAATCGAAGAAAGTACTCCGACGATTGTCTGAATGATGAGGAGAGACCAAAATCATATCAAGCTGAATACTGTTCACCAGAAAGTGTGCAATCAATGGATAATGACGATATTGAGGGAAAACCTATCGCACCTCCTCAAATTTACCAAAACACATTTGCTACTTCTGCGCCTGATTTGGGAATAAAACCCAAGATGTACCAATTGTCCACTGGCTCTGCCGTTGATATCACCAATTTTGGGCAGTCACATCAACCATCATTCAAAGGATATCCAGAAAAAAGACCAAGAAGGAAGTCAATATTAACTTTCTTTAAAAAGTCATCCAAAGTGGACTTGAACGAATCGCAAGAAAGCTTGACCACAATTGCACCAAGGAAAGCCGAACTGCAACCCCCTCAAGTACCACCTAGTGCTACTCAAGCAACTGCGTCTGAAATCGACTCAAACCCTGAAAAAACTATGCCTAGATCAGTTTCTAATATCCCAGCACCATTTGCGTTGCCATCTTCAACCTCTACATACTTTTTCAAACCACATGTTAATGCGTCTGTGACAAGTATAGCCAAACAGCATAACAATTTGGAAATTCCTACGGATTTGAAAGATGTTATCAACCTGGAGCTAACTTCGGATGTTTACGTTTCCGAGTCGTCTCCTAAAGCAATCAAAATTTCTAAATGGAAGCATCAATACGGGAAATGGGAAATGATTACAGCTTCAGAAAACGTTTTTGTGAAGATTGCTGTTAATCAAGAGGCACAAAAGAGTTGGTTCCTTGTGTTCAAAGAAGAGTATGATGAAGACATTGAAGAGATTATGGACAAACCGGTATTGTTGCTTGATATTAACTCCTCAACCGAGGTGAGATCTTCTTCAGGTTCGGATCTACAGATTCAATCGAAAAATGCAATCAACAAAGAAGCCATGCAAATAATGATTAGATGTTCAAAGGGGGCACTCATTTCTGAAATCAGAAGCAATCTTCAAAATTGTATTGGCATGGCCACTAATTCAACTCGTCACCACTCATTAAGTGCCTCCAAGTTACAAACCTCAGATAATACGTTGTCTTCGTCGTTGATGGATAATCCTAGCAAATCATCCACTTTTACCAGCTTGAGCTCGCTTTCTAATTCGATGAATGGCGACGACTTGTCTAACGCATGTATAATCAACAATCCCAATGCAATTCATACAAGAGAAATTGAAATGACTATTCGTTTGCAAAAACAACTACAGTCTTACTCACAGCGGAACAGCCCATCCTCGTGGAAGATAATGTCAATGATGAACTTGTGTGTTGAAAAGATAGTCGATCACCATCAAGTTGTATATCATTTACGATTAAACAGTGGTAGTGACGTTATCAGTTGGGTGATTACTGACGACAGGAAGAGCGAAACTATCGAAAAGATTGGAAAGGCTGGATTGTTGATAAAGATAAGCGAGTCTGAACTTTATATGCTTGAATGCAGAGGGAGGAAGGAGTTTAAACAATTGTATGAAATATTTTAATCTGCATAACTATTAATAATGTATAAAAGAATGCAAAATAATATTGTCTGTAATTTTCTTTTTCTTCTTGTTCCACTTATTTCGCAGCCAATCCACCACCAACGCCTACACATGAAATTACTAGCTTTCATTACATTTGCATCTGCTGTTATGGCAAGAGTAGTTCTCAAGAACGAAATTAAAGACCCCACACTCCACCCAATCAAAATTGTGGGCAATAAATTTTACAACAGTGGAACCAACGAACAATTTTTTATTAAAGGTATCGCATATCAGAAATCGCGTGAAGAAGGAGAAGTCTTTGACACAACAACCGAAACCAACTACATTGATCCATTAGCCAACCCATTTACATGCTTACGTGATTTAGACTTTTTGAAAGAGCTTGGTGTCAATGTTGTGCGTATTTACCAAATCAACCCAAATGCCAATCATGATGTTTGCATGGACGCTTTTGCAGAAGCTGGAATCTATATCTTGGCAGACTTGTCTGAACCATATACATCTATCAGAAGAGACTTTCCCAGATGGGATACGGAGCTTTTGAGTCGCTATCAGTCTGTGGTTGATTCTTTGCAAGAGTATAACAATGTGTTGGGATTCTTTGCTGGCAATGAAGTGGCCAATTCTCAACAGAATATCGATGCAGTCCCTTTTGTAAGAAGTGCTGTTCGCGATGTGAAGCAGTACATTCATGACAAAGGCTACAGAAAGATTCCAGTAGGGTATGCTTCTAATGACGATGCTTCTATCCGAGCAAATTTGGCCAACTATTTTGTATGTGATCTCAATGATGAATATTCTCAGTCTGATTTCTTTGCCATCAACGTGTATGAGTGGTGTGGATACTCAACATACATGACATCAGGATACCGTGAATTGACTGCCGTTTTCAACAATTATCCAGCTCCAGTATTTTTCAGTGAATTTGGCTGCAATATAATTACGCCGCGCCCGTTTACAGAAGTTGAAGCGTTGTTTGGGTCAACAATGAGAAAAACATGGTCTGGAGGTATTGCGTATGAATACTTTGAAGAGGTTAATCACTATGGGATAGTCCTGAATAAAAAAGATGGTACAATTTCGAAGTTGTCCGACTTTGAAACATTAAAAACAAGGTTCAACGCAGTGAACCCTATTGGCATCCCTATCGACGAAGTAAAGAGCCGACCAAGTTTAACATGTGACAAGCCATCAGATACTTGGAAAGTATCGCTCGAGCTACCACCATCTCCCGATGTTGGCAAATGTGAGTGTTTGTGGCAATCATTGTCATGCGTTGTTGTCGATAATGGGTCATTCGATGAAGAGGCTTTACTTAAAGACCTTTGCTTCAAAGTTGACTGCGATGAGATAAATGCCAATGGAAGATTGGGAAAGTACGGGAAATACAGCGATTGCAATCCGATAATCAGAGTATCCTATGCATTGAATAAATACTATGAACAGACGGGAAAAAGAAAAGATATATGCACGTTTCAAGGTCGTGGTGAAATTGCGGGGGGTTTTAACGACTTGAGTTCAAAATTTGCCACAGATGGTCGAAATTGTCAAAGTTTATTGGACAAGGTCCACAATGATTACAATACTGAAGTCGTCGACCGCAAGTCAGATGTGGAACCGGATAATGCAAGTAATACAGAAGAAGATGAACAGCTGACAGCGCCACTGGAAACACACGATTACAAAAAGCCAAAATCCACCAAATCAATAAAGAACCCTGGCACAAGTAAATCCAAAATCATCAAATGGCCCACCAAAAAAGAAACCTCATCTGCATCCACAATATCTCCACCTTTCCAACTTTTACTCAAACTCTTTTCATAGTTAGTCCTTTTTAGGACCCCAGTTTAATCCCAAAAACCCTGATCCTTTACCAAGTCTCGCAATTTCTGCTCTTTCGGGTTCAACAATGTATATTCTTCTATGGCCTCTTACATCCAACGCCATATACTCAAATTTGGTATTCCACCATGAGTTATCAACTTGTTCCAAGGTCACCACACCTATTCTACCAGTGCTTGTCTCAACTTGGAACTTCATCACCAAGTGATCCTTACCATCTTTACCTCTAGTCTTTGAGCTTTGGACAGGTCTATTACGCACCCATTTATCGGCAGCAACCATTCCATAAGCTTTCAATCTTTCTCCTGCCGGAAAACCCAATGTCTTTTGTGCTTGTTCATTTTGCTCAATGAGTTTAACAGCTTTGTTGAATGTACGCGTATCCCCAGATGGTAAAAGTAGTTCTGAAAGTATAAGATAAATCACCAAGAGAGCGACTGCTGCTGCTCCCAAAACAATAACCGAGGATAATGAAAATGTAAATGCGCGAGTGATCCTGTTGAGAATTCTTTTCCCTTTGAAATCTTTGTCATGGGCAGGTGGTGGTGGTGGTGCAGTCTTTGTTGAGTACTGGAGTATTGATGATTTGAAGTTGGGTAATTTCTGCAATAATAATGGTTGCGGAGATGGTGAAGAAGTGATGTATGATCTCGCGATTATATTCGCTGGCAATATGAATTGAGTGACTGGAAGCTTGCCAAGTCTAAGCGGTCTTAAAAGTAGTGGATTTGATCTTAATATGTTCATTGAGGGAGTACACAGATGGTAAAGAAAGTTCCTTCTAAGTTCTTTGGTGGTTCTAAAAAAAAAAAGGAAAAGAGAAAGAAAAAAATTGTCAGTCGGTATTGCAAACTGAGCTACCAATTCTAAGTTGAGGTACTTGAGAAGTTGGTGAAGCGACAGAGTATAGTCCTGAATGTTTAAGGTTTAGAATATCGGCTTAGCTATGAATGTATGCTCTAAAGCTCCTTGACTGCTAGATTTTAAACATTATTCAAAATATTTGTGGAATTTAGAGCCAAAATTTCCTAAGAAAAGAAGTAAAGTTCAAAGGGGTGCCAAAAAAAGTTATCTTGTATCCTGAAAATTTAAAAGTAGTTCTTATACTTCCTGATTTGCTAGAAAGTAGGAATACATAGTATAGACCTTGTTTTAACGCCTTCAGAAACAAATATAACGAGTGCAAAATTTAGTTTTTAATTTTGTATGAGGAATATTTGTGGTACATCAATCTACAAACAATGCCCTTTGGCATAGTGGTCGGCGCCGTCTTATGACGACTGACGCCAAATAACACAGTCCGAGTGGCCTAGTTGGTTAAGGTATTAGTTTCCGGAGTTAATGATCGCGGGTTCGAGTCCCGCCTTGGACTGTATTTTTAAACAGATTGAGGGAGATAAGTGAGTTTTTTTTTTGGGACTTTCAGTTACAACCAGAGCTTCGATGGCTTTATCTTGCGTAGAGATTCAACTTTGTGGAGGCTAAAATGTGTTTTCTTTATTTAATTGTCTGGAATTCTTGTATAATTTTTGTATCGCATCAAGACTCTAAAAGTTGAGTAAGTATCTAAATATCTTCTGTCATAGAGGTTGAGCTCGTGACAGTAACGCTTTCGTTCTCTCTTTAGAGTAAAGACTTCGAACTGCGTGCTAGAATAAACTACGCACAGAGAGCAAAGGTTCACAGAGCACGAGTTTGTTCGTTTATCTCTGAATTCGTAGTAAGAATGGAACGAAATCTTGGCAGTGACATCCCTCATAGACCTAACACTTCTGCAATCTTTCCAAATACGACTCTAATGCATCAAGTGAGATTTACCAGTCCAGATAAAAACTACATCTTATGACCTAACTCAGGTCTCACCTCCACTTTAGTCAATAATGCACGCAGAACCTTTATTAATTAACTATACATTTATTCCAATTTACCACCCTTTCTTTCAATCAAAGCTTTTCTGTCTTTGTCCAAGTGCAATTTGGTGATGACAACTTTAGATGGGTGAATGTTCAAAGGCACTGAAGCACCGTTGGACTTTTCCTTTTGTAATTTTTCCAACTGTACGGAGAATTTCAATCTGTAGACACTGTTGATTTTACCTTCTGAACCCTTCTTTGATCCTCTGACGACCAAAACTTCGTCATTTTGTCTGATTGGCAATGACTTGATGTTGTATTGTTGTTTCAATTCTTTTGACAATGGAGCAGACATGATGACTCTTCTCTCAACAGAAGATGAGGAGAAGTGGGCCTTTCTGGCTTTTGAACGAGATGATGAAACGTCTAATCAAAAGTTAGTATAAAGATCAAAACATCAACGTAAACAAGTCAAATGACTTGAAATGGTTCCGACATACCTTGTGAGATCTTAGCCATCTTTGTTTGTAGGTTATGGATTAAAAGTTACTTCAACAGAACTGGGAAGTGAAAAATTTTTATTTTTGGAAAAGGGAAAAAAAAAAAACTTCACCAAGCGAAAAATTTTTCTTTTTTTCTTTCATCAATATACGCTACCATCATTTTTAGTGTATGAAAACAAAAAGAACCCTAGCACGTGATATGAAATTCAGTCTAGAATACCAATAGCCTGTAACTCATGCAGTGTGATTAGATTCACCCTGCAAAAATAAAAAAAAGCTAGGTCCCTTGGAGATGGTTTAGCTAGTAGCAAAAAGGTACTTCCCTTACATTCTAATTAACTTTGTATTATTGCTTCTGTCCCGAGATTAAGGTGTCATTTTGCTATAGAATGCGCTAGAACAAGAAGATAAACACCAGAGGGCCGCTCTAACCACCCATTATATGGCGAAAGATGTTTGAGGCAGCTTGCAAACAGTTTGACAAATATTGCTGCTAGCCAGTCAGGCTGAAGCTTCCACACATGTGCCGAAGTTTGGTCAATGTCGCAAAATTATTGTCGCACATGCAGTTTCGGCAGCACCGTTCCCAAACTTTAATCTTTTTTGCTCCTTATCATCCCCACTCCATTAAAACTACGCACACCACACATACACCAATCCGAATCATGTCTACAAACGAAGCAGCTATCTCAGACGAGGAAGATACAGAAATCCTCCATGGGTTTGGGGCTCAACCTATATCCAGAAACCAAATGAGAACAACAAAACGTTGGTCATTCCACAACAACGCCCGACCAAATTTAGTTGATTTGCCGCTGGAAGTAGGTGGACCTCCAAGGAGGTTGAGTGACATCACCGGAATTGATGGGGTCCATAAACAGATTGACTCGTTGAGTGAACTAGGAGGAGCGCAGTTGTACTCCACGGAGTCTGGTAGATTGTTCCATGCGGGGAAAATCATTATCGCACTCGCTGGCTTACCTGGCAGAGGCAAAACTCACTTGTCTGTATCGTTGACTAGATATTTGAGATGGTTGGGGGTGAAGACACACTCTTTTCATTTGGGTGACTACAGAAGAGCTAGCGCAGAAGACGACTTGACTCACGACTTGTTTGTCCCAAGCCCCAAAAGTGACAGAGCCCATGCGTTGAGAGAAAAAGTTGCAAATGAATGTCTTAATGATATCTTAAATTTTTTCAAAAATGACAAAGGACAAGTTGCTATATACGATGCCGTGAACGCTATTCCTGAATTTAGATTGCAATTGCATAGGAGATTCAAAGATTTGCAGATACAAGTTTTGTTCATTGAGAGTCTAGTGACTGATGATTCGATTGTGATGAAAAACATCGAAGAAGCTGCAAAGTCATCCCCGGACTACAATAATTGGGATTACGACGCCGCGTACAAGGACTATAGCGAGAGAATTAGAGCTCTTGCTCCATACTACCAGGAGATGGGATTGGATCACGAAGAAAAAGACTTGTCTTACATCAAGTTTATAAACTTTGGAGAAAGAATTGAATTGCACAACTCCAACTACGGCTACTTGATCAACAAGGTGGTTTTCTACCTCATGAATGGAAGCATAAAATCAGGATCAGTTTTTTTGGCGAGATGTTACAACAATACTCTAGACTTTAATCAGGACCCTCCATTGGATAAAGACGGATTAGCATATGCTAAAATTTTGACGGACACGGTGATAGGGCAACTCAAATCGGAGGGCAAGACTTACCTCGATAAAATAGAAGGAAAACCCGAATTACACAGAGAGCCATCTGTGGACATGAGACAGCCGGCAGCTGGGGTAGATGGTGTTAATGACAATTCTTTGGTGGTATGGACGTCAGTGAAAAAGAGGACTATTGAGTCAACCCAGTTCCTCCAGCAGAAAAACATTAACGTGAGACATAGAATTCAGTTATCACAAAAGAACCCTGGAGTAGTGGGAACCCTTAGTGAGGAGGAAATTTCCAAGAAGTACCCTGAAGCGTATGCCCAATACATTAAGGACCCTTATCATTATCGTTTTTCCCGCGCAGAGTCCTATCATGACTTGGCAATCAAAATCGAGCCATTGATTTTGGAGATGGAAAGAATGAGTGGGGACTTGTTGGTCATTGCAGACGAAACTATTCTCAGAGTGTTGTATGGATATCTTATGTCGTGCTCTTGTTACGACATACCTACATTAGACTTCAAGAGCGACGAAATAATTGAGATTAAATTTAATGCGTATTCAAACAGCGCGAAGAGAATAAAAATCAAAGAACAAGAAAGTGTATAGTCTTTAACAATAAAATAAATGTTGCTGCCAACTGCTACTTACACCTCTGATGGCTTCACTCAGGAGTTCCACCCAGGAGATGGGCCACATACTACTGATGGATCAACAACACAGATATCTGATATAGTTTTAAACGCTGGTGGTGAAGATCGAGATAAGCCAAGCGCACCAAACGATACGCCAATGGGAGAATTACGAGCAGCACTCACCACACTCCAAGATCAAATCAATGTGTTCCTAACAGATCGAATGAGGGCTGAAAAGGAAAATGATACAGACGATATAGAACGAAAAGTTTTAGACGAAGGAGTTGAAGAGGATAGCGAAAGTGAATAATCATTTGTGTATTATATCTATTTATTTTTTTTCACCAACGATTTTTGTCATGCTATCAACAGTCTTTTCGAGCGTAGTTTGTAGATAATCTTGCTTAATTTTTAGATTCTTTTCCGTATCCTTGTACGATTTACCGTCTTCTGATAACTGTTCAAGGTATGCTCCTGTTTTTTCCGCTATAAAAGCTTTTCCCACTCCTTGCCATACCGTTTCATCGGGGCTGTTTAATGCATTTAGCCTTGAGTTAGTGGATTTGATAACATTTAGATTTGTATGCACACGATCCAACTGCAAGTTCACCATTGATAATTCTGCTCTGGACTTATTTAGTTGATTGTCCATCTCAATGAGGACTTTTTGTAGGGCTTCTTGATTCATACTTTGGCTGTGTAATGGTGTGAACAGTTAAGATCTCCTTACTTTTCTTTTTCATTTTTTTTTTTTTTCTTTGTTAATCAACCATTTGTAAATTCATTCAACAAAGATAAAGGCAATGTTGGTAAGAAATAGAGTTCCCATTCAAAGGGTCGCCTCTTTTGGGATCAGGGTGTTCTCAATAACACTGTTATTGTGCAATCAAAGCAGACTAGCAAATCCTGCATCACTGGGGGGTGACAAAACTGTTGAGCATAATATCAAATCAGAAACAAACCGACTCTCAAAAACTGGTAGTAGGTTCTGGGATAAGGGTCATGTTTATCGCAATGAGAAGACTGGAAGATATGAAATTCAATTAGATGGCAAGACATTGCGCACACCTTTGGGTCTCCCATTGACTTTACCCGAAAGCAAAAAGCAATTAGCCTACTTGATTGCGCATGAATGGATGCACTTGCCCAAGATATCCTTGAAATCTAGTGCTTTGCCATTGACAGGATTGGCAGCTAGAGCCATTGATTTAGAGTCCAGAGGAAATCAAAACAAAGCAGGAAATAATGGGGGTGAAGAGATGCTCGCCATTGAGGATTTGAAACTTAGCATGTTAAAGTACCTCGACACTGACACTTGTCTTATATTTGCAGGAGCAAGAGACTGTGATGGGAAATTGAGACAAAGACAAGAAGAACTTTATCGCCCTTTGATAAAAGAGTACAATGATTTTTTCACAACATATGGATTAAGCAGAAACTTGCTCAAAGAAAATGAAAGAATCGAATTGAAATTTTTAGACTGTGAAAAGGATGGCTTGAGAGGAAATAAACAAAGCTTGAAAACGCAACAGGTGGTGATAGATTGGTTGGACCAATTGAATATTTTTGAATTCATTGCCTTGGAGAAATCCATTCTCACTACAAAATCGTTTCTTTGTGCCGTATCGGTCTTGCGATCAAATGTGTCAGATGAGTCAAGGATGAAGGAAGTATTCCAATTGAACAGGGACTCCAATGACCTATTCTGGCACAAAACTGTCGAAGAAATTATTGAGTTGGGTAATTTGGAAACGATCTTACAAACTGGTGAGTGGGGAGAAGTAGAAGATACGCACGACGTTGAGAAACGTGATTGGTTGAGAAGCTTAACTAGTGCTGCTCTTTTAAGTCACTAGAATTGTAGTTTAGGATAGAGAGATCTTGTACATATTAAAATGTAGAAAACGCGTAAACAATAAAATTTAAACTAAAACACAATAAAAAGAAAAAGTAGTAAAACACACTGGTGAGGAGTAGACTTTATAGTTATAATCAATCGCTATTAGACAAGGAAAACAACGTCGTACCGTTACATAGTAACTCGAAAGGACCACACGTTTTTACAAAAGACTTCACTCGCATTCCAAGAGGGCAAAGAAACCAGCTACAATGGAACAACAAGAGGCAGAGGAAAATGAGTATCTAACTCCCATAACGCAGTCGAAGAAGGAGGAGTTACTACGACTTGAATCTGCAGGTAAAACGCCAAGAAGAGTCAAAGTATATTTACTAAATGGAGATGACTGGATAGATAATGGAACCGGGTTTTGCGTCGGAGAGATTGATGAAGAGACCAAGATGCCTTACTTTCTAGTGCGAAAAGAATCGAAAATGGATGAAATAATTCTCAAATCTAATCTAGAGGGGAGCATTCAGTACCAGCGACAGCAGGATACTCTTATTGTTTGGACCGACCCTTCTGGATCGGATCTAGCCTTGTCGTTTCAGGAAACAGAAGGCTGCGCCGATTTGTGCGACTTCATCATCAAGGTGCAACAGGGGAACTACAGTCCCAACATATCATTGTATTATGTTATTTCCAGACTAGCTGAAGGAGATGATATTACTGAACTAATCACTGGCCCAATTCGATACCCAACCACGCTACCGAATGAGGGGAATTTGGAACGTGTTCTAGAAAGTTTAATTCAAGGAGCCAATTCGCAATTTACAAGAACCAATATTCTGGACTACTTGGTAGAGAGCAAGTACTTTGAGAAGCTTATGAAAATTTTTGAAATTGCTGAGTCTAGTGGTAACACCACTGCCTTACATGATTTGAGTAGCATAACGAAGGTGATGATATCATATAATGAGCCGTCATTACTTGAGGAAATGCTATCGTCTGAAAGAAATATATATATACTTGCAGGCATCTTGGAGTATGATTCTAACTCACCCGGATCCAAACCTGAGCATAGGGCACTTTTGGAGAATCGGTTGTTTAAAACTGTGATTCCGGTAAACGAGCTGGAAATTTTCAAGAGAGATCACTCCTTAACTGTTTTAAAAGAAGTTGTATTGACGAGATTCCTTGATGATCAAACCGCAAGCGAGTTCAACTCGCTAATACATGCAAACCAAATCAAGGTTTTGGAGTACTTGAAAAGTGCTGGAGTACTCGAGAAATTGTTTAATATTTACGAAGACGAGGTCGATGTTGAACTTAAACGTGATGGGGTGAAAATGCTACATCAATATGTACTAATTGCCAAATCAATTCAAAAACATGATTTTTTTGCACTGGTTGTCAAGTCAGGGCTATTTGCGATGGTTAAATTTGCGTTAAGTGATTCCGAGGATAGGATACGAATATTGGGTACTGAGTTAATTGTTACCATCATAGAGCAAAATCTCGCTTCGACGAGCTCAAGTGCAACAGAGCAAGCAATTGATAATTCAGAGCCCCCGATCCGGCCATACTTGGACGAGAATAACCCTAATAATACCCTCGGAAATGGATCGAATGAAAAAGAGGAAATTCCAGAGAACAAGTCTGGATTAATTGCATTTGGTGTTAGTTTTTTGTCGACTTTATGTGACATAATAGCCGACGACGAGCACATAGGGTTGAAGTATCAGGCGTTTGAAGCATTGAAAACGCTACTAGACCAAAGCATGCTAGAAAATGTGGGAGACACATTCCTGGAGCAACTCACATACAAACTGCAAGTGGAAGAGAGAAGTTTAAGCCAAAAGGATACCGAGGGGTCTATTGAGGATAAAGTTGACGGAGCAAACAGGTGTAATCAGTTGAAAGCTTTCTATATGAAAGTGGCACCAAGATTGTTTGCAAAATTGACCGCAATCGGTGGTTCTAGCGGACCGGTTGAGCCAATAACACGAGCAGACTCAACATTGTTTCTGCTACTTTGCGAGTTTATCATATTTGGCGCAAGTGAGCGCGACATTGCAGACTTTAAGAAATTCATTATTGAATGTAAAGTTTTGAAAGGAATGGTTTCGCTATTAAACTTTGAGTGCAAAAAAGTTTTGAGACTCCACGTTGTGAGATGTTTGAGAAGCATTGTTTTACTCAATGATGATGAGTTAACTGATTACTTGTTAGAAAATGATATCCTCGGAGGTTTATTTCTGTATTTTGAATCAGTCTCAAATCAAAATGACATGTGCAATTCAGCATGTTTAGACTTTTTGAATATAATTCGAACCCAAAGCGATGCAAAAAACTTTGGAAAGAGGAGGAACTTTAAGTTGATTGCCGAATTTTTAAGTAAACACCATGGCCAACTCTTACAATCTGTATCATGCATGATGATTGGACCCAATTTAGCTACCCTTGTCGAAAACAACTTCAATGAAACTGAGAGCTTGACTTTGGGAATATGTGGAGAGACAAATCTTGAGCAGCTAGGAATGCACGAAAGTTTTATGCGTAATGGGTTCAAGTGCCATGAGGATATTGAAGAATTGAGTTTGGGAAATATCCATCGTGATGCCTCGAAAAGTTCTGGTGATGACTTGTTGTGTGTTGTTTCATCACGCAATGGAAGACGCAAATCAAAAGAGGGACCAGATGAGGAAGATGCTAATGCTGAGCATAAGTCATATACAAATAGTTCAAAAATTGGAGACAAAAGACCGCGGGATCAGCATCAAACGTCGGATATAACAATTACAAGTGTGACAAAACGAAGAAGCTATATTGAAACGAAAGAAGAAAACTGTCTTGAGGAACGCCTCGCAGAAAAGACATCGACTTCTCGTGTGCATGATTCATCTCCGAAGGATATTCACAAACCCGATGGCTCTGCGGATAAAAAAGAGCTTGCGACTGTCCAGGGAACACTAATTGAAGCTAGTGGACATGGAGGACGCGATGGTTGAGTGCGGACTTTATGTTTGAATTTTGTGTGCTGTTTTTTTGTAACTTTTCAGAGGCTCAGTAAAACGGTAGATTAAAAATAATCCGTTGCAAAATGCTCCGCATATGGTGTCGGCCAAGTAGTGGATCACACACTACGTTCATGGGGCCTGTATCGAATTTTGTGGACCGCGCGATAGAAACGTGTAGATTGTTTAACGTATGTCTGCATAGTTTGTAACTACAATGTGTATCTGTTAATTGTAATGAAAACATGTTAAATCCGTTAAGCATTTTATTTTATATTTCATCTGCCGAGGATCTTTGGGGAAAATTAGAGCAAAATAAAAAAATAAAAAGAAACAGAAAAAAAAAGGAGTTTAAAAAAAACTGTGGGGATTGGAAAAGATATCCTGACTATATATATATTTACGTATATTCATCACAAGTTTTTTCTCAAACTGCACCGAATTAATTAGAGAATCAGCAAAGTAATTACTCAGATATATCCCCAAAATGACTACATTAGATCAATCATACGTAACAAATGGTAGTTGGAAACCAGATCTTTTCAAAGGTAAAGTTGTTTTCGTCACTGGAGGCGCAGGTTCAATTTGTAAAGTTCAAACCGAAGCTTTGATTTTATTAGGTGCAAACGCAGCTATTGTTGGTAGAAACAAGGAAAAGACCGATGCCGCTGCAAAGGAATTGGAAGGATTAAGATCAGGTGCCAAAGTTGTTTCATTGCCAAATATTGATGTCAGAGATATCAAGCAAATGTCGGCTGCCGCAAACAAAGCAGTCCAAGAATTGGGTAGAATTGATTTTGTTATTGCCGGTGCTGCAGGAAACTTTTTGGCCGATTTTACCCACTTGTCCTCCAACGCATTCAGCTCGGTTGTCAATATTGATTTAATTGGTTCGTTCAATACCGTTAAGGCTTGTTTTGAAGAATTGAGGAAAAACAAGGGAGCCATCATCTTTGTCAGTGCAACATTGCATTACTACGGTGTTCCATTCCAAATTCACGTTGGTGCTGCCAAGGCCGGTGTTGATGCCTTGTCAAATGCCTTGGCCACTGAATTGGGACCTCTTGGTATTCGATCAAACTGTATCGCTCCAGGTCCTATTGCCGATACCGAAGGTATGAGAAGATTGGCACCTGGTACTTTAGATAGTGTTAAGAATGGTGTTCCCTTGCAAAGGTTGGGAAGCAAGCAAGATATTGCTGATGCTACTGTTTATTTATTTTCACCAGCCGCAAGTTTTGTCACTGGTGATGTCTTGGTTGTTGATGGTGGTGCATGGCAAATTGGTCAAGGTATTGGAAGTGCTGACTACCCCGTTACACTCAAAAATGTGCAAAATGGTGAGGTTAACTTTAAGTTATAGATTAAGGTAAATAGTGCAATTGAAGAGTGAGCTGTTAGTTTGTTGTTATTTGTAAGATTGGAGCATTCTAGGCATAGGGTTGTTGTACGCAGAAGTGCACATAACTATTTATTCCCATTCGCTAAGATCAAGCTTCTGATTTTGGATACATTGTAGATAGCTCAATCTTTTGCTAAAATTTTAGCAAATTCTTTTCAAGAATCCACAAGTGGCAAGTGAATCCTATTTTATCAAAAAGGTGGTAAGATATAAACTGACCACTAAACTTTTCATTGCTTTATCCTTTACATAGTAGTTCTAATACTATATTTACTCCTCTGATAAGCATTTTGCAACTGAGGCGGATCCACGTGACTTTGTTTCAGGTTTTGCACTTCCGCCTCAATGAATTTTGAAGCTTGGAATTTTACGTGTGTTGAGAACTTGTCAATCTTTATGGTACCTTGGAATTCCTGTAGTACTATATCACAACCAATCCAAACTATTGGCTCTTAACACAGATGTGTATGAGGAATGGTTCTTGGATTGACGCGTGTTGTTCTTCCCCCCCTTCTAGGACAAATTTCAAATTTTTTGCGTGTTGGCTTTTGTTGTTATCAACACAGCAAAAGAAAAAACAAAAATAGAAAAAAAAACAGAAAAAAATTACCACGGAGGAAAATTTCTTCATAATAGAGATCAGAAAGATACTCATATATCTTCGGAATAGTCCTTTAAGAATAAGCTTCTGACACTGACTTCTGTATCCCAAACCTACTGATATAAATCCCATTTCAGTCATGTCAGTCGACCCAGATTCACGCAGGAAGTTATTGAGTTTACAGAAAATTGGCGAAAACAAGAAATGCTTTGATTGTGGTGCACCCAACCCACAGTGGGCTTCCCCCAAATTCGGGGCATTTATCTGCTTAGAATGTGCTGGTATACATAGGGGATTGGGGGTTCATATATCTTTTGTACGATCAATAACAATGGACCAGTTCAAACCAGAAGAAACTTTACGAATGGAGAATGGAGGAAATGAAAGGTTGAGGAAATACTTTGAAGAAAATGGCGTCGACTTAAGTTTGCCAGCAAAGCAAAAATTTGACAATTATGTGGCTGAGGATTATAAAGAGATTTTGACTTGTGAAGTTGAAGGAAGGGAGTACGTGCCAAAAGATCACTCAGGGGAGGAGTTGCCAAATAAGGATAGCATTACTACAACAGCTACACCAACTTCCGCACGTGCAGGCCCTGGCTTCTCCAAAGAGCAAAAGGACAAGAATGAATCGTACTTTGCTAGCTTAGGGGCCAAGAATGAAACGAGACCAGATGATCTTCCGCCATCACAAGGGGGAAAATATGCAGGTTTTGGTAATACACCAGCGCCTGCATCCAATGGTACTTCAGCAGGTAAATCATCGTTTTCCAGTTTTACGGTGGACAATCTCCAAAAGGACCCATTGGGTACTTTTACCAAAGGGTGGGGGCTTTTCTCTTCAACAGTGGCTAAATCAGTTCAAGAGGTTAATCAAAGCGTTATCCAACCAAGCTTGAGTCAAATACAAGAAAGCGAATTTAGTGCTGAGGCTAAAAAGGCAATGGCACAATTTGGTCAAAGAATGCAAGAGACTGGTAAATATGGCCAAGAAACTTTTCAATCCTTTACAAAAGAAGTGAATGAGAATGGACTTAACAAGACTATTGACCATAGATTTAATGGATTGTGGGCCAAAACAGAAGGTAATGATGATGTTCCAGTTGCCTTTGGGTACAAGAAGTCTGACAATGGTGTCAAGTATGAAAGTTTATCAGGAGGTTCCAATTCCAAATCACAAGATGAAGATAAATGGGATGACTTTTGAGGAATGAATAGTTTATATACAAAGTATTAGATACAGAGGGTGATGTCATATATTCTTCTTTTTCAACTCTTTCACACTTCTCTTTTGTAGCAAGTAAGTATCATACTCATCTTTAAAAGTTTGATAACAGTGATGATAAGAATCCTTGATGTGAAAATTTTTGACAACAGGCCAATTCAATACCCAGTCAACGAGTCCAACATCTCTCACCAACGAGCTAAATATAAAGTAGAAAATGCCAAACGCAACTCCAACTGTAACTCCAACGACTACTTGCTGCCAGGTATGATAAATTAAATACACTCGTGATCCAGCAACACCTAACCCTACACTAGCCAAAATCACAGCCCATGTCAATTTCTGCCATTTCTTCAAATGTCCAATCTTGAACACGATAATGCACGTGTAATAAGCAGCGAAAAACCCAATAAATTGAGAATGAGCACTAGGCATCCCATAACTAAGACTACCACTACCAAACTCACGATGAAAATCAGGCCTTGGGTTCTTGAGTAAAACTTTTAAAATCTTATTGACAATTTCCGAACACAAATGCCCAGCAACCACAATCACTGGTTCAATTTCTCTCGTGACGAGGAACCACAGTAGGTAAAACACCATGATGTATACCGGTAGTAAAGTGAATTGCACTGCTACGATGGATATTATGTCATTGGGGTCGTAAAGAACATAAGTTTGGTCAAATGGTATATAGCTTGGCATAACCGGTGGAGCTATATCTGACGACATTGGAACACAGCTTTACCGGTACTGACAGCTGTTTGGCAAACCAAATTGGAGTTTGAATGGAAAAACAAAAATCAACACCAAAATTTTTTTTCATAACGCGTATTGGACTTACGAGAAGACAATTTGATTTATAAATTTTTTATTTATTTTATATATATATATATGTGAGAGGACATTAGAGTTCGTGAGAGATGAAGGAGGAGGAAAGGGGGAAGGGGATGACTATTTAAGAAGAGGGGAGTGGTAGTTGCGGGCATTTATGCACCGACATCTAATGTGAATATGAATTCTGATGAAAAATGATTTCCGAAAACACTTGATGAACAATGCATAATCTGGTTTGAAAAAGTTTCTTCAAATCACCAACTGGGTTTAACCCATTGCAGCCGGGATCAGTAGTTGTCTCTTTTGTTGCTCTCTGGCCCATCTTGCGGAATCCTTGGTCTTTTCGTCAAATAATGCATTAGATCTAGTCTTTTTGATAAACTCTGTCACCCAATCGGCTTCAAAGTACGCTTTAAATTGACCTTGGGGATACATTGCAGCAATATCACCCAACAAACCGGTGGCCGCCCTAGCAACTGATTCAGTAGATGCCATGTGAGGATCTGAGGCAACTTTGTGGATGTATTGCAATATGCCACCAACAACAGGGTACAATTTCTCAGGTTGATCGGAAAACCCGGCTGTGATACCAACAAAACAATCTAGTACTGATTCTCTCACATTGAGCACGTAATCAATGGTTTCCAATGAACCGTCTTCAGGCTCAATTGAAGCTGCTTCGGTACATATGTTCATTACATACTCAAGATAAGGCTCAAAGTTGGGCCCAATCGCAGCTGCAACATCACCAAATGCCGACACAATTGCTGGTCTAAGCTCACGCTTTATATCAGGGTTGCTTAAAGTATTTCCGAGTATTGTCATTAAACCATTCAAGTACTCGCTGATTTGCAATCCGAGGTTTTGTGCTAAATCTCCCACCAAACCAATAGCAGTGAAAGCAGTTGGTGAATCGACATTCTCCAATGCTCTAGTTAAGTATGGTAAAAATACTGGCATATACTTTAAAAAGTTGTTACCTATGGCCCCTGACAATGCTGAAATCGCAATAAATAAGTCTTCCTCAATAAGGGAATTGGGCTCTTGAGCAGCTATCAATTTGACGAATCGCTCCATCAAGTTGTCGGCGGCATTTATCACTTCTGAGTCCAACTTTCTAATAATTGTGGTCAATAATGCTAATATGTTGGTTTGTAATTCTTCCAAGTTACCTTTATCTTCAGTTGTTGTTACTTGGGATTGCAATTCAATAGTTGACTCTAATCTTGACAACACTTCTGATGCAATATTATGCACGACTCCCATAGTGTCTTTAGCACTGTATGTGACAAAAGTTGATAATGCTTCATAAGCAGAAGCACGAGAACTGTACTCGTTATCTCCTTTTCCAGAGAGTTGCATCAACACTGGGATGATAGTAGGATAAAAGGGGGACATGGCATTGGTTTCAGCATTGGGATCAGAACACAATTGTTCAACCAAATTCATCAAGGTCCAACAACAATTTGTTGACACCTTTGGATGATCTTGCAAGCCTTTCACTAGAGCTTCCAACAATTGTGGTAACTGGGTTTGAATATTTATAGCATCAACAACCATATCAGCAATTCGTCCAAGACACCATGCTACGGTCTCTTTCACTTGCAAGCTGGAGTCAGTTATCAAGCCAAGTATAGGTGTTAATGCCTCGCTGATTATTGTCTTCAACTGTTCATGATCTGGACCATCTAAAATAGAGCCAAATGCCATAACTGCTGCTTCTCTTGACCTCCAGTTCTCAGCATTGGAAATATTGGAGCTAACAAAATGGATTGTTGGATCCACAACATAATTGCCAATGTTTTGAGCATACAATTGCAAGCAAGCACCAGCGGCCATTGCAACCGACCAATCATCATCTTCAGGATCTTCATTTTGTCTAGTAAGTAATGTTAACAAGGTTGGTAATACTTCACTGGACGCAATCAATGCAAAGTTATACGACACTAAATCGGGATTCTGCGCATCTTGCAAAGGATCCAATCCCAATTCCAGTCTCTGCATTGCAATATCCGACTCTTCCTCACACACTGTAGACCAAAACTCCACAGCCATGCAAGAAACCTTTTCATCCGAGCTTTGCATACCGGATACAGTCAAGCCGTACAATGCCTTCTCCATATAAAGAGCCATGAATTTATAATACAATGACATAATTCTCGCAAGACAGCCAAAAGCACTGGCTTGTAATTCCGAATCGTCTGCTTGAGTGGCCTCACAAACAACTTGCATTATGTAGTTTCTCTCTCCTTCCGTTTCAAAATTGTATTTGATAAACTCTAAAGAGTTAACAAGGGCATTCAATGCAGTGATTCTCACCAAATTTGATGGTTCATTACTTTGGACACCTTGTATAATTGCAATCAAAATTCCTGACGCTTGGGATAAGATGTTTGCATTTGTTGGATCGGCACTTTCGCAGATGTAACCAATGGTCAATTGTGATGTACGCTTTACATGTTCAGGATTCTCCATCTTGGTGTTTTCAATAATAAGGGGTATTAACTCGGGCCATTCACCTCTGGGCAATTCAATGTCAGCAATAGCAGCCACCAATTGAGCAGCGGTACTTGCTACTTTCTGATTTGATATCTTCAACCCTTGGACTGCATTATCCTTGATTTTCTTTTTCAACTCGGGGTTTAACTTTAACCAGCGATCCTGTTGGGCCAATTTAGTTCTTTGATCCTTTGAAACCAATTGATTCTTGAGCCCAATACCGGCCAACATCCTCACTTCTGTCTTGGCTTCATCATTATTCAAAGCTTCGATCAATAGCGAGATGTACTCCTGAAAGTGGTTATTTGCTGCCTCATTCAATTCGATTTCAGCCTGAGTTCTTTGTGTTGGATCGGGACTCAAGATCGCATTTTCCAATAGTTGAAGGATATCCATTGTGTTAATCTCTTTGATGGGCTTTAGTTAGTGATTGAATAGATCTGCTGCCCTTAATCTCTGGAAATCCTCTGTAGTAAAAAGATTAGATGGTTGTGATCCAACTTTTTATATATTTTTTTTTTTATTTTTTAATTTGGGATTTAGCTAATAATTGCCCTCTCTCTTTTTCTCTCTTTTTCTCTCTTTCTTTTTTTCTTTCTTTTGGGTTGTTGTTTGTTGTTCTGTTGTTTTTGTTGAAGCAAAAAAAAACATTTAAATTTTTAGTTTCTTTTTTTTTTCTCTCTTTTAATGCCATTTAATTTTATTTTAATGACACTGTCCAAATAGACATTGACATATTGCTAGTTGTGCAATACATGCTTTGCTGTGTGCTTCTAAATCTACATCTCTACAGTGCAATAAGTTGAGTTTTGCATTGACCTGTTAATGTTCTTATATACGCTAGACTAGCGTATTTACTCCAGGTCAATGATGACAACTTTCACAGGGAAATTCTCAATAACAAATGTATTTCACCAGTATTCAAAGGATGTTCTCTTTCTTTTCTTTTTGGAAATAAACAAAAAAACTAAAGTAAAACATGAATTAGTTGTCTTCTTCTAAACCTTTATCAAAGCATTAGCGTTGATGTTGATGTTGTTCACTTACTATCGAGTGCAAGTCTGTCAACGTTTCATCCTTTTGGATATGGCCATTGTTAGGGTCCACTGACTCATGTGCATGATGTGAATGATCATGTTCATTAACCACTTCAACATTTTCACTTGCCTTTGATGAGACTTCACTGGCACTCAGTTTACGCTGTTTTGCCAATTCCAACTGCCTCAACAAATTCTTCTCTTTTAGCTTCAACTCATGTGCTTTCTTCTCCAATAATGCCGCCCTCGCAGCTAATTCTTTAGCACTAGCCTTTTCCATTTCCTCCAACTTGTTCTGTCTCTCAAGATTTCTTTCATGTCTAATGACATAGGGGACAGTTTCCGAAATTTGACGCAATTGGTTTCTTTGAGGACCAATGGATAGCCTTTTAAAGGCATTACTATTGGGGTTTTTATCATTCACTATAGTGGTGGAAGTGCTTGAATTAAAGTTTCCGTGTGATCTCAAGTAGGGTGATGAATTAGAAGAAGCATTGTCATCTATCAACATCGAAGTAGACTTCTTGAGTGAAGAATGTGACGAACCAAGAGAATGGTTATCCAAACCTTCGCCCTGGGTCGTAATTTCACCATCGTTTGTTTCATTTGCAAGTTGTGCCAAGTTGGATAACGACGGAATAGCAGCATCTGATATTCCACCTTTACCTTCACCTTGATGGTGCTCAACAGTGTCGTGAAATTCACTATCCTCATACTCATCATCATCTAAAACGCCACCACCGGTAACTTTTGTTAATCTCTCAGTTCTGTAGGTTTCGTATAAAAAGTCGTGTGTCAAGTCCTTCAAATCTTGCAAATGCGAACCCAACAAGACTGATTTTAAAATGACAAAGTCACTTATCGTAGTGTCGTTAATATCTACCAAACCCCAAGGATACTGTCTTGCCCTTATGATTTTAGACTCACCGGTTTTCTTGTCTCTAATTTCAAAAGATTCTTCTGATGTAATGACAGCAAATGGCTGCAAATTGGAAAGAAATTTGCATTCTTGTATCAAGTCATAATCTTCCTCTTCATCGTATTCATTCAAAAAGTTATCAAATTGAAAAATTGGTACGTTAAATTTTTCAATATCAATTCTAATCTGCTGTTTAAAATGTTGCAACTCATTCGAAGTAAATGAATCAGCCCTTCCAATAACAGGAATAATGTTGACATATTTCGACAATCTTTTCATACATTGAATGTCAAGTTCCCTCAATCCGTGTCCAGTTGGAGTGATAAAATAAAGCATGACATGAACTCTAGTATCAGTAAAACGAGGGTTTCTTCTGATACGTGTTTCCTCTGCCAAAACAAGATCAAACTGTTGTTTCAAGTAATTTTCGATTTCAACAAAACACAACTCATTGTTCAAATTTTCTCCAAATCCCGGAGTATCTATAATATTCAAGATTAACTTAAGATTATCATCGTCAACAACTTCCACCTTGGTCTCAGTTAAGGCAATACCGGGCTCTTCGTCAATAGTATTTGGATTAAACTCATTTCTAGTCAACATTGATGTATTAGGCAAGGCCACCGACTTGGCAGAAGTAAAAGCCAAGGTTTTAGTTTCACAGTCTTTAAGCGATGAACCCAATGATGGGTTTTCATAACGATGGTCCAAGACCCTCTTGTTTAATAAACTATTAACAAATGTTGTTTTACCAGTTCCCAGTTCACCGACAACCATCATTGTGAACTTGACTGCCTTTTTGGCATCTTTCCGGTAATTGATGATAGGAGAATGGCGTGAAGAAGGTCCATTACCATTCCTCAAACTTGGTGATTCATAGTTATACAGGTCCATTGTGGAGAAATTTGACACGTTGGTGATTTAATAAAGCGTGTCCCTTAATCAAAATTTTGCGTGGTGAAATTTGTTTCTAAGGTTTTTTTTTTTACCTTGGGCAAAGCGTAAGGCAGTTAGTTGAGAATAGTGGGGTATATTTTTATTTTGGCTTGATGGAGTATAAGGATAGTCTAGAATATTATCAAAATAAGTGGTGGATGTATATATCTGCGTCCTTCTCTTTCCTTTGCCCTTGTGAATTGAAGGGTTGTAACTTTGTTGATCTTTTGATCTTTGACAATTTTTTCCATTTTGTATTTTTGTTTTTATTGCCTAAAAAAAAAAACAATATTCACTACATATTTGTTGTGTTGTGTTTTTTGTTATTTTGTCTTTCGTGTCGCATTCCACACTATTGCGTCTTTGAATATCCTCTATATGCAGAACGACACGTAAATCATCTTCTAAAGTACAAACTGGAAAAGAATAAGCGACAATCTTCATTGAGTGTAGAATCATCGCTACTCGTGGCGTCTAAGAGACAAACAATAGAAAAATATTTCAATTATCACTGAAGATAGACCTAAAATGGTTGTTGAATATCCTCGCTCAAGTTGGCTTCAAAGGGGCAAGGAAGGGGTCGACTAAAGGGGATCTAGCGCTACCATTAATGTATCATATGACTATGCTCCATACAGTTGCTTTTGAAATAATTGCTTTGATTTGAAAGTGCCTTTTTGATCTATCTACAGGCATTCTTTCTACTCAATCAAATACAATTCATCTCAAGCCAACCAATTATGTCAGCAGCTTTCAAAACGTTATCAGCAAAGGCTGCAGCTCAGCTTGATAAAGAGTTGATGTCAACTGGTGCATTTTCCATTGACCAATTGATGGAGCTTGCGGGATTAGCGGTTGCAAAAGCTATTTACAAACAATACCCCCCACAGAAAACAGCTTCACCGCTGCAAAAAGTATTAGTATTAGTTGGTCCAGGAAACAATGGAGGAGACGGACTAGTTGCCGCTCGTCATTTGAAAACTTGGGGTGCTTACGAACCAGTTATATATTACCCCAAAAAATCATCAAAAAGTGAGTTAATCAACCGTTTAGTTCAACAATTGCAAAATCTAGATATAAAAGAAGTTTCGACTTTGGATGAAATAAAGCAGTTGCTTAGTACAAAAGGTGAAGTGGCTGTTACTTTGGATGCAATTTTTGGATTCTCTTTCAAACCACCCATCAGAGAGCCATTTAATGATGTCATTGGCTACCTTTCTCAGAACCACGATTCTCTACCACCGGTATTCTCAGTGGACATCCCTTCAGGATGGGATGTTGATGAAGGACCAACTGACATTGACATACACGCTGCTGGATTGATCAGTTTAACAGCACCAAAGCCTTGTGCTGAAAGATTTGTGAAGAGTGGACCCAACAAGGTTCACTACTTGGGTGGCCGTTTCATCAGTCCTACAATCGCCAAGAAGTACGGTATTGAGGATATCTTGGATAAATATAAAGCCGATGAATTGATTACCAAGCTATAAAAGGTATGTGCTTTGTATATCGAAGTTTTTTGTAATGAGTATAAATAGCAAGCTGCAATATTATTACAGGATTTAGCGAAATAAAGTAAAGCCTCCATCTTAGTTTCAATACAAATCTCGGTAACACCACGCTTCATCTTTGCCTGAAAATAAATCATCAGCACCACTACTTGTCGAGTAATTGAGTAACGGATGGGCAGTAAAATGGCGTCTCTGAACTTCTGGTCGTATTTTGGGAGAATTCGAAATTGTACTCCAGTCCTTCGATAAACCAGTCTGCTTCAATGGTGCATGTTGATACGAAGGAGATGTTCCCGTCATATAGTGCAGCAGTGTGTTCAACCACAGCTCTATTGAACTTTTGTATGAATAAAGCAGAGTGTTTCTGTCATCCCACGGATCGGTATCAAATCTAGAGTGTTTTGGTGGTACTTGTGGCCCTGAAACTACCCTCGGATTTTGTGATACTTTTGATAACCGGTTAGACCTTTTGTTTAACACAGGATTGATCGGTTCAATAATATCGTAACAAGGTGTAGTAGGCAACTCCTTATCCATATATGACCCAGACACTATGGGAGGAGCACTAACAACTCTGCTTCTCGGGGTGCTTCGTTTTATGAACCGCTTAAATTTTCCCGTGCCCTTATCATAAACAGGAAGTTCTCGCGGCATTTCGTTGATGTCGAAATGGGATGGTTTGAATGTATCTACAGCATGAGCCAAGTCAAGGTTGTTAAATGCGGGGATCGACGGTGGTATATCATTGACGGAAAGAACCTGTTTATTTCTTTGTTTCTGCATTTTGGTACCTGTATTGAAAGATTCACCAGTGTTATAGCATTGCTGGGGCATTGTGTGAGGTTATATATATACTAGTTCCTGAGCTGACACCACTGCTTGCAATATGGTCTACCTTTCTTCACTTGCATGCATTGCCGATATGCAGATCATAGTAATTCTTGCATATATTGTTCATTTTGAACATCATTTGGTCCATGTAATTTCGTACAATGCATCATTTAGCAAGTACGAGATGTATGTTAAAAGAAGACGGGAATAAGAAACAATACTTTTGTATCAACAGATGCTGAAGAACAATTAATTTTCTACTTACGAACACAAGCGATGGCTGGCTCATGGCGAACAAAATTTGTTTGTTCGCGCAACACAAACGGAAAATCTCAATTTCGGCGCTGGATAATTATATTGTTGTACCTGACTTATTTCCAATGTATACTTTATGTCCGACATAGACAATAGAACCGAGATTAAAAAACGTTTATGGAATGGGTCGATCAACATCAGAATATATCTCGACATAAATGGACAAAGAGTTGAATACTTGGTTCAAGCGTTTCGAAATTCGTACCTACCTATGCTTTATCCACCACTAATATCGTATCTTCAAAACTTCTGCAATGAAAGAATACAGGGCCCTATCTGGTTAGAGTTTGAAAATGTCCCATTAAGATGGAACATCCCGATTGGAGTGCTTTTTGATTACTTGTATCTTCCCGCACACGCGAGTGATCGAGATCATTGCTGGAAATTGAATCTACGAATTAATGAAAACTATCCCGTCGAATATGTCATGCCATTCACGCACCACGATAAGGAATCCATAAACTATACCAAGTGTCTAAATGAGGTATTGAAAAACCAATTAAAGCAATCGATTTTTGTCGTCAATGGATCAGCCAAAGCCATCATGCAAATGAGCGAACAAGATTCAGAAAGCTACTTATTTTCCATCGTATCTAGAAACTTGAATCCATACAACAATTACAATAACAAACTCATCAAGTCAGTAAAGGGCATACCTATTAAGATACTTTTACCAGGAAGTGATTCCATGAGTCAGGTTCCAGCGCGTCCAACCCAAACCTTGACTGAATTGATGCAGGAAACAATGCATGACTTGTGCAAAATAACCTATCCGTATACACATGGAATAGAAATTAGTCAATTATCAGATACATCCTTGTTGGAGATTTGGCAAACTTTTAAATACCCAGATAACGTTTTGTATATAGTCATGATTATCCTTTAAATACACCTTGCAACCAATTTCGATACATTTTCAACTGCTTTTTCCTGTTGACCAACAACCTTCTATCAGTAGCAATCTTGACTTTCTCAAAGGGACCGTTTATACAAAAAATTTCTTCCAACTCTTCTTCAGTGAAAAAGTAAACTCGTGTGCCATCACCTCGTATGTAAAAGTTGTCATCCAACAATCTTCCCTTTTTGAAACGCACCTGGGCCAAATCATACCTCCCATAGTCTCTAAACAATATTTCACCACCCGGTTTAAGAACCTTGGACAAGTTTTTAACCGCTTGTTGCCATTGATCAGGATGTAAAGCGGAAAACACAAAGATCATAATCACAATATCGGCTGAATTTGGTTCCATACCTTCCGGCAAGTTTCCCTCTGGGTTGGCCAAATCCCAAACCGAACTAAATGCAATACCCTTGCTGTTTTGTTCGGCAAAAGTTTCATTAGAGCGCACTAAATCGACAGCTACTTTGGAATAGTCACAACCGTAAATCTTCAAATTCTTGTTTTCATTCTGATTCAATATAGGGTAAAACGTGTTACCGGCACCACAGCCAATTTCTAAAATTGTCGTTGGCTCTTGGTAATCTTTGGCGGTCACTTTGTATAATGAAGGAAACTCGATTTGTAGCCACTTGCGATCCTTAAAGAAATTTTCTCGATTGTGCTTGTAGAAAATATCCCAATACTTTGCTGGGTTTTGATTGTATAACGCTTTGTCAAACTCTTTCACTGGGTGATCGTACTGCTTACTAATCATGTCCTGCGCTTGTTTGATTTGCTCTTCACCCCACTCAACGTGGTCCCACGCATTGTGGTTGAAAACTTCATCCTCATTTTCAAGATATCTTTGACCGAAAACAAATGGCGAGTCCTTGCCGATTCTGGAGTCAAGTGGAGGCTTGGCTACCTTTGTGATTGTATCAGACGCTGAGTCTACTTCTGGAGTTGACTCTACAAACTCAGCCATTGTAGAGGCGGGAATTGATGGTGTTTATGTTATTGCAATGAGATGACTAGTAGAAGAAGGAGACGAAAAAAAAAAAAATTGTCCATGTTTGTACCAAGATGCAAAAAGGGAAAACTGAAAATAATAATAAGCTGTACAATACTATGTTCTATTTGACTAAATCCATATAGTGAGTTTCCCCATCCAAGTCCTGCAACCTGGTAGCAGCTTGCTCACTGGTTAAATCCCTTTGCGCTTCACCCAACATTTCGAATCCTACACAGAACTTTTTAACAGTAGCAGATCTTAACAACGGTGGGTAGAAATGCATATGAAACCAAGCACAATCATGATGCTCCTTCGAGCACTCAAATGGGTCCTGGTGGATACCCATTGAATATGGGAACGACGTGTTAAACAAATTGTCATACTTTGTTGTTAAAACCTTCAAAATCGATGCTAAATCCAGTTTGTGTTTGTCGTTGAATTCTCGTAGTGATCTCAAATGTTCTTTTGAAATCAACAAAGTCTCAAAGGGCCACAATGCCCAATAGGGCACAACAACAATAAATGAATCGTTCTCAGCGACAGTTCTAACCTTCTCCTGCATCTCCAACTGAACATAATCACCCAATAAGTGCGAGTTGTTTTCCTTGTAGTATTTTTCCATGTTGTTTAGTTCATCATCAACCTCTGTAGGCACAACATCCAAACACCATGCTTGTCCATGAGGATGCGGGTTGGAGCAACCCATAGCAAACCCTTTGTTTTCAAAAATTTGCAAATACTTGTAAGGTGCAACTTTCTGTTCAGCCTCCAATAAAAGGTCGTTATACAATGTCTGCCAAGTATTTACTACAGTAGTTAATTCGTCAACCGTCATCAATGGGATGGTCACATTATGCTTTGGGGAGAAGCAAATTACAAAGCATTTCCCCTTGACGCCCTGCGTCTTGAATAGCTTTTTCTTCAAACTGTTTTCCTGGCCATCATCTCCGTTGTAGTCAGGTTGGTCCAATTTGACAGCAGGGTAGTCGTTTGGAAAAATATAAGTCGTCTCGTACTTTGGATTTACCTCTCCGATAGCTCTTATATTACCAGGGCACAAGTAGCATTTGGGATCGTACTCAGGCAACATCGTCTTCTTAATCTCTTCCTTAGCACCTTGCCATGGTCTTTTGGCTCTATGAGGTGAGCAAAGGACATATTTGTTGTTCAAAGGGTTATAACGTCTGTGTGAGTGATCTGTAAAATCAAAAGTCTGAGTCATTTCCAAGTATGTTGGTGTTGAGGTAATTGGGTTGAGTAAGTGTTCGATGGACATTTCTTGATGCAAAAGAAAAAAAATAAAATCGAACTGGTATTTATAATGATTGGGTGCTATAGAATCAAATGGGAATGCTCACCTCGTGCGCTAGCAGTTTCTCCTGAATTTGAAGAGAAAGACAATGAGTAACACATGGGCTAATTACTTCATCGAGAGAATTCGAAAATTTGTAACTTTATACATCCTCCCGATGACGGTTGGGGAATAATTTTTGTGTCGAGAATTAAATGCAGACATTTTTTTATTGTCTCTTTGTTTTTGTTTTTCTTTCCAAAATGTACTGACAGACTAAATTCCAAAAACTGAACACCAAATAGGCCTTAACTATAATGCAACGTTACATTTTGGACATTTTTGAACAACACAAAAAAAAAAAGAAACAGCCACGGAAAAATTACTAAACAAAGTGGAGGCACTTTATAAAAGAAAAAATTGTTTGCTGCTGTTTTGCCGTGAAGTGATACTAAAACCAATTCAACATGGCGAGAGAATAATCCGAAATATATCAAAGGATAGGAAGTGAGCTACGAAATAGCTAAAGACTGAATTCCCATGTTTTAAATCGACAACTGTTTTTTCTTCAAGTATCCAGCCCAACTCAAGTCACAGAAATCAGCCACATCATATAATATGACTTCCTATACAAAGCGTGTTTTGGTTGCAGGGGGTGCTGGGTTCATTGGTGGCAACTTTCTTTTACGATTTGTTCGGCAATACCCCGATTACTACTTTATATGCGTCGATGTGTTAAACTACGCTAGTAATTACGAGACTCTCAGACCGTTGGAACGATTTGAAAACTACAAGTTTATTAAAATGGATTTGAGTGAGGACACAGAACAGCTACTTCAACTAACCGGGAACTATGGAATAACTGATATTATTAACTTTGCTGCTGAGTCGTCCGTGGACAGATCGTTCCTACTGCCAACCTTTTTCACCAAAAACAATATCCTCGCAACCCAAAACTTACTCGAATGTCACAGGACTCTGCCAGAACAGATACAGACTTTTATTCACATTTCAACCGATGAAGTGTACGGAGACGAAGTGGTAAGAGCATCAGAGAAGTCCCCTTTGAATCCAACAAACCCCTATTCAGCTACCAAAGCAGCGGTAGACTTGATCATTAATGCATACACCAAGTCTTACAAACTCCCAATAACAGTTTTGCGACCAAACAATATTTACGGACCAGGACAGTACCCAGAGAAGCTAATCCCTTTAACCATTGAATGCGGGGAGACGAATAGGCCCGTTCCAATACACGGCAATGGCAAGAATGAGAGGAGATATTTGTACATCAGTGATTTCTTGGATGCCGTGGACATCACATGGCACAGAAGTGATTGTGCCGGAGAAACATACAATGTTGGAGGTGATGTGGAGCATGAAGGATCAATCGCTAATAACGAGCTTGTTAGCTTGATTAACGACGTGTTTGGTTGTTCAGTTGATATTGAATACGTAAAGGACAGGAATTACAACGACTTAGACTATTCCATGGACACAGAAAAACTACGCAAGCTTGGATGGAGACAGAAAGTGACGCTACACGAGGGCTTAACAGCCATAAAGAAACTCAAATAAAGATAAATAATTACATTAAATGCTAAAAACTAAAGTAATATCTCTCTAACTTTTGCATCAAATAATGAGCTTTTGATTGGCATGTCCATCGAGTAAAATGGGTTCTTCATGACAAAATCGGAATAAGCCACGTACAAGTATTTAAACAAGTCATCAGTACGCTGCACTTCACTGGTGTCCAAGTTTGGCATTGTTATCAAAACAAACTTTAGTCCACTAACAGTTTGAAATACGTACAAATTGAATAAATCAGTCTCGACACTTTTCAACCCCGTACGGTTACTGTTCGAGCTCATCAGCCTACCTGTTGATAGTATCTGAGCATTCTGTTGTAAGTTGAAGTCTTCGGCGGACTTGGATGACGCCGTTGCTGTATTTGTTGAATTTATTGTTGATGTGAGTTTTGATCCAATGGCATGAACCCCGTGGAGTGTTCCCGCTAGAACGAGATAGTCATTGGCTGTTAGCTTAGAAAGCCCCTTTTGAATCTCGCTTTGGTATATAAGGCCACCGGCCTTGTTCAATATAAGGATGGAGTATATTTTCATTGCTAGTGGTTTTGGCAAAGATACTTGGCTGAGCTTTATTTTTTTTTTCGCAGTGCGTTTTTGGTACACTTGGGGGAAGTGCCTTTTCCAGCAAAGTTGAAGCAGGCGACCTGAGAATTAAGCAAAGAGCCATAGGTACTCTTCCTTCTTGAGAGAATATCATAAGACAGTGGTTATTTAATCACTCATTAACAAATACCCTTACTTTGTACTACACAACTAATCATAACTTGACAAAGTCATACTTGATCTTTGAACCGTATGTGTCACCCTTTTTCAAGACAACTTGCCCCTTGTAGTCATCTAGATGGATAGCATCAACAAACCGTGATGGTTCAATACAAAAGCCGCTTCTCTTTCCATACTGAGTACAGTTGATACCATCCCCTGTGTAAAACTGGAATGCAGGATCAGTACTTGACGCAATAAATTTTATGTTGGAGTTTGGGTGAGTAGCTTCAACCAATGGCAATAAACCGTTTGACCTTGTATCTATTGTTTTGGAATCTTTGTCAACAACAAAACAATCATCTAAAGAAACATCAGATGATATTGTTGTTGGAATATTTCTGGAAACAATTTTACCAGTTGGAAGGCCCTGAGAATCTAACTCAAGTAGCTTATTCACTGAGGAATGAACCTCGGTACCATCAATAGTGGCGTTATTTGAGATATTGAAGTAACTATGGTTGGTCAAGTTGACAATTGTGGATTCACCCTCAAGCAACTTGGCTTCATATTCTATCTCGATCGACGAGGTGTCGATTGTGTAGTGTACGATTGCCTCTAAACTCCCAGGAAACCCATCAGTTCCATCTAAATCAACAACCTTAAACTCAGCCGTAAACTTGCCATCCTTGTGCTTGATGACCGGTCCATAAAAGTTTTGCTTATCAAATCCGTGGTCTCCTGCGTGTAGTGTGTTGTTACCCTCATTTTTGGTTAATGTAATTTTAGCTCCGTCCAACTCAAATTCACCGTTTTTGATTCTGTTAGCAAAACGACCAACGGTGGTTCCAAAATAAGGATTTGCTTTCAGTTTGTATTCTTTTGCACCAGCAAAGCCGCAAACCACATGTTGATCACCAACCGTAATATCCTGAATCAATGCACCTCGATTACAAAAACTCACCTGCAAATCCTTGTTTTGTATAGTATGCAAACGATTGTGTAAACCATCAAACTGCTGCCACTTGTAGCCTTTGATTTCAAAACCAAAGGGGTTCTCAGTTGTCCATTTCCAAAGATCTCGACAGGCATCCTCAACGGTGAATTCGGCTCTCCATTTTAATTCTTCATGTGCACGATCAGGTTTAGCCGTCAAGTTAAGCACATCACCTTGTCTTCTTCCAACAACTTTATATGGCAATTCTCTCCCAACAGCTTTGCAAAATGCATTATAGACTTGAAACACGGTGGAGCCTTTACCAGTACCTAAATTCCACTCACGGTACAACCCTTTTTCTTGTAGGTTCTTCAAATAGTTCAAAGCAGCTATGTGACCCTTGGCCAAGTCAACCACATGTATGTAATCTCTAATTGGAGTTCCATCAGTTGAATCATAATCGTCACCATAAATGGACAATGTCTCGCGCCTGCCGATTGCTACTTGTGACAAGTATGGCAACAAGTTATTTGGTATACCAAGGGGATCTTCACCTAGCAATCCTGATGGATGTGCACCAATTGGATTAAAGTATCTCAAAATTGCAACTTGCCATGCTTCGTCACTAGTATAAATATCTTTCAACATTTGCTCAATAACATACTTGGTCTTTCCATAAGGGTTGGTTGGATCAGTTGGGCAAGTTTCTGGAATGGGGATATACTTGGTGGGGCCAAATCTAGTGACATCTCCATATACAGTTGCGCTTGATGAAAACACAATTGTCTTGACGTTGTTTTCAGAACACACGTCGAGCAATGTCATGGTTCCACCCACGTTGTTCTCATAATATTTCAACGGGATCTTAGTTGACTCACCTACGGCTTTCAATGCAGCAAAATGAATGACACCATGAATACTGTATTGTTTAAACACTTTGTCCAACTCCTCGCGGTTTCTCAAGTCGACATCGAAAAATGGAATATGTTGGTTGACAATGAACTCAATACGGGCCACTGCATCATATGATGAATTGGATAAGTTGTCGACGATAACAACCTTATATCCATTGTTGACTAACTCAATGACAGTGTGTGACCCAATATAGCCAGCTCCACCCGTAACGAGAATGTATCTGTCTGTCATTTTCTTGTGCTGTTTTTTTAGTGTTGCTTGTGTTTGCGTTTGCGTTTGGAATTAGTGTTTGAAAATATTTGATGCGGTTGATGTATTATATTTATACCAAATATTAAAAGATTTCCGCTTATGTCTCACAGATGCCCGAAAGGATAGTAAAATGTAACGTTACATGGCCATTAAGTATGGAGAAACGAGTGGAGTCATACATAAGGATTGAAAAGTCGGTTGCACAGTATAATCTGATGAGGCGTTGTTTTTTGTAAAAAAATCAGACAATTTTAATCTGCAGACAGAGAAATCTTTTTATTACGTCAGTCGTACCCAAAATACGATAGATACCACCCCTATTGTAAAATTTTCCGCAAATAGGAGGAGTAATGCCATTATCCAACACAGTAGTAAGGCAAGAATAATAGCCCAGCAGGTACAAAATTAGAGATTTCGTGTCGGCGTGGAGAAATCTCGGAGAAATTATAGGTCGGTTGTGTAAAAATTTTATTGTTATTTTATGTGTCTGTGGGGGGCTCTTCAGATTTTGTGTGTTGAGATCTAATTTTGTATGGCAAATTTCACTGTAACGTTACATTTTATTGATTTTTTCTCTTCAATTTGCCGTGTATTGCTTTTTCGTCACGGAGAGTTAAAAAAAAAAAAAGAAATCTTTCTCAGACACAAAATATATCAAAATATGAGGAGATTTCGGGAATTCGACATCCAATCAACCTGGCTAATGTATTATTTATCTACCTTCCCCTGCAATCTGATTGTTGAGTAATCGTCAGCTTCACTTTTCTACTACAAGCACCTCGTCCTTATATTTACTTCGAGTTTTCTCCACTTTGACGAAGAAAAGAAAGTTAGCTCAGTTTGTATAACCAAAAACAAAATGTCTTTAGTTCCATATTTCAACGATTTGTCATTTTATTCTGACCCTAGTGCTCACAAGTCTAGATATGCTAGTCTTGTTAAATCTTTTAAGAGCAACTTCCCTGATGACAAGATTGAATTCTTTGCAAGATCTCCTGGTAGAGTCAATCTAATTGGCGACCATATCGACTATAACTACTTCCCTGTTTTACCTATGGCCATCGAAGTTGATGTTGTAGCAGCTGTTTCAACAAACGATAGTTCATTTATAATTATTTCCAATACCGACTCTGACAAATTTCCACAGGAAAAGGTTGCTATTGGACAAGATTCTGATTTTGTTATTGATCGTGAACATCATACATGGGCAAATTATTTCAAATGTGGGTTGATAGTTGCTGCTAAGTTCTTGCAAGAAAAATCAGGAGAAGGTAAATACAAGTTGAAAGGAATGAATATTACGTTCAGTGGAATTGTGCCAACAGGAGGTGGCTTGTCTTCTTCCGCCGCTTTCTGTGTCGCCTCAACATTGGCTGTGTTGCACGCAAATGGTGTGAAGGAAATCAGCAAAGCAGATTTGACGAGAATCACTGTTGTTTCTGAGCACTACCTCGGTCTCAACAATGGTGGAATGGACCAATGTGCTTCTGTGTACGGAGAGCAAGGTAAGGCGTTATTCATTGAATTCCAGCCACAATTAAAGGGAACCCCATTTGAATTCCCCGTGAAGAACTTGACATTTGTGATTACAAATAGTTTACAGGTTTCAAACAAGTATGAAACTGCACCAATCCATTACAATTTGCGTGTTGTTGAGATGGCAATTGCGGGTGATTTATTGGCAAAAAAATTAGGCGTAGAGGGTAAACCGGGTATTGCAAGGGATTCAAACGTTGATACATACTCGCTCCGTGGAGTTATGGAGGGCTACTGTGGACCTTGGGATGGTGAAAATTTAAAAGAAGGGGCAGCCAAGTTGTCTAAGATGATTGATGTTGTTAGTAAAACCTTGACCGAGAAGAAAGGATACACCGTTGAGCAATGCTGTAAAGAATTGGGCATCACTGCTGAAGAATTCCATTTGAAATACCTTGAGAAGATTCCCGTCAAGTTCGATGTATTGAAGTTATATCAACGTTCACTCCACGTTTATCGTGAGAGTTTGCGTGTGTTGCAAACACTCCAGTTGCTATCATCGCCAGTTGAAGACGAATCCAAGTTTTTCCAAGCCTTTGGGTCCCTTATGAACGAGTCACAGCATGATCTCGATGTATTGAACGAATCCTCAAATTCTAAGCTCAATGAAATATGTGCAATTGCATTGGATAATGGTGCATATGGGTCAAGAGTTACAGGAGCTGGCTGGGGTGGATCAATTGTGCATTTGACTTCCACGGAGAATTTGCCCAGATTGACTAGCAGTTTAATTGACACGTATTACAAGCGCGAGTTCCCTCAAATCAAGGAAGAAGAAATACAAGAGGCTGTGATTGATAGCAAGCCGGCAACAGGAAGTTGCTTGCTATCCGCTGAAATTATTGACAAGCTTGTGAATTAATTGAGACCTCTGCAGTGTTGCTTCAGCTTTAAAAAGAAAGAAAACACATCGTGCTCGAAACTTTCACATGCAAGTTTCTTGAAAGCCCATTTCAAGGGGTCGATTTATTTTCTAAATTTAGATCAATGTTTGTAACTACTAGAAGTGAGTCTAGAATGATTGAGAGTGAGTAGAATTAAAATAAAAATAAAAATAACGAAAAGTACGAAGTACAGTTTAAAAAGATCATATGCAATCGTCTAAGTTGATCTTATCTCTTGTTTATCACACAGGGCTCCTAACCATTACCCTCTTTTGGTAAACTTAATTTTAATACCAGTTTAGTCAAAGTTGACAATAAAGAGCGACACAATTGGGCGTGTTTAAGTTGCTCAAAGTCTGAAGTCCGGTAAATTTTCACATGCCTTTTTTTCACCTCATGAAAGATTTATCACACTAACATTGATAGCTTCTTTAGGGTCTACCAGCATCTTGGAGCAATACTAAGACACAGGCCTAAAGGGGAATACTGGTTTTGTGCAAACTATGTTAATCTTCTTTGCGTTGTGGCGTTCTTGATGGATCAACCTAATTTTGATACAACAATAAAATAGTCTTTCGAGAAAAGGAAGTTCTTTTTCACATGCAAACTCTGTCAAACAAATACCCTTGGGACTTGGGAGAGGATCGTTTTGGGTTCAGCCTTTCTTGGCTCTGGAAAGGAAGTGATTCAACAATATCCAAGTTTTTTTATCTGATTGGTTCTACTGGGAAAACCAAATGCGGCGCTGCATTACGACTCTAGTGCCCTATGAGTGTGCTGCATAAGCTCCGATGGATTTAAGACCTGACCTTGCATGAATCATCTCGGAGTTGGGACTCTAGCAAATGAAAAAGCATAAAAATAATTCTGTCACATTATCTAAAAAGCTTTCTTCTATATAGCGCAGTTAATGCACAATCACTTATCTAACGGAGTTTATGTATGATGACTTAAAATAATGAACGATCAGGTACATCTTCACGACCTATGTCATTAGACAGGTTTATAGAATATTACAGTTGCAAATCGATAATCAGATGACTACACACATGCTTCAGCATCTCTGTTGGAGTTTGGCCGTCTCTGGGAAGGTATCGTTGAGTCTGTATTTGAAAAAGGTATGTGCTTAAGTTTGCTTTTTTGTTTCATTTGCTCCGGTTTTTTCCTATGTGTGATATCCCGAGGAAGCAAAACGACATCAAAGAAAACCATACCATTCTCAGGTACGAGCAGGTGTGCTGTAGTTTGGTGGCTTGTTTACGTTTTACAGCTCCGCGTGGGAACATTTCCGCATTTGTCACTTTCCTCGGCGTGATTGAAAACATGGATATATGCAGTTATTAAAAGTGGAATGATAAAATCATCTGTTTTAATGGATTTTAGTTGGTTTATTTTTTTTTTTTTGTTCTCTTTGGCTATTTTTTCGGATTAATTTCTTTTCTGCCAATTTGGCAATGTAAAGCGATGATGCGGAAAAAAAGGAGCTTGTGATTACCCAAATAGGAAATCAGGTGAGGTTAACTGATGCGTTTGTTCCGAAATAGAAACAGAGGTTGAAGCTTACCGCGGTTACATTACTGGTTAGCAACAATGCCTCACTATTGTGTGCCATCAATGCCATAGCGATTGAGAGGCGTAGCAAGAAACATACTCTGGGTGTAATTAAAGCGATATCCAAAGCATGTCTCGTAAAGGATTCATAAGAGACGTACGGCGAGGTACTTGGTCATTCAAATAGTGTTCCGTAACCAGAAGGAGTGGAATCAATGATTGCGGATAGCGTTTTCTGAACCCTTTGTGAGTACGCTCTCTTGGCTTATCTCCGATCAGCTTATGGAACGCGCTTTGCGAAGAAAAAATTGCCACGAAGTCAATGCCACTTAATGTCCGCCTTTTGAAAAGTTGCGTGACCAAAAGGTGGACCATGTACCCATTGAGTCATCTTATACCAGTAGAAGGAGTTAAGATGATTGTAAAGAGAGTTGAAAAACTAATGGTGCTTTTACAATGGTTGATACATCATAAAAAATTTCACATGCAAAGAGTATGGTTCAGTGTCGCAAATTCGAGGTTTGTAACATTCTCGTTCAAAATACCAGATACGATCTAGATAGCAATACAATAGCTTTTACTGTGTTTACATACTTTGTATCAGATAATGCTTTGCTTTGTCTAAACTTTTAATCATCTCTCGCTTTTGCGAGAGAACGATTTCAAGAAGTTTAGCAGATGTTTCACATGCCAAAGTTTTGCTAGCGCCACGTGAGCTCCCAACAAAGTATTAGCCACACACACACTTTCTCTCTCATACTTGAAACTGATGCAATACAGATATTTGATTAAGGAGCGGAAGGGAGAAGATATGAAATAAGCCTTAATCCGCTCTAATGAAACATAGAACTAAATACCGAGCGGAGTTTAAGGCAAGGTCTCTTTGAGCGAGCAAAATCGTCGTAGATTAAGCTCCGCACGGGGGGAGGGAGTGCTCCAGCTATAATGACCCGATCAATTGCAAGATCGCATTGTTGGGATCCTCATAAATGGATAAAATTTGTGTTGTCACTTTGTTACTTGTGCCTCGGTAGCTTCTGCTCCTTTTGGTTCGGCTTGTTGCATTTTTGCTGTGTGGCACTGCTTTGTACATTCTATAAATTTTTATTTTTTTATTTATTTTTTTTTTGTGGGTCTCTTAAGTCCACAATAGACAAAAATAATCATACCACGTAGTAGATTGTGCAATAAAATATTACATACAGCGGAACGACGTTCCTATTACGAATTAATTTTATTCTCAGGAAGAGAAATAAGAGCGGTTACTTGTGTTTTTTTCCACAGCTATAATGGAGGCAAGGATATCCCTAGAAGGCATGACTTGCGGTGATAGGATATGAAATGCGGATGAGACTTTGAAGGATAAAAAAAGTTTACAAATAAGTGTGTAGAGCAAACGTTCCGGAGTTTAGAAAATTCGTATGTGTTGTAAAATTTGTATGTATGCACAGTAGGAGTTTATTTAATACATCTTACATAAATGATTCTAGAAAGAAAACGATTCAACGGAAAATAACAAATTAGACACTGAAAATGTAAAAAATCGGAAAAGGTAAAAAAAAAAAAAAAGAATTGCAACAAAGTCTGCAAAAGTAGCTAAAAACCAAAAAACACTAAAACTATATATATATAAAAGAGAATCTGCCATTCCCTATTTCCACATGATAATTTTCTTCCCCCCCTTTCTTTTTTCATTAAATCAATCACCACTGCTTTTACATTACAACAACTTTAACCATAATACTTATACAGCTACAACTACAGAAACAGTCTACGATAGAAATAGTATAGCCTACACACACAGACGCACACATTACAATGACTATACTACCACTATTCGACTCAAAAGAGACCACGTCTTCCTACGTGCCCAACTACTCACAGCAGCCAACCAAGAGACAAAAAGCAAACGTCAATATGGCCTTGGACGGATACATGTTCAACGAAGAAATGAGATTTGTCCGTAAAATTGGCGCTGGTACTTATGGTCTCATATATTTAGTTGAAAACATATACACTAAGAAACAATTTGCAGCCAAGATGGTGTTGAAGCAACAACCAATGAACTTTGGCGCCCAGTCGCCATCATCACCATCATCATCATCCAACAAACAACTCATCCAACAACAGTTTTACCAATATTTCCTCAATCATGTTATTCCCAGACCAAAAAGTATTGACTTTGATTACATTAAAGGTCAAGGACATGACTGCCAATTTTTGACTGAAATCGCATTGCATTTAAAAGTACACGATCATCCTAATGTGGTAACTATACATGAAGTTTATGAATTGGAAAATTTTGCCATTGTTATACTCTTAGATTACTTTGACCAAGGTGACTTGTTTGGTAACATAATTGATGCACAAATCTTCCAACACAAACGCTGTGACAGAGAAAAGCAATTACTTATGAAAAATGCCATGCTACAGTTGATTGATGCCGTCGAATATTGCCAGCAAAACTCGGTATACCACTGTGATTTGAAACCAGAAAATATCATGGTCAAGTATAACAAAGGCTACAAAAGACCACACTCGCAGCATTACTCAAACATCATTGACTACAATGAGTTGCATCTTGTATTGATCGACTTCGGATTAGCCATGGAATCGGATACTGTTTGTTGCAATGCATGCAGAGGCTCGTCGTTCTATATGGCACCAGAAAGAACCACCAATTTTAATACTAGTAAATTAATCAGGAGTCTTGTTGACATGTCACAATTCCAAACAGTTCAACCAGCATCATCGTCAGTTTCATCAAACACATCTGCTTCAGCATTATCATCAAGCACAACCATTAATGAATCAAATTCCAAATACTTGCCAACCTTAGCTGGTGATATATGGTCATTGGGAGTTTTATTCATCAACATTACCTGTTCAAGAAACCCATGGCCAATTGCATCATTCAATGACGCCAATAGTGAAGTGTTTATCAATTACATGTTGCATAACAAAAAGGATATCTTGTCATCGATCTTGCCAATTTCAGCTCAGTTTAATCGTTTATTAGATTCAATCTTCCAATTGAACCCTAATGATAGGATAGACTTGCACACATTGTACAAGGAGATCATTAGATGCAACTTTTTCAAGAATGATCATCATCACGTTAAAAAGACGCAAGTAGAACGCAGTGCAAACCAACAATTGTACACTCCTCCAGACACAACAGCTTACAACTCGTATGCTAGCGATATGGAAGAGGATGAGTTTGATGAAGAGGAAGAAGAGGATGAAGATGAAGACTATTACACCGATGCTGAAGAGTTTGATGAGGTTGAAGAGTCGATAAATGTCCAGAATGGCAACAACAATGTCTTGTTGCATCAGTTGACTCCAGAGTCTGAACCTGAAGACTTGCCTGTAAAACAACAACAACAACAACAACAAGCTTATTTACAACAAAATCATCAAGCCCTTCGCAAGTGTCCTCTTCAAGATGCTTTTTTACGTGATGCAAAATCCTACGCGAAGAAGTTGTGCACTACTGCTAGAGCGTTGCCCCAATTTGCAATCGGCACGCAGGGCAATGGCAATGCAATCTACTAATAAACGAGATTGGGCTGGTTCTAATTTATGACTAAATGACACTTACACTAAAGCTGGAAAATATAGATATTAATGGTTAATTTTTAATTTTTTTTCAATTTGCTGCTATACCGTGGACCAACATGGCATTCTAATCCTTTAATTAATTTAGCTTTTTTATACATAGAGAAGTATGTAATTTCAATTCACATAGCTTATATCATCTTTGCGAAGTTTAAGTTGTAGATATCAATACTGGTTAATTCTTTCGGTATAACTGTTACCTCTTTGATCCTCGGTTGAATGGGCCCATAAGAGAAGAAAAAAAGAAAAAGAAATTAAAAAAAAAAGCGAGAGCCACACACCTCTGCATGTAGCTTTGTGATACTATCTAATTTAAAAAACAGCCATCTGCTTAGCGCTTAAAAGCAAACAAAAAAAGAGAAGCAAATCCAAAAATTGAATATTTTGCAATTGACGCTTTGTTTGTGTTTCCGGTTTCTTACGAATTCGAGTCCGAACTTCGTTTTACCTATTTTGAGGCCACTAAGCAAACTGAAACGTATCCTACTCGCGCTAGGTTCATTAATCTTTTCGCCTATCTATTGTTTCGACTGTTTGGCTAGACTCATCCAACCGTTGCTTGAGCCTGGCGGAACACCGGAGAATAAAAAGGAAAGTTCATCGAATTAACAGAGGCAAGGCTGTGTGTATTTTAAGTTTTCTTAACTTCTCTTTTTTTCTGGGTAGTTCGAAAGGAGATCAAATGTTTGAGCCGATGAACCCGTTTGATTTTACCTCACCTGTTCATTAATTGAAAGGGTTGTCCAGGCTTTTGGTGCTTACTAAAATGCATTTGCATATTATTTTGCTGATGCCTAACGTGATTCTTTTATTTATTTTGTTTTCATTTCTTTTTCTCTTAAAAGAAATAAAATATTAAAAGCTCCTTTGTTTGCTTTGGTTTTGCATTGTAAGGCTCATAACAGGGGGAGGAGGGAAGCAATCACTCTTTTCTACTTACGGTCCAAGGGAAGTAGTTGTTTTGTGCCCTAGATAAATTTATTATATTTATGGACGCCTTTGACATCTCCCAAATTAGTGACTTTGAGTCATCTCTTGTTCAGCTTTTACAAAATTGAGCTTGTTGAGAGGTTCTACAATTTAAAAAATGGAGACAAGGGCCATAAGTGCCCAGTAGTAGTGATTAAATTTCCCAGCTATGCATGGTTGTTTTACGTGTAGTAATTTTGCTGCTTCATTTCAGGGTTAAAATTAGGGTCTCTTTCTACCATTGAAATAAAGGGTGGTTCTTATCTCCGATTCTTGCATAACATTGTGATTGCTGCAGGTTATAACTTTTACCTTTTCTGCGTTTCTTGCAATCTTCTATATTCGGTTATAAATGAGTGAACAATAATATGAGATGTAAATCCATTATTGTTCTAGGTGTGGCAGTAAAACGGAAAAACTCTGTTTTGTGAAACTTTGCATTTTCATCCTCGGAACTGGTTGACTTTACCATCATTTCTTTTTTTTTTTTTTACCCGACCTGTGAAATGAAACTTTGCAGAGTACAAACTGTTTCTACTTTCGCCAAAACATAGTTGCTTTCGTGTGGGGTGCTTGTCACTTTTGATATAGTATTTTGTTTATCCGTTGAGTGTTGACCTTCTTCAACTTGGCAAACGTTTGTAATTAAACCGTTGAGCAGACGAAATATTTTCCCTTGCATCAAACGTTGAGCCTGTCAAACTGCAAGTGACAACTGCCCCTTGACTGAGAAAAATGTGTATGGTGCAACCCCTGCCATGCATTAGAGTATTTTGAAGTGATTTCTTGATGGAACTGAGATAGAATAGTTCATGGGTCCTACTTACACATTACGGAAGTTGGCAATACTAGAAAAGAATATAAATAGGGAAGAAGAATTCCTTTAGTTTGAGTTTTATTTATATAGAGAGATAACGATAATAATAATCATATTGATTTTCGCTTAAAAAGAAATGTCTTCTACTACTCCAACAAACAACGAATCAACTGAAAATACAGTTCAACCTCAATACTTATCTGAGGAACAGTTCCAACATACTCTACCCCCTGTAGTACAAAATACAAGGTACTTGTCACACCATTCATCGAATAATGATGTTTGATATTTAAAGTTTACTGGTTGCAAAATGCAAGTCAGATTAGAGAATCACAAACAAAAGCGTTATAGGTGGTTTTTGCTTCAATATTGTTGACTTTTATACACCATGTATCGTAATTTTAACCTCAAATGGCATGTAATAGTTTTGTTCCTTGGTATTCCAAGATTTAAACGATTCTGCATTCGGAGTTTCTAAAAATAAAGCCTCGCACTTTCAAACACAGTTGGTAGCATTTGTTATGTAGTGCTTCACCATCATGAGGCTCCTGCTGCCATCTGATGAGCAGTACAAGATGTATAGCAAAATAGTAGTTTGCTAGAAGTCGCATATATGAAATAGTCAACCGATTTCGTATTTACCCTTGCGACTAGTTCATTTCTGGTACAGAGAAGACTTTTATAGTTCTAGAACATACGCACCCTTTGTCTTTAATAGATATGTTGTATCATTTTCAACACTTATCTCTAATCCAATGCATCATCTAGGCAACCATACTTGTAATTGCGGATACCCTACTCCAGTACAAGTTTGGAAAACGTTCCTTTTGATGCATCTTTTTTTTCTGCATCCTGTTCCTTGCATTTTTAATGACCTCATCGCATAATCGTGCGGAACCAAACTTTTCCAACTACTTCTATCGTTTGCAGATTCACCAGTGCCAAGTCGCAGATCCAAAAATTCTACAAATACAGAGCTGATTACATTCCTCAGAAAGTAGAAACCACTAGGCAAAACTCAAAGCGAGTTACCAAATTTAAACTAAAGGACTGACACAATTTTAAGGTGAAGATCTGGCATTCAGTTACTACAGAGAAGAACAACAAGAACGAGAAGAAAAGAGAAAAAAAAAATTGCCGTAAAAAAAAAGTTTTGCTGCTGCTTTTTGCTATTGCTCCATCATTTAATTCATCATCATCGGCAGACTACAACAAATAAAGTGAAAAAAGTTAGAAAGGATCATTACTCGAGATCTTTTATTAGTTTGATTTAATTTATTACATTTCTGCCTGGGATCCAAACAGTTTCTCCAAGGTGAGGTCTATGCAGCCAATTCTTTACTTTTTTTTAAAAATATCAATCGTTCAACATATATCAATCAACACCTAAATCTACCAAGAATGGATCCAAGTGAATCAAAGCACACTTCGTCTGTTCTGTTACCTCATGCCCCTATTGTTCTTTCACCACCACCACTAGACCGTGCTCAACCGAATAGCCAGCAACAAATCCAATTGAATCAGTCGGAGTTTTTACCACAAAATTATCAGGGAAATAGACAACAGAGTGTTGGGTACAATCTTCAACACGAATTTGAAACTTTAACTGCAGAGTTGGACTTGGACTTGAAGAACCAAGGCAGGATGTCGCAAAGTGTACCACCTCCTATTTCATTAACTCAAGGTCAAAACCAATTTCAAGTTCCGCAACAACATTCAGCAACAAGTTCTAATTTGATAGCGCCTGCTGCATCTAAGTACAACGATGCAAGTATTTCGTCAAACTTGTTGAATTTAGGTTCAGCCAATTCAGCTTCCAACTCGGAGTCGCAAAAGGAGACAAACTCATTATCACCTGCTCCGCAAGTTGCCCCATCAAATCCACAGTTAGTGTCATTGCTAGAAAATAGAGTTCAAAGCTCACAGCCTACAGGTGGACTCTTGCAACCTCCGTCTGCTTCCATTCCTGACCGGCCTCAATCAGCTCATGATTTCACAAATATTTTCCGCAGAACAGGGCATGCGCTTACAGGTTTCGGCAATCAAGGGGCTGTATCTCAGCAACTACAACAACAGTCTATGCATCAATCAAATTTGTACCTGGATCTCTTGGTGTTCAGTAACTGGATTGAAAACCTTAGTCCGCAGGATACCGTTTCTATGATTGACTATCTATGCGCCAGTTTGCCTGTTGATGTGTTACTCACATTCCAAGCTAAATTGGACCAGCATTTGCAAGCATACAACCAGCCACCAGGTGTCTTGCAACAAAACCCATTGTCGCCCTACGGCAACACTGCGTTGAATTCTGATCTTTATAATGACATGGATAATTTGAGTTTAAATGAACAAAAGTCAAAATTCAAGCCACCACCTTCTGCGCAGAAATCGGCTGATTTTCAACCGACTACTGAAACTAACTCATTCAACCCAAGTTTACTAAACATTGATAAGGGAATTGCACGTCCTCGCTCCGCTGATCCGTTTTTGCAAAAAAACCAACAAAATGCAAACTTAGGCAACCCACTTTCATTGGAGAGATCGAAATCGCCAACCTCACATTTGCATGAAAAGACAAACTTCTTGCAATTGGCTGCAAACAATTCTCAAAATGTGTCGCCATATTACTACCAATACGGCAACAGCAATCAAGCGTATTATTCGCCAAACCAGCAGATCAATAGTGCTGCACCAGGTCTTCATCAGGATGAGAACCTTGATATGTCTAGTACTGCATTGAAATTAGGGGCACTTGCAACAATCAATTCAAGAGTGGCTTTGGATAGTAACAGAAAGCATCCGCATGGAAGTTCAAGCTGGAACACTGGCCCACAAAGTCAGCAGAATCAGCACGGCAGCCACCACATCCAGCACTACCAGCAACACAATCAAGCCCACCATCAAGCTCTGCCCCAAAACCTGGACAAGTTCAACCATAACTTATCCATATCACAAGCAATGAACTTTGAAAATTCAATAAATAGAGGTGCGAATTCAGCATCAGTTCCTGCTAGCTCTCATGTGCAGAGAAACAACTTCAACATTCCCTCGGGATTGAAAAAAAGAGTTGCATCGCCATCGGCTTCCAATATGCAGCAGTCAAATGTTTCAACCAGTTCAATAAACAGCCAAACTGGAGCTAACGCGTCATCGTCATCATCTATGCCTAGTGAAGTTGCCAGTGTTGAACTCTTGAACAACATACCTGCATGGTTAAAGTTGCTCAGATTGCACAAGTATACTGATTGTTTAAAGGATATGTATTGGAAAGACTTGATTGAGTTGAATAGTGATCAATTAGAAGAGAAGGGGGTGGCAGCCTTAGGTGCTAGACGTAAACTCTTGAAAGCATTTGAAGCGGTGAAAAACAGTCAGTAATGACTCAGGTTTTAATCTGTATATATATACATATTTACGAAAGTCAATGACAGAATAATATAGAACAAAAACATTTATAGCTTAGCCATTAATAATTGCTGTGTATATTTACCTCCCTCCTTCCAATTACATAATTATACAACATGAATTTGTCTTCTTAGCCTGTTTATAAAACATTCTCGATGAGCTGCTCAAGGCCTCTGATTTGTCGACCAACGCATCCAATTTTTCACCTCTCTGCAATACGCCTTCAATAGTTTTATGCAACACAACCTTTGTATCGTCCAATTCTTGTTGTACCTTCATTATCGAATCTGCCTGGGATGGATCCTGGTACTTTTTCAAATAAGTTTCCAATTCTGCATATGTCAACGTAGAATTTGTCAGATCAAGGTTTTGCCATTCTGATTTAGGATGCAACGACAAGTATTCTTCCAAGATTTTATTGATCAAGGTATATGCTGGCCTTACAGGATATTCCTTATCAGTTATTATTACACCCGAAATTCCTTCAGACCTGGTATATGTATGACCAACATAGTTACCTTCTTCAACACTCTGTCTTTGTCCAGCTGGAGTTCTTTGAGATACAGTTTCAGCGAAAAATGTCATAAACTGTGATACCCCATTCCTTTCAAAGAAGGAAAATTGTGACAAGTCTCTTGCAGAGGTTAGTTCGATGGCTTTCTCACCGTTAGTGTTTAATATACCAATGTAGTATACCTTCATTTGTGATTGTTTGATGTATATGGAAACAGTGTTTGGATGATAATGGGATGGAGAAGTTCTTGTTGAGAGTTTCAGATCTTTTGGGTTTAAGTAGCAAACAGAGATTAAAAAAAAAAAAAAAAAAAAAAGAAATAAAAACAAACAAATACTTTGGGGCGTGTGAGGCAGAAATCAATACGGTAGCGCGTGTGCTTGTATACAATTTAGACGAAAAAGACGACCATTCATAATAAATCAGTTGGAAGTAGTATCAAGGTGTAATAGTCTCACGGCATCTAGGAGAAACGATCTAAGAGGCAAGGGAGAGAGACTAATAGCCAGTGGTCCATTCATTCATTCTTCTCGCACGTTGGATTCATTTCACACAGTGGATACTCCTATGAATCTTTTGGATATATGACACCCAAATGTCTAGTGCTCAAGATCAAACACATGGAAGTACACAAAGAAAGTTAAAGACCAGCTCACAACAAGCTACAGAGGACGAACTTGAAAACACTCGACCACATACTAACCCCATACCTACGCTAAAAGTTGTGCTACTAGGAGACCTGGGAGTGGGAAAGACTTGTTTACGTTCACAATTTGTTCATCACATGTTCACCAATGCGTATAAGGCAACAATTGGTGGTGATTATCTAACAACAACTATTCAACTACCACCACTAGAAATAGATGAGCCATCCACAATGGCTTTTGAAAGTGAAATTAATGGAAGTTCAAATGCAACCGTAGAGGAGACTCCCTTGACGACGACGACGCTGCTGCTACAGCCGATGCTGTCGGCAAAACCAGCAATTGATAAGGTCAACTTGCAAATATGGGACACGGCCGGCCAAGAACGGTTTAATTCCATATCGCAAGCGTTTTACCGGGGAGCAGATGTCTGTGTCCTTTGCTACGATATCACCAACTACGAATCCGTGTTGAGCTTAAAGGACTGGTTTTCTCGATTTGTACAACATTGTCATGTATCACAACCAGGTGTTATATTAGCGGGGAACAAATTAGATCGAGGGAAAGATCGAGTTGTTGACAAAGAAGAAATCAAGGATATACTCACCAATACTACAGCAACTACTAATATTGGCGACTATGTGTACGATTGGGAGTTGGATTTGCTTGAGGTAAGTGCAAAACAGTTGCCAACGGTGGAGTCGTTATTCACAAGAGTGGGCGAGTTGAGTAGAACTTATTTGCTAGGAGACGATTACGAACGACGAAAGTTGCAAGATTTTGACAATATTGATCTACGTGATGCGCATAAAGAGGTATCTAGCTCTAGTAGATGCGCTTGTTAATGTTAAACTTACTTAGTCGTTGTTGCAAATATAAATGTATATAAAAAAAAAATTTATCGAATAATATACTTAAAATTGACGGCATCTATTTCTTTGGTTTAAGCTTTCCAGAATCAAGACCTTCTTCAATCTCCTTGACAGCTGGCTCAGCAACTTCCAAAACAACATGCTCCACAACCTCGGTGTTGTTCTCATCGTCGCCATTGTACAATTCTTCTTTATACTCGTCTGGATGTTTCTTGAAACAGGTTCTCATGGTTTCGAACTTCTTGACACAATCAATTCCCTTTGGTTCGGCATCAGAAAATATAAAACACGTGAATGCTTCTTTAAATTCCTCCCCACAAGAACCTTGTGCCATGCCGCCCAAGCAAGGACAGTCCCAGTTGATTTCACCGGTTTCTGGGTTATACGCTGTTTCTCCGTCACTGCCTTCGTTCTTGGTAGGCTTCTTTTGGGCCTTTCCCTCAGGATGGAAATTTTCCTTGATATCCTGTCTAATCTCTTTAGACTTTTCCACATTCTTTGGATCACTAGCTTCATGTCTGCTTGTATCATCGTCCAATTGTTTTGAGGCAACATCTCTAGTCTTTGAATCCGAGGCTGGGTCGGTACTGTCAAGACCACCAGCATTTTTGGTATTTATACCCTTTTGTTTCTCAATCTTGGCAAGCTCTTTATCCTCCTTCTCAGATTTCAACCTTTGTTGTTCATCAGCAAATTTGTCTTGTTGTTCAATACCCAAAGCGTCACCTTCTTCAAAAGTCTTTCTCAACTTATCAGCCACTCCAAGCACAGTCTCGTTGCTTATCGAATTTGAGAAACTCATATACCCAACCGCAGCCGCAATTGGTACAATAGCCCCGGCAAGTAATTTTGAATTAAGCTTTGACGATGATGATGTTGATGCATTTGTTGAATAAGATTTGGCCAATCTTGATGCAGTTTGACGTGCAATTGCTGTTTTTGAAAGTTGTCTGTACATTTTCTATTTCTGGGTTGTTTTTTGCAATCAATTGAGTGTACTTCGAATAAAGATTAATTGAAAGATGAACAAAAAGAAGAGGTATCAGTCGTGAAAAAAAGGTACATCCTTGAAGCTTTATATATATGTGTATGTAATTAGCAAATGAACAATCTGGATATATGTAGGAAGTATTATTTGTGTAACAATATTTAGCACTTTCGGTATACAAAGGGATCACTTAGATTGCTGTGAAAAAAAAATAAGGTCAAGTCTTTCTATGGCATTCCAAGATTATGTAATCAGTTCAACTGATTCACTCAGATCATCTAATTACTTTAATAGAGTGCTAGTTGGCTTTTAGATGCTTTTGGGTGGAACTTAATGAGTGGGCATAGATCACACCTTTCATGGCTGCTGCATTATCTTAATAGTACGACTAGGTTGTTCTGAACCTGTGGCAAGTAATGAAGATCACAATACTTGCGGAGAGTGTCGCATTTTGGAAAAACTCGAGAGTGCGACATTCACAAAAGGAGAAGATAAGTCATCGAGGAAGCTTATATGCAGTAGGCAATTTGTTCAGGTGTAGCGTCAGGACTTCTTCCCCATTCAGCGCTGTGGAATGTGCTACTTGGTCAACACTATCCTCTATACTTCGCTGAGTGAGACATGTACCCTCCCCTCCCCCCCAAAAGGCAACTTTGATAGCCCTGAATTTACAAGCGAAACGTGGAAAGAGAAGAACCGTGCAATCAAATGAAAGGCATTATTTTTGACATTATGTAAGAACCATTTTTGTGTAAATCCGTCGCTTCCTCAGAAATTGGTATAAATACTCAAAAGGTTACCATTTGCCAACCCCAAAGAGGTTGAGGAGATTACAACGGTATTCATTACCAAATCATCACATTGAACAGCTATAAACATATGCAAACCAAGCAATCCCATCAATGGCTTTTGCTTAGTCATCTCTTTTCCTATACCTTATGTCCTCCTTCAAGTTGGGTATATATTCAATTCCTTGCTCCTCTTCTTCTGTCTTGTTTGAATGCTCTATAATAGCAGCGTAGGCTATTGAAGCAAGTACGGCAAGTATGGAGATAGCACCAGTCTTTCTCAATAGCTTCAATACCTTCTCGGACTCCTTTGAATTCTCAATATGAGCTTTTCTCCAAAATTCCTTTGTTGATTCTAATCGCCTTTGCGACGTACTTTCAGATGTATTGCTATCGGAATAAGAACGTGTTTGAGTTCGTATTTCGGGCATCATTGGTTTGAGTTCGTGTATCATCATCATTCGGAAAGCCCTGCTGTGTCTCGACCTGGCTAACAATGACCTCAAGATAGTACTCATTATTGTGGTTTATTATAACGGAGGTTTGATAAATTATACTCTGTCAAACGATTGAAACAAGTCAACAGATGGTTCAGATAAACTAGTTGACTCCAATTTACTTTATTTTTTTTTTTGGTTCGGAGGAGTCATTGGAGAGAAAAAAAAAAGTAATTCTACAATCCCCCCCGTTTGGCTACAATTTCCAATTGCTTTTTGCGCGACAAATGATTGTGCGCATCTAGACCTATACTGACAAATAATAAAACCACAATTTCTAAGCTAATTATAATATGCTCACTATATCAAGAGATACGAATTACTTCAAAAAATGTTCAACCAATGTGTCCAATAAAATGGGTTCATAGTCATTTGTTTCAGTGCTATCTGAGTGACTTATCCACAAAACATCGGCATCAACATACCCATATCTGGTAATACATCCCTTGTTCAATCTAAATAACGGCAATCCTGTCACTTGGCGAGAAGAACGACTTAGTTGAGTCAAAGCTATTTTATTCTCCATACAATATTCGATAACCACATCCCGAAAAGTCATTTGAAGCAGGTGACCACTTTGCACCTTGACTGGTTGAAATAACTTATCTGCTTTGGGAAATATTTCATCGTCAAGTTTGGGAATGTCTTGACAGACTGCCAGATCAAAATTTGATCTTATAATGTCCAAGGCCTTGTTCAAATACCAACGTATGAGGTCCTCGAGGTCCTTTGTGATATCTTCCATCAATTTCGTATTAAAATATTGGTACCACTGAGCATACCAGCTCGGGACTGCTTGTGGGTCACGTCTGTAAACTCTGATCATAGTCACAATCCAACTGTTGAAAGCCAAAAACTGCAAGATAGTAAACCTTGTTGTTGGGTCTAGAAACGTGGATAGATATAGAATAGTATCAAACGTGCTAGGGGTCACATCGATGAATGATAAACTTTGAATCCATGAAGCAAGTGACGTCTTGAAAATAGTTTGGAAGCGCATTTCTGTTGTTGACTCGTATAAGGATTCGATTACAGGAACCAAACGATGCATTATATAACTTATTTGCAACTTGGCACTCTGGAAACCTGCTACGTCGTCAAGACTGTACCAAACGGACCCCGTAACGCCAAATGTGAAATAAGATTCAACCTTCGACTCGAGGTGGTACACTGCTTCACTAGTACTATAGTCATCATCTCCAGCAACGAGAATTATTTCCAAAAGGTCTAAAGACTTTTCGGATAAAGTTTCATCGGTAAGCAAGTCCCAACTGTCCACCTTTGCATCAAAGTGAGGAATAATCACAGATTTAACAATTCGGTTGAACACGCAGTTCTTCAAATTGGCACAGCCGCTATCTAACCATATGGAAGCTACCGTAGTCAAAATCTCATCAGTGGCAGTTTCACCGTCACAGCTGATTGATTTATGTTCCAATAATCTATCAAAGCTCAGTCTAAAACTGTCAAACAAGTACGCGTAAAATTTAGCCAGGATGTTGTATTCTGGGTTTAACAATTCTGTATACTTGTTTAAAGTAGGCACAACGACTTCCTTTTGGTCATCGTAATTGTCTAAAGGGATACTAGCCAATGACTGTAGCTTTGATTGCAAAATTGTCACAGCCATTGACTCGACAATATCGTCATCTGACAATGACAACTTCGACAAGTCTTTCAAGGTTTGCTCTACTCGTTCATCGCCTGGTTCATTTGTCAGGATTTCCTCCCACTGTTTTGCAAATGAAAGTAGCTCTTCGTAATGGTCCTCTATTGAGTTCTCTTCATCTAACTGCCCCAACTCACCCTCCAACAATCTTTCTTCTGTGTTTAGCTGAAATATGTTGCGCCATATGTCTTCTAGATGGCCATGCTCATATCTTAGCGAATCGATATCATCCTCTGTTGCCGTGAATCTTAGTGATCTTGCCCAATCCTTGAGAGAAAAGGACACGTCTACACCTAAATTGACGAAATCCAATACCAATTTGTAAATTTGAGATGTCAACAGTTGGAGTTCGCTCGGTCGGTCATCGAATTCATTAGAAAATCTCCCATTGTTTCGGCTGATCCTACGCCTGTTGTTGTATGGAGACAGCCCTGTTGCTCCTTCTTTTTTTGAATGCCGGTCTTTCTTTCCCCCAACTCCCAATCGGCCCATGTTTGGATTTGCTCCAAGGGGATCAAGTATTCCTGATTGCTTTATACCTATACCTTTCCCCTCTTCATATCCCATCTTTTTCATCAACAATGCCCCTATACCGTACTTTGCATATTTCGTTGAAATTGTATGGTCATCTGATGGCTGATCCGATTGTTGGTTATTTGATGAGTCATCCAGATGCTCGCTATATCCTTGCTCCAGATCACATGGGTGAGCGGGTGATAAAAACATTGAGTCTACCTTATTCTCTTGTGTAATGTCGTCGTCATCCCTATCCATATTGGTATCATCATCCTCTAAGTCACTGTATTCGCTGTGGATCGACATCATCATGGATCCCATTGTCTTACCAATCAGACTGTCATTGTAATCATCTTGCTTCGATAACAGTCCAGGTTGCACAAACGATATCTGACCTCTTTGTTTGTGTGCCATAGCATGTCCATCTGTCGCTTTGATGGAAAGAAGATTTTAGATCTGAAAATGGGTTTTTCTTGCGCGTGCTACTTCGAACAATCAACTTTTCTACAAAACAGTTTACGAGTAACCCTTTAAAGGGCTTGTCACTTATTTAATTTTCCTTTAGTGATCTAATCAAATCTAACAAATACTTCTCCTCTCCATCGTTAAACTTTTCAACTCCATCTTCTTTTTGTATATGTTCCAATCCCTCTGTTATGACCTGCACAACCGTTGGCATCTCATCCTCCCCTGGCAACTTAAATTCCCTTGGAATGAACTCCCCATATTTTGTAAGCCAAGATTTTCTGTGATTTGTTTCTTCAAGTTGCATACGATACAACTCCTCATGCAAAAAGTCTCCGATCCTCTTCAAAAATTTCTTTGGATATATAAATTGTTCATGGTGTAGCTCCGTTAGGTATTTCGTTTGATATATATCAATGAATTGGGTATAGTGGAAGATCAATTGCTTAATAGTCTCTGAATAAATATCGCACGGTGAGAGCTCGGCGAGCGTTGCGTCAGTAATTGAGCACGTTTGTAAAATGATTACTGATTCTTGTAGTAGCACTAAAAACTTTGGTAAGGAACTCACTTTAAAGTTTCTCATTTTCACCATTTCCGCCTTTACAAGGTTGCGCGTTTTGTCAACAAAAGAAGCATACTGCAGGAATGTCTTGGTTGATTTTGTCTCATTAGTCAATATAATTTCGTAAATTGCGTTGAGTTCTTTAAAAACCTCTCCCAATTCATTTGCGTCATTGGCTAGAACTTCGATGTTAACATTCACATTGCTGCTAGGCAAGGATAGCAACTCCACGGCTTTATTGCATTGGTCAAAATGATTGGTCAACATCTGTAGAATCGAAACTAACTCATTCTCTAGCGCTTGATTTTCTTTTAGAGTAGTTCCCAAAACACCCTTCGACTCTAATATATTCCCATGCGCAGTCCTTAGTTCAATCTGAATTGGTCCTAAGCAGTCAAATTCTTTATCAATGACGCTGTATTGCGCGGTGAACTGTTGAAACGGGGTCAAGATGCCTTTTTGGAATTCATCCAGTAGCAATTGCTTAACCTTGGTACAATTTGTACGGTATATGTTAATGTTTTCTTTGATAAGATCAATTGACTCTGTTGCTATAAAGTCGAGCAAAGTCTTCAGTGTCTTTTCGCTGGAAGTTAAAACAAACGCTGGTACTTTGATATTCCTCATTTTCGTGGTTATGGCGTCCAATTCCTCCAAACTAGGGTCTAGCATACCTTCTATGTCAATAAATACTCTATCAACATGATCATTCAACGTTTTTTTCAACCATTTTATCTGGTTGTCCACTAATTCATATTGGTTCTGGTAAGCCTCAAACAAATACTCAACAGACTCTAATTCACTCGGTAGTTGAACGGTCAATTCTTCTAGAGTCTTTTGCAACGACGACTGTGCGACGGTGCACACCTTCTGAGCTTTTCGCAATGTTTCCTCTGCCTTGCCTCGCCACTGTACGGCTTGATTAGCGGTGGCTCCAACGTGAGAGCCACTAATCATTTAGATGATTAAGTGTTGTTGTTGCTTATCGCTCCACACACTAAAGTGATATAAAGCTGTTTCGATAATCGAGATTAAACTGACTACCTCCACTTCAATGAAATGAGACTCCTTTGTTTGTTATCATACGGCAATTAGATGAACACTATGTTTTCCTATGGCGTAAAAATGAACGTCGACTCTTGCCACAAGAAAAAAAAATGAAAAATAGAATGAAGTAAACTTTGGTAATCATTTCCTCCCACCAATAATCACCAGCAAATTCAATGTCAGGAGTAGCAGCTCTCAAAGCCCTACGTCGTGCTGCCATTTCCAAAGACCCCGTCAAACTCTTCAATGAGGCCGGTCAAGAGACAGAGCTTATTCAAGAAGCCACTGAGGTTCAATTTGGCGATAATGAAAAAAAGTACGAATTGGACTTGAAGACAAACTTCTACAATGACGATGAACCACAGGATTTAAAATCAGTAGTGTTTTGTTGGATTGAAGAGCAAATCCCGGATGTTGATTACAAGTCCAAGGCGAGTGAGCATAGGATACCCGCGTTTGCATATTTGCAGAGATATGACTTGATAACTTGGTTAAAGGGAACTATCGACACTTGTCAGTTTGTTAAGGAAGAGAAAGACGATGGAAAAGATGAGACATCCAAAGCTGATGCCAAGACAGATGCTAATAAATCAAAAAAGCACAAACTTGACGATCCACAGTTGGATCGAATCAGTCAATTTGAAAGAGAGTCTGTTGACCATAACGCCGTATTGAGAGGTTCCAAAAACATTGACTTTAGCTATCTAATATCAGATGCAAAGAAGTTTATGCACGAGTTAAAGCGTGCTAAACCTACCAGCAAAGGGAACAAGAGTGCAAGTGGACCAAAGAAACAGCCAATCATCATTGTATCTCCTGCTACAACAGCTCTTCTTTCGTTATCCAATATAAAAGAGTTTCTTGAGAATAGCCGCTACACCGAACCTGTTCCAAGTAATAGACCACATTCAGGTGTTGTAATAGTCAACCATCCATCAGACAGATTAATTTCAAGTGGTCAAAAGATTATGGTAGTTGATAATGTTGATTTGTTCACCAACCCAGACTACTGGAATAGAGTCATTGCAATTTTCACCACTGGCCAAAGCTGGCAATTTTCAAAGTACAAGTTTTCCAAGCCAGAAATTTTATTCCAAAAGTACCAAGGATACTACTTGGGATACCAAGGAGAGGCCACGCCGCCTCAGATAAAGGATTGGAATGTACATGAAATCAAGGTGGACAGAGGTGAAAAAAGATTCAAGGATAAGGTGATTGTTCGGGATTTTTGGGCTGAAATAGACAAAATACTTGTCAATAAGGGATACAACAGGCTGTAGATGTAGTGAACATAATGTACAAGTCTTTCAAAATACAAATCTATTTACAGTTGTATACAATTACTGATAACTCCTTTCCAAGTCTATAAACTTGTGATAAATTTCTTCACCTGTCAAGTTTGAAACTTTTCGATCATCTCTGGACCTAATTGAAAAAGTCCCATTCGCAATATCTTTATCTCCGATCAAGATAATATACGAATACCCACTCTGGATAGCCTCTTTAGTCCTGTGTCCAACAGTTGCCGCCCTCTTATCAACATCAACGTGAAAGTTAAACCCAGTTAAGGGAGATATTTCATCTTGCGAGTTAATAATATCTCCACATAATTTACGCTGTAATTCTTCTGCCTTTTCGATATGTGACTCATTAATAGGTATAATCACTGCCTGTCTGGGGTTTATCCAAAACGGCCACTTTCCTTGATAATGATCCAATAAAATGGCAAAAAATCTTTCCAAAGACCCAAACACGGCTCTGTGGATAAGAATGGGCTGGTTGTTTCTTGACCCATCCTCAGCAACATATTTCAAATCAAATCGCTTTGGTAATTGAAAGTCCAATTGAATTGTGCCAACTTGGTGCTTTTTATCAAATGCGTCCGTCAAAAGAACATCAATCTTTGGGCCATAAAATGCTCCATCACCTTCCCTAATCTGCCAGCTGCCTGTTTCCGTGCTTGCATCTAACACCTTTTTTAATTGGGTTTCTGCCTCATCCCAGGTTGCAATTTCGCCAATATACTTATCTGGTCGCGTGGACAAGTAATACTCAACCTCATTGATTCCAAACACACCATAGGTGTTTTTGATCAAATCCAAAGTATTTTTTATCTCCTGGTCAATGTGACTGACATTGCAGAATATGTGTCCATCATCTTGGTGGAACCTACGTACCCTTGTCAAGCCACTTAACGCACCACTGGCTTCGTTTCTATGCAATGAACTAAAATCGGAATATCTTACCGGCAATTCATTGTAACTACGATCAAATTTGGCAAAGATCATACAGTGGCTCGGACAGTTCATTGGCTTTAACCCATACTCGTGTTCTTCTATGGATTCATGCGGGATCTCTTCCTTTGACATGTCAAACCCAACGACTTTGAACATGTCGTCCTTGTAATTATCCCAATGTCCTGATTTCTTCCACAACTTAGTCTTGAATATCAACGGGGTGACGACTTCCTGAAATCCATACTTTATTTGCTGGTTCTTCATAAACTGAATTAGTTTGTTTAGTATTCTGGTTCCATGTGGTAAAAAAAAGATCGATCCAGGTGAAGCTGCGTCTGTTGTGTAAAGCAACTGTTTATTGGAGATAGCATGATTGGTATTGGTTGAAGATTCGTCCCTGATATTGGTTGATAGGAGTCTACGGGTGCACCGCCTAATACCTATGTTCCTGATGATCATATTGTTTAAGGCTAAAGGTTACATATGTGGTTTTCTTTTTCACTTCTATTTTTTTTCTTTCCAACCATTTTTTGATACTTCGTATATACACCTACGATATCTACCCTCTAGGTCTCCACTTTGACCTCTGGGATTCCAGCAGATACTATCCTCTCTTTACCACTCTCTGATTCACTGCTTGTTACCTTGGCACTGCTCATTTGTTCGTCTTTCAGCCCAGGCTCTTTTCCTTCGTATGCCGTGTATTTCATTTTAAACCCGGTAAAACTCTTGAACTGTTTCTGTTTCTTCACCCAGCGTCTGCACGGCTTACCCGACTTATCTAGCACGTAAAGTGCGGGATTTATACTATTCATTGTAAGGCCTGACGTGGAATCACCCTTGAGCCCAACATTAATCTTATACTGGCTGATTCCTGATCCACTTGCGCCAGTGCTGTTTGCATTGTTCGATGGACCGGGTGTGCCTGTACCTTCCGGAGCCGGTGAAGATCTCTGCAGATTTGATATGGAGGGGCTTATTCCCTTCTTCTCTTCTTGGGCTATCTTCTTTAACCGTGATTTTGACACATAGGGATCAAACTTGGGTAAAGTCGCGAGGTACTTGGATGATAGTCTTAGCTTCACCCATAATCGTCTAGCAGCAGCCATTATATCTTGCGTGTGAGAGAATAGATGTTTGTAATGAGGAATCCTCAAACTGCTGATTCAAAGGTTTTTGATGAAAACCAAAAAAAAAAATGAAACTATCATTGATTTCATGTTTTGTGCCACACTTGACCTCCCCATGCCATTATGTCGAGTGAGAGCCGGCCTGCACCGTTGAGAGACAGATTACCATCACGTATCGATCTTTTTGAAGACAACTTAAAGTTGGACATAAGAGCACATCAGAGGACCTATGAAGGTGCGTACACCAGGACAGCAATTGGGTGCTTTTCCTTTTCAATCTTGATTATCAAGCTATTTTCAAAGGAGTTTTTACCAATAGGTACAATGTACACGATCTATGGGTGTATTCTCTACTTCATCGGAGTTTACAAGTCAATGCACGTTGATGTGTTCTACAATCCAGAGAAGGACATGGAAATGTACAAGACGGGGGGTGATTATGTATTGGTTTTGTCCATCATCAGTTTATGCTGCTATATCGCTCTTTTGGTTCTTATTTTGAAAATGTGATTCCTTAAAAAAAGCGAATTTAAAATCAAGCCAATGTACCCAACCCAACGAGGACCAACTGTAGAAATAACTGAAGCGACCAAAATCCTACCCTTTTCATCCTTATCAACCTCGCTTCCTCATCAGCAACGTAGTCGACGAAATTGTCATACACCTCCTCAGATATGTCGTCCATAAGAAGCGAATCATAAACCGTCCAGGAACCGTCAAAGTCTTGTATGTTTTTCACCACTCTGTTGTGGATCTCAATGAATGTGTTTTTGGAGTTGATATACGCCACAATTGGTCTAATAAGTGCATAGTTAATGTACGATAATTCGGGTGCTTTAAACGGTACCGTTGCTCTCACGTTGTTTAGCCTTATAGTTAGATCTAAAACAAAGTATTTTGAAATGTCGGTGTAATCGTCGTGGGTTAAACGGGTATGCATATCTGGGTGTTTTGATTGAACTTCTGGGTTCTTATACCTCGTAGCTTCTTTTGTAATCGACTCGGTGATCATATTTACAATTTCTTTTACACCTATCTCGTTGTTATCCTCTCGAGGCACCATGATTTCACCAACCATATCCACCTTACCATCTGTAATCCAACCAAATGGACCTTCTAGGCCCCTATTCAAATGATCAATGTTTAGCGCATCAACCCGTAGGCATGTTATTCTTTTCCATTTGCTCGGTGGGCTCTCTCTTCCTTCATCATTGAATGAAAAATCGCTTAGCCTTTGCTTTTTATGTACAGTGAACAACGAATTGTCATAAGAGCCACTCATGACCTCGGCATTCAAAAAATCGTAAAACAACCAGTGTTTTCTCAATTTCGACAACTCGCAATTATATATCGAAACATCAAACGGCCTAAATCCATTCGGCTGTTTCAATTCGAATAGCACATCCTCCATTTTGAACTCCTCGAATTCGAAATCGCCCGGTTGGTACACATTTTTGTAATTTGTAGCATCATCATCTGGGTCCCAACGCACGTGTGTCCGGTCCACCACTCCTCTAACTCCCTTCATATCCAAAGTCTCGATCATTCCTGTACCGTTGACCCATTTATTAAACGACAATGAAATATTGACCTCTTCTATCGTTAGATCAAATTGCGTATAGTTTCCGTCGTCTTCAAATATATCTTCCTCATCAGCAACTACGCCTGTATCACTCACGAGTAAACTTTTCTCGTATTCCTCCTGCTGTGATCCTTTGATGAACTTTTCAATCTTCTTTGGCCTTCTACTGACAAAGCACTTTCGGAAACTAATCTTTCCATCCGACCAGCCTGGGACTATGGCGCTTTCAAAAGTAACTGTGATATTTGAATTCTTTGTAATTAGTTCTCCAAATTTTCTGGCCACAAACTCCTGCGCAAACACAGTGTTGGCGGTAAAGATCACGAGGGAAAAGAATGTAGTTGTTGCAACAAAGAACAAAAACACGTTCCCTACAACTATCCAGGAAAAAAATGCCGAGTAGTCATCGGTATTGAAAGGCCGGTTTGATTTTTTCAAAAGCCATTTAAGACGTATTTTAAATCTGGAATACATGTTGGTTGCTTTTGCTAATAGTTGCTCCTTGGTCACGACCTTCGGTGAAATATCCAGTTTCTTTGACACGTCTTGCCTTTCCTCATTCGATCTAATCGGGTGGACTTCTTTTGCTTCCATTTTATGGCTCGTCTTTTTATTCAATTGTTGTAGAAGAATCGAAGTTTGGCTGATTGCTCTATACGGCACGAATTTATACGCTTGTAATTGTGGCGATCGTATCCAGGATTGCATCGCAAATTGGAGCGAGCCACGTAAGTATTTCCTTGTGCATCGTAGTAGATGATTCTGTATAAGCGTGCTCATCTGGTCTATGCAATCTAGCTTTATGAAAGGTATGGTACAATTCTGTCACGAAATCCTCAATTTTGCAGAAGAACATGAGAAGAGACCACAAAAAGACCTAAAAAAGAAAATGTTCACATCCATTAACTACACATCAACTCTATGCGACAGCAATGCTTCGTGTAATAACACAGTGACGTATAGTTAAGAAGGCCTAAAAACGCTAGTATACACTTTCAAAATAAAATTTATTAATAAAAAAACCAAGCCGACTTACTTTTACTTCTTTCGATCTATCAAAAACCAAAACCAAAACCAAACCATGGAATTTTCCCATCCAAATTTTAACCAAATTATACATTAATCCTTTCACTCTTTAATTGCTTGGGAAACCACACTGATTAGGATATTGTCTGTCAGTCAAAGGTTGTGGGAAAATACCGGCGGCAGTCAATTTTTGGAAATCCCATTCAATTGCATTTTCTGTCTTCCAGTTCCAGAAAATCCATCCACCAGTGTACTCATAGGCATCCAATTGTGCTTCAATGTATTTACGGACATTGGTTTTGTACTCTTCCGGCCAATTTTCCAATTCCAAGTACTGCTGACAAGATCCAATGTATGGTGATCCATCGTATTGCCCTTCGTAACGAGCACCTCTTCTTACACCATTCACCCAAGTGGCACAGTCAGTCAAAGCAGCTGACCATTCACCTGTAATGGTCCAGTAGCTTTCCTTCTTGGTGTCCCAACCCCAATTACAAGCAACAGAAATGTGGTCATTAATATCACGTTCTAACTCCAGGGCAGAGAAAACTTGGTAGTGGTGGTGGTCCAAAACGACATTGAATGCGTTGTTGCCGATGGAAAAGTCGTCCCAGAAACCAATAGCTTCAAAGGCATCGTGAATAACAACTGGTATATTTGATCCAGTAGATCTTAAAGCACTGTATCCATCTTGGTAGAACTGTTTAAGTTCATCAACATTTAAACTTGGACCCAATGGTTCATTGATTAATTCGATACCAATCACCACATCAGCATAGCAATCAGCTCCGTATTTTTGAAATATGGTGTTCAAAACATCATTGGTAACTTGCACATTTCCGTCAACCTTTTGCCAGTCTATAGTATCTCTTAAACCTGAATTGTCAAATCCATTCTGCGAGCCTGGTGCACCGTGCAAGTCAACCCACACTTTAAGATTGTGGTTTCTGGCCCACTCCAATGCTCTATCAAAGTATGGCACTTGGCCTTGAACATATGGATCATCATCCAATAATTGGAATGCCCAGTATCCAATTGGGATACGCACAGTGTTAATGCCTAGATAACTAATTTGTTCAAAGTCAGCTTCGGTGTACCATGTATCCCAGTGCTGCAGCAAGACTTTTTCAGCAGCCTCTGTACCCAATTGCTTGGTAAAATGGTATTCATCCACGGGGATATTGTTTTCGTTATCTCCAAATAACCAAGATCCAAACAAAGATGGGGTAATATATGCCTCGAGAACAAACCAACCGCCCAAGTTCAATCCACGCATGGTTTGATCTTGGTAGTTCCAAGGCACACTTTGGCCTCTTTTCTCCGGATTAATAGCTAATGCATATATGCAAGAAACGAGTAGGGTGAAAACGACAAATGACTTCATTGTAATTTCTCTTTCACGGTGTTGTAACTGTCTTGTTTAGCAACTGAAAAGGATCAGCTTTTTTTTTCTAGTTTCAAACTGATTATATGTGATCTGTTTCTTGTCTGTATAAAGAAACTGCAAAAAAAATAATTAAAACAAAAATTATTATTAAATGAAGCACAAAAGACAATCAAAACTAATTTAAAAAATGCTCCGTACAAGAAATTGCAAACTGGATTCAACGAGTGGTGTAGTGTTTTTGATGTTAATAAATTAACAATCTGAAAACTGCCACCTGTATATGTGAAATAAACGGTAACGACGTGTGAAAATGGGCGCTAATATATAAATGAAGTCACAAGAAAAGAAAGAAACTTCAGTTGCAGCTTAGGGTAGAACAATTCGCCTGCGCTGTATTATTCTTGTTATTTGTAGAACAAATTGGAGTTGTGTTTAATCTAGCTCTTGTGAATGCTGAGGCTTTAAATGTAACTCAATGCTGTAAAATGTGTGAATGCGCGTTACTCCTTCGAAATATATTCGGTGCGATCAAAAGTGTAAGAAGGAGGCGGTGGTGTTGTTGTTGTTCAAAGCGATTGAGACAAGTTTGTTCTGTTAAAGCAAATGTAGCAGCATTCATCGAAGAGAATGGGAAATTTGAGATACTTTTATACACCTCTATGATGGAATTTATTTTTTGAAGGGAAAGGAGTAGAAATAAAATTGCACCTAGAGAGTGGGTTTAGTGTCTGTTTCTTTCTCTTTGTATTTTTAGTCTGCATTGTTGTTTTGCAGAAGATCAGAAAATTTTAGAGTAAGAGATATGTGTGAAGCAACATACCAATAGCGTTATTGTCTTTGATTAAAAGATTGTTGTGGTAATGTGTCATGGGTTAATTGTGTGTTTGTTTTTTTGTTCAAGTTTATTTTTAACCCTTTGTTTTAGGGTTTATTTTTGTTTACTGGCTTAGCTAATAATACACAGAGAGAGGACACATAATGCATACCAAAATAAACTGAATGTGCTTTTAGTGTGGCGGCTACTCTCTAATCTTTGTATTATACGCCGTGAACAATAAAATATATTTCTTGTTGCTGAAATTGGGTTACAAAATCAAAGCGCATAGGGAAATGGCTGGCTCTCACTATTGTCGCCATTAAATCCGACCCCCTTTTTTCTTCTGAAACCTCGTTGTAAAGAGACCGACAACACTTCTGAGCCCAGCATGACCCCAGCTCCACTTACTCCACCCACAAACTTTCTTCGATGCTGGGGTTTTGCGTGACTACGTCTTTTCTTTTGCTACCGACGAGACAGTATTGAAAATACCCCTTCGCTTACACTTGTAAGTTCGAAGTTAGGTGTGAATATTTGGCGCTGATTCGTAATTCACCAGAGAACACATTCGTGTCTTTACCTACTCCGATAAGAGTGTCTATTGGAGCCAAAAGTCAAAATCATTTGTGTGACATTTCTCAGGCCCTTTGGTATGCCAAGCAACCAGGGCAAGGGCCGCGTGTTTCATGCACAGTGCAGAAGAAAAAAAAAATTGTAACACTAAATCAAAAGGGGTGCCTCCCTCTAGCTTTGAGCTGTGTAATCACTTTCCTACCTTTCACCTGTATTGTAGTTGCTGGTGAAGTAACTTACCTTGTCTATTAGGCGATGGTGTCAAGCAGCATTCTGCTGCAAGACTTTTGGTATTTTTACATTTGTTTATCGGTGTTATTTTCGCACGCAGTTGAGCTTTTAGACTTGGAACAATAGAGCGTCTAAAAATAAAAGATAAAAGATAAAAAGTAGTTCCGGGATCATAACACATACGAATTCAAATATCAAATATCCGAGAAATTGAGCGAAATGAATTGGTTGTATATGGTAGTTACAGTGATACGGTTGACACTCGGTGTGAGCGACGCAACACTCTGCCATTTATGAGGAAGACGACCTGTTTGTTCGTTCATTGTGGTGAAAAATGGCTGATCCCCCCACCCCCGTGTATATGATACTTTCGGGATTCTTTGTATTGTTGCATGGCATTGTTTGATTACATCATTTTAAGCTTTACAAGAACAATGGGAAAAAGTGAGGGGATTAGTAGTAAAGAGGAATTTCTCGTCGTTTGCGCTGCACCTACAAGCAAACAACCTTAGCATACGTTTACATATTAGTCTTGGCTTATTCCTTCTGACTGGCCGAGTATGAGAACTGTAGTTTTGGCTCTCGTTTACTACACTCAGTTGTGTGGCCTCTATTCAAGTTGCATTTAATTCAAAACCTCCTTTCGCATATTTTAGTTTGCAAAGTTTTTTGTACCACACAAAAGAAAGAATTTTGTGGTTATGCACACAACAATGCAGAAGGGGATAATGGTTGCTTTCCTAAATTCTATTTGCTTCCTCTTTTGGATGAAAATTTCATTAATTGATTATTTAAATAGACTTTTTTTAACCGCCCCACCGCAAAGCTGTCGCAGTTTTGTATTCCACGACTCTTTGTTTTTTTGCTCAGAATCGCCCATACTTTAAAATCTAGATTACAAGCGTTTAATTGGTTTGCAAAGCAATTAATCCGAAGAGGTTATGTTCTAACCAATCAATCTAATCAAAACAAAGACCACTTTTCTTCCAAGTTTTAGGTTTTTTTAGAGCGGTTTCGACAATTATGGCGTGTTTTTCTTCACCACTTAATAATGGCTTCATGTCGAGTGACGAACAATTGTAAACACACGCACGTACGCACACGCTTTCTCTCGCTCTCTTTATTGTCTTGCTTATAGTTTGCAACAACTTCAATCATTCTGCTCCGTTTGTTTAATCAACGAATGTTGGAACCTTTTGTGGCATACTCTATTTGAAAGTTAAAGAGCGCGTTCCGGAATTAAAATGGTTGCGCGTCTATTTTTATTTTATCGTATATACTTTCTACGTTCTAGAACGTGTTACTTTGCATCTAATCGACCACAACGGTGAAAACATGATTTTGCGACTAAGAGGCAGTATAGAGACGGCTCAGGGGAAACCGGCAAGGAATGTGGCTTTTATTTTTTTTTTTTGAAGAGCGCTTTTTCGAATAAAACAAATTTTGGCATCCAAGAACCACGTTTCTTTTCCCAAGAACAATTGAAGTGAAGTATCTAAACCATGGCCTCTTTACTATAGCCGCCCATTTAAGTAAGATGCATTCCCTTTTCAGAAATCCCTATACTCGAAACGTGTGAATAAAGGTAAATAAACAAAAGCAAACTAAATCCTGAGACAATGGGTCGGTGCGCAACCAGATAAACAATAGCAGTGTGCATACAAGGGTCTACTCTTTGTTGTAGCCAAATTTATTGTCGTGTTGTAACGAGTTTGAGGGTAAGAAGTAGCGGCGATAGACGAGAGAACTGAAGTATTAGAATCGCTTTTACTGAAGATCGGTGAGCGTTGGTAGAAGCAGTAGTGTGTCAACTTATTTTCGTAACCGGCTGGTATATAGTGGCTGTGCTTAGGACACGCAGATCTCTGAAAAAAACACAATAGTCTACAGTAGCATTAGTTTGTTTATAGAGTAATACGTGCTGGAAACCAGTACGAAGACTTGAGTAATTACTTGATGTAACATTTACAAAACCGAGAAGAATAGCGCCTTTTAAAGGGGCGCTATAGCATATCTTGCAAAAACAAAAGTCATTGCAAAAGGAAGTAACTGAAAGCCCCAGGGGAATCTCTTCAGTTTTGACGTTAATGCTATAGAACGTCATATGAGCCAATCAAAGATAAAGCAAACATCTAGAACTTGAAATCGAACCTAATCTATGAATCGGCCTCACAAACCAATTGGGGAATGAGCTTTTAGTACCTAGAAGACTTCCTTGAAGCCCTAGTGACTTCAACTTTAAGAAATCTACGTTTATTTTATTCTAATGGCACAGTATCATGGAAAAGATCACTGCGTCCAGCCATAGAGCAAATGTCGCAGAGAAAATAGAGTGATATTATAAATGCCCAATTCCCCCCTTATGACATAAGATTATAAGAGTTGTAAAACTAGACAGTCTTTACACCAGCAATACAGTTTCTTCATTACAGTTTGACAAAAAGTGCATCAATGTCGGAGTTGTTATCCCCAATTGGTAATGCATTTGAGTTTCTTTCGACAAGACTTTGGATGAACAGAACCGGTAAAAAGGAAAAAAGAAGGGATTTGGCACAATGAGTCGGCATAATCATAAAACGTGTAATAAGAAGTACATCCACTTCAAAGTCACATAATTTGAGTCACAACTATCTCACTTCATACTACCAGTGAGTCATCATCGGAGGTACTTCTCGGCTTTTGTGATACTTCAAGGGGGCCGAAATGCACAAAATAAAAAAAAGCTTTGATCAAAAGAGGACTACCAACCTCACGAGTCATTTATAAATTGCACCGCTAAATTCCCACTTTAACTTCATACCGTTTGATCTCTTACTATGTTTTCCTCTCTACTCAACCAGTTATCACTAACATCGTCAAAATCACAGAAACCCATGGAGAAATTTGGCAAGGAGTTTAGGGCAAAGTACTTTACCAATTTAGATAAGGATGTATACCCAGTAAACCATGGATCATACGGATTAACACCTACACCACTCCATGAGAAGTACTTGGAAATTATCACCAATCACGCTAGCTACCCCGATAGATACATGAAGCAGGAGCAGAGGGAGAAATATATTCAAAGTTTGCAAGCGTTATCCCAGATCTTGAACTGCGACTATCATAGTTTGGCTATTGTTGAAAACGCAACCACTGGTATCAACACAGTTTTGAGAAGCTATCCTTTTCAGAAGGGGGATTCAATCGTTATGCAAAGCACAGTATACGGAGCATGTGGAAATACTGTCAAGTTTTTGAAAGATCAGTATGAGATTGACTTTCATGTAGTTGAGATAAACTACCCCATAACTGATAAGGAAATTGTGGCCAAGTTTGAAGCAGTATTCAAGGGGGTGAAGCCAAAATTGTGCATGTTTGATACAATTTCATCAATGCCAGGTGTCATCTTTCCCTACAACGAAATGACACAATTGTGTCACAAGTACAAGGTTTTATCGTTGATTGATGGTGCCCATGGAATTGGATGTATCCCCCAGGACTTGTCAGCACTCAGACCCGATTTTTATGTTAGCAATTTGCATAAGTGGTATTTTGTGCCCTTTGGTTGTGCTGTATTGTATGTTGATCCGAAACACCACAAGTATATCCATACTTTGCCAGTAAGTCACTCGTACTTGCCATCTACTATTGAGTTATCCAAAGAGGACGAAAAGAACAGATTGGTTGATCGGTTCTTCTTCACTGGTACCAAAAACTTTGCCTCAATTGAAGTAATTCCTTACGCGTTGGAGTTTAGACAGCAGGTCTGCGGAGGTGAAAAGGCCATCTATGATTACTGTCACAACTTGGCTGTACAAGTAGGTGATTTGGTCAGTAAGAAGTGGGGGACATCTGTTTTAGACCAGAAGAATGCTACCCAAATTAGTACGATGGTGACAGTGCCAGTACCTATCGAGGTATCTGCATTCATCGAAAACTGGACCAAGTATGATAATTTGGTTTATGCCAAGTGTTTTGATAAAATGGCCTACACGCCATGTATTGCACATAACGGGAAATTGTTGGCTCGATTCTCGTGTCAAGTTTATAACGAATTGAGCGATTACGACTATGCCAGTGATGTGTTACTCGAAGCTTTAAATGATGTTACTAAGGAGGAGAAATTGATGAGGTAGAGATTTATAGTAACTATGGTTACTCAGATATATTAGAGAATTAAATGAAAGCAATAGACATATTCTGTCACCACGTAGGTTTTTGATCCCCTGGTCAAACTTTACTCTGCTGTACAGCGGAAAGAGCACTGTTAGGAACTGCAGTCAGCAATACTTTAGTACCTGTTTACGCAAAAGGGTTTTCCTTGTTACATTTCCCAATAGGGGACTAGGTGAAGCTTTTTTGCATAATTTGCATTCAATTTCTCCGAAGTTAAAAGCAAGAACCCAGAAATTAGAATTACATATCAAAACAATCACAATCAACAAAAAAAACATCTACATAATTTCAGCTTATGGTAATGTAAACCGCTAAAGCTAAAATACTCGCAATTGGAATAAGCTGTTTCTGCTACTCCAAGAAGTCCTCACTGCGATTCTACTTGGCAGCATCTTAAATTTCACAAAGAAACAAAAAAGCCCTAAATTTTTTCACGTGCAAACACATTGCGCAGTTCTCGCCTATGGAGTCGTGAAAAAAAAATCTACATTTGCAACAAAGGGCCTATCACTTCGGGCTCTTCCTTTACACAACCAAACTAAGAAATAGTCTGCTTTGCTTAATTCGATTATCTCTAGTTATTACATTAGCACAAATCACAGAAAATGTCCACCGAAACTGCTTTATCATACGCTGCTTTGATCTTGGCTGATGCCGATATCGAAATCACTTCCGAAAAATTGTTGTCCTTGACCAAAGGTGCCAACATCGAAGTTGAAGGTATCTGGGCTGATTTGTTCTCCAAGGCCTTGGAAGGAAAAGACTTGAAGGAATTCTTCTTCAACTTCTCCGCTGCTCCAGCTGCTGGTGCCGCTACTGGTGCTGCTGCTGCTGCTGGTGACGCTGCCGCTGCCGGTGGTGAAGCTGCTGAAGAAAAGAAGGAAGAAGAAGCCAAGGAAGAATCTGACGATGACATGGGATTCGGTTTATTCGATTAAACTAATTATATTGTGTCTGAATAGGAATCGTATTATAAACTGCATTCGCAAGAGTTGTTTCAAAATACAATGGAAATATTGGGAGTTTGTTGCTACTACATTGGTGAATAGATTTTAAGTTTTCTATATAATAAAACAATGCTTAATTCTTGTTAATGGAAGTCGTAGAGCGTATAGAGATTATATTTGACAGATGACAAGTATAGGCGGAACCACTTCAGTCTTCGCAACTGCGTGAAGCTCTTTACTCATTTTAATACTCTGACGCAATATCAATCAAGCTTTGCTACATCGCCTATGCTCTACATTTTACCTTCCTAATACAAAAATGAGTTTGTTGTACCCTTAATTTATTAACCAGATTATATATATATAGTTAAAAACACGACAGGCGGCGTTTTGAATTAATGTACATCTTCATCTGCGTTCATCTCCCTTGTAATAACTATCCCTCACCTTAATGCTTCATTTACTTCTTAGCTTTTTCAGCTTCAGCTTCAGCCTTCTCCTTAGCTCTCTTTTCTCTGATACCCTTGAATTTCTTGTCGTTTCTGGCCAATCTCAAGGTTCTGTAAGCTGATTGTTCTGGAACTTCAACAGCTCTGGTACCTTGTTCACCAGCTGGCTGTTCAATTGGGAAAGTAGCTGAAGTAGAAACCTGTTCGTATGAAACGGCTTCTGCGGCCTTGGTCTTCTTGTCAAAGACAACCAATTTAGATTTGTATTCCTTCAATCTTTGGACATTGGTTTCAAAAGTTTCTTGACTCTTGTTTTGTCTTCTGTGGTCAACGGAGATACCGATGGTTCTGGCGTATTTTGGAGTCAAACCAACAGCTTTGATCTCAGCCAAGGTGAAACCTCTTCCAGCTCTAACCTTTCTGTTGTATCTGATCGTTGGGGCTCTAACAACAGGTCTCAAGCTGTCAATAGGCTTTGGGGCAATCTTAGCAGCCTTTCTCAATCTTGATTGTCTTCTTGAGGCCTTCTTACCAGCTTGGTCAAAGTGGACTCTGACTCTTTCTTGCCAGTGCTTTCTGAAGTGGTTCTTCAATAATGGTAAGTTCTTTGCGATAGCCATTGTTGTTGATGGGGAATGGTTGGTAAGGTATTGATCAAACGAAGATTCTCTTCCTTTTTTTTTTTTTGGTTTGGCTAATTGCAGTGTGTAGGAACTCTCAAAAAAATTTTCAGAGTATGAGAGAGAGACAATCGCATAGCAAAAGGGTGCCATAGTTAAGCGCTACCTATATCTTTCTTATATAATGTGTTTTTTTTCTCTCTCACTAAAGATGAACAATTGCGTCCGAAAAAACAGTGTATTAGGGTTACAACCCTCTCATGGTAAGAAAAATGGTTACATAGTTAAAGAAAATACTTTATACGTAGTACACAAAACAGAAAAGAAAAGCGTAATGCGTGCACTAACAAAAATTTACTTTCACCAAAAGAGAGGATTTTGCAAAAAAAATTTCAGTGTATATTCGTTTCCAATCCTGTTAGAGCCAGTATACAACAATGTCAACTCAATCAGTTCAAGTATGTACAGACACTCGACAATGAGGAGCAAGCAATAAGTGAAGGAAAGCAGCACAGTTGACAGGAGTGATTGCGAAGAAGATGTGACAGATCAAGATCAAATGGTAAAAAGCCCAAACCACGACACAACAGGAACGCATGATGAACAGCCGAATTCGTCTAGCTATGGTATTCGCCACACATTGGGGGTATTAGTGTTTCCATACTCTACTGACTCACTCCATTTTTTTGCATTATGGTTTTTGTTCAGCTCCATTAGACTATTTTAGAGCAATCAGTTTACTAACCTTTTAATTTAGACTTTCGGTAAAAAGAAGACCGCTACTGCCGTTGCCCATGTCAAAAACGGTAAAGGTTTAATCAAAGTCAACGGTTCACCAATCACCTTGGTCCAACCAGAAATCTTGAGATTCAAAGTCTACGAACCATTAACCTTGGTTGGTTTGGACAAATTCCAAAACATTGACATCAGAGTTAAAGTCACTGGTGGTGGTCACATCTCACAAGTTTACGCCATCAGACAAGCCATTGCTAAGGGTTTGGTTGCTTACCACCAAAAATTCGTTGATGAAGCTTCAAAGAACGAATTAAAGAAGATCTTTGCTGCTTACGACAAAACCTTGTTGGTTGCTGACTCAAGAAGAATGGAACCAAAGAAATTCGGTGGTCGTGGTGCCAGAGCAAGATTCCAAAAATCTTACCGTTAAGGAAACCACTACAGTCAAAAAGTATACAAACGATTACGCGTCACAGAACCATGTTACATCAAATTGCCTGTCATTTTCTTGCCTTCATCTTATCAGCAGCAAGATTCACCAATGCCATTCATCTGTAAATTATTACATAGTCCTTTTTTATATTCATGTGTTTGTTTAGGTTTATATAATATTTTACTGGTTTATTAATACATAAAACGGAAAATATTTAGAGGTGGCTTTAAATGTAAGAGCGGTTTGGTCTAAGGGAGAATTGTAGAATGATATAGCATCAAGTGGATTCTCTACTTAATTGAGGGGAGGGGAACAGCAATTGTGATATGATGTGATCTTAAATCAACTGGTAGCATATCAGATCGCGAATGTTTCCATCTCTTTACCAATTTAATAGTTGTCACTGTCTATTTTTTTTACAACCAAACCCCTCAATACATGTCTAGTGTCCAGCAGCTGCTAACGACGCCTGTCATAGATTACCAAGATGAATTAAAACTTCCAATTGATTGTGAGAATGTTGTCCTTTGCGACGACAATGTGTTGTTGTCAATCAAAGGTAATACCGTGACCGTTTACAATGGTCTACTAGTTAGTCGAGTCTTGAAGTTTGAAGACAATATTATCAAAGCATGTGTCACCTCGTTTCTTATAAATAATGTATCTACACAGATCATGGCAATATGTTTCAAAAAGTATATCCATTTCTACTATCCCAACGGAAAATTGTACACATTGCATTTACCATTTGATGTCGTGTTGGTTAAGGAATACGAAAGCGGTTTAATTTTGCAAACCAGGACAGAACTATACTTGGTAAACAAGACCCTCGACTTGAAGTTTGTTGATACTGATACAAATAGCTCCTTTTACAATTATGAATATGTGACAACCTTCAATCAGCGAGAAAACGGTATCTCCCTCTGCACTACATTTATTGATGGACAGATCAACGTGTACCAAGTGAAAAATTCAAGCAGAAGCTTAAAGTTCAACACTAAACCGTCTAGCAGGCTGCAAAAGAAAAAACAATACTCAATGTCGACTTCTTCGAGTAAATATACCGAACCAAAACTCAGTCAAATCTTTATTCTGGAGAATCGGACAAGTACATTATTGCCTGACGCCAGGGTCCTAAATTCTGAACAAGCACCTATATCAAGCTTGCGCAAAGATGTCATATTATCGAAAATAGAAACTATGGAGAACAAGCTCAACAGAAACCATGTCAAGATATTTAGTATACCCTTTGACAACCAAGAGGGAATAGTGGTGGTCAATAAGTTGAAGCAGGAACTACATGTATACAGCTATAACTCTTACTCAAAGAGCGTATCTACTTACAAGTGTCTGTGCCTTGATTGCATTCCGTTGAATTCCACGTTTGAAGGCAACTTGGTTGTCTTGACGGATAACGGGTTGTTCATTGTCAATCCATTTCTTGAGCTACGTACTAGCTGTAACACAAATCTCCCCGCGTACATGCTACTAAGCTCGAATAATGGCAAAGTAGCGCTTCGGTTGAAAGACGACTCAATCCGATTAGTCAAAGTCATATTGGATCCGGTATCTGAGTTAGTCCTGTCGTGTTTAAGATGCTTCAAGTACTTGTCAGGATCAACAGTAAACCAAATATTTTGGATGCTTTGGCGTACAGCGTACAAAAATTGTGGGTCGGAGTGGGACGCATTAGTAACTGCCTTGTTGTCTCTAACTTTCCCCGTACTGGATGATTTCCTGTTTACCACAAATGAGATTACGAACCTATTACCACAAGCCAAACTCCTTCGTGAATCCGCCCATCTCAATTACAATTTACAAGATTTGATCCCTTATATCGTTGTATCTTTGCATTTACTCCGAGAGGAATATAGATTGGATGTCACTAAAAAGCACTACTTGAACAAGCTAGGGATATTGTTGAGCCAATTAACTATATGGATGGGCTGGCCAGATGTTTGGGCCAACTACTACAACGCACCATGCAATCTCGATAAATCAATCAAATTTCTTCTGCTTCAAATTATTCAATCGCCGCCCAATCTTTTTGAATCTTTGGCTAGTTTGTTCACCGATAATATTGTACGATATTTATCGTTTTCGCAATTGGTTGAAGAAAGTGACTCGGTGGATGCTCTTGTGACTCCAGTAACCAATAATGTCTTGAAATTATTTGAGGTGCTCGTGTCTTCACAGTATGGACCATCGCATTTGGTTGATATGATGAGCGATCTCGGTGTTACCTCTCTTGATATGTTCCCGTTGGGAGTTTCCATACCTTTGAAAGAAGCAATACTGACTTCACAAGAGAAACCAACTTTCGAATGGACGTCGGATGCACTTAAATTAACTGGAAGAGAGGATTTAAGCAAGCTACTTTCAAACGATGTTTTCCATGACAAACCAATGGAGAAAACTGCGAGTGGTGATATTGAATCTTTGACAAATGATGTAGCGTCCAATGAAGCTGTATCGTCTTGGGATGATCATTCAGAAGCTAAAAGATTGGGAATTACTAAGTTAATATTCGATTATGATCGAAGGTATTTCGAAATAACAACGCTATTACACCAAACAAAGATGCAAACAGCATTTTTGAAAACTGATGAATCTATAACTGAATATGATCTTCTTTTGCTTCAGCGAAAATTGGCTAGCATAGTAGCAGTACGAACCTTGACCATACCTATGGGTCGAGCTGCGTTAAATTATGGCGGTCGGAAGCCTTTATTGACAGAAAAGTATCCCATACCAAAATTCAATTTGAATACGGTAATATCGCCAACAATTACAACCATCATTCCTTCTGAAGATAGCATATCGCAAGATTTACTAGAGTGGGGACATTTTCATAATGGTGTATCCTCTGGTTTGAGTATTGCTAAAGATTCAAATGGCATATCTGGGAGCTGGATTATATTTAACAAGCCACCTGACTTAAACTCGCAACATGCAGGGTTCTTGTTTGGATTGGGGTTGAATGGCCATTTAAAGAAACTCGAGGAATGGCACATTTATAATTACTTGGGGCCAAAACATCCATTAACTAGTGTCGGCTTACTTATTGGCATGGCAGCAAGTTTACGTGGTACAATGGATAATAAACTAACCAAAGTGTTGTCAGTTCATGCAGTAGCATTGTTGCCTCAAGGTGCTAATGATTTGAATGTTCCTATTATGGTGCAAACTGCAGGGTTGATAGGTATTGGATTACTTTATCTTGAGACACAGCATCGACGAATGAATGAGATTCTTCTTTCGCAAATTACTGGCTCGGTTTTCCAAAATGATCAGGAACAAGTACATGAGGGTTATAGATTAGCTTCGGGAATAGCACTAGGGTTTGTGAATTTGGGTAAAGGTGACGACTTAAAGGGGCTTAATGATACTCACGTTGTCGATAAATTGATGGCGGTAGCTACATTTATGAAGCATGACCAGCCGAGCTTAGAGTTGGACAAATCGTGCTGTGGTGCCATTATAGCCTTGTGTTTGATATACCTCAAAACGGAAAATTCAAATGTTGCTGACAAATTGAGTATTCCCGAATCTGAGCAATTATTAGATTACATTAGGCCAGATTTGTTATTCCTTCGATGCTTGGCCACGAACGTAGTTACTTGGAGCAAGATTGGATGTACACGTGAATGGGTTGAATCACAAGTTCCTGCAGTTGTGCTTGGTGAATTCAATAAGAATGATGGATTCGACAGGCTAGATAGTGATGAACTAATCTTTTTCAACATCTTGGGCGGTTCTTGCTTGGCAATGGCGTTGAAATATGCATCGTCATCCAATATAGAGGCAAGAGACGTCATTTTATATTATCTTGATAGATTGATGAAGCTAACAAATAAGCCTGCAACAAACTATGATGAAAAGCTTACTTACAACACTGCTATAAATATTCAAAATATTTTGGCTCTATGTGCATCATTGATAATGGCAGCAAGTGGTGATTTAAAAGTGTTCCAAAGGTTACGTGTTTTGCATAATGACACAAGTAAGGCCATGGGATACGGTGGGTTTATGGCTATCAATACTGCATTGGGTTTTCTATTTCTCGGTGGTGGGCAAATGGCATTTGATGATTCATTATTTGGTACTGCCAGTTTGATCACTAGTCTATACCCTATATTCCCTAAAGAAAATAATGAATATGAGGTACATTTACAAGCGTTGAGGCACTTTTGGGCGTTGGCTATTGTCCCACGTTGTTTGGTGGTTGAAGAAGTGGGTACTAATGAACCGTGCAAGATTCCTATAACAATAACAATGAAGGATGGGGAGGTGGTTGAGAACTTGTCACCGTGCTTGCTCCCTAAGTTAAAGGATATTCAAACCATAGCTACAAATTCGATTGATTATTTCGATGTCATTATTGATTGTCAGTTGAGATCAGAGATTCTGGACAATTTTGAAAAATCATTAACAATTTATGTTTACAAGAAACAAAACTATCAATTGTTGCGGCCAAATATTAGATCAATGTTGCAAAACAAGAGCCGCAATACCAGAATTGAAACTGATTCAATATTAAATTGTGGGTTGTTTGAACTACTTGATTCGAACAGTAAAGAAATATGGATTAATGGGTTTGAATCAAGGCATAAAATATCCTATTCTGGCTTAACCATTTTCAATATTATTGATGATAAATTGAAGTTGATGAAGTGTGTTGAATCACCAGATTCAATTGAAGATGTATGGAATTTGAGACTATTATTTGAGTATGCCAACACATGTATACATGATGATGATTTACATTATATTTCATTACAATTCATCAACCAATTGAAACAAAAGTTGTGGAATAAAGTTGGATAGTTTGTGGTTAGTTACTTTGGATACGAAGAGGTGGAGTTAAGCTTTGTGTCTTTGTGTTGTTGTTGTTGTTGTTGTTTTGTGTTTTATCAAAGTTTTACGTGTAGAGAATAAATATCACACGACCATTTGCTTTTGATTGGACACATTTGAGAACCTTGCAAGTTGCTGAACTATGTAAATAATCGCAGTCATAGATTTTCTTAAAGTTACACCATCTACATCGTACTGCTTTTAGTGTGTTTTGACTTTCCATTTACTGAAAGTAATTATGGTGGTGGAGTTGGACAGGCGGAGAGACGGGACAGGAGAGACGTTCTTGCATAAGGGACTTTCCTCTTTTCTTCTCCCTTTAATTTTTCGTATTTGTATTTACATGCAGTACCTTAATTAAATTAAAACAAAAACACTTCTGAGAAAAAACTTCTTTAAACACGAACATTTCTTCTGCTACTACAATAGTTTAACGAACATATACACACATCTCATACGTTTTGATACCCACAACACCCTCCCCCCCCACATCACTACCACGCTGTATACCTTTCTCTATTCACAGCTAAAATTCAATTCTACTTTTTGCATTGCTATCTTTGCCAACTAACAACAACTTTTGCATTATTTGATTATTGAAAATTGAAATAATCACCTTCACATAACTTAGTGCTAGTCCACTTCCCAGAACAATAACAACAGCAGCAGCAACAACAACAACACCTCAAATTTTATGACATTCCGACCAACACCATTTAGCTGGTCGAAATCTTTTGGTCTGAGATGGCAATATAATTCATCAACAATGTATCAACAACAGCATAATAAACAAACAAGAAATATTCTACAACCCTTGTCTAATGCGACTCACATGGCCCAGATTTCACAACTGATGCAAAAGCCACAGACAATGGGCCAAAGAAGATACTTTAGTTACTACTATTATCAATTTCCTAAAATCCCTAGACCCAAAAGAAATGTCTTTTACTATAGCACTTGGTCAAGAGGTGGAGGAGCAAGTGGTGGTAATGGTGGCAATGGTGGCTACAACAACTCCATTAACAAGAATAGATCGTACTACAAATTCGCAAGGTTCCCCTTTCCTAGAATTTCCAAAAGACTGTTTTCATCAGCTAATCAAAAGATTAAAAATAACACCAAAAAGATACATAGACGTTTCTTTTCGAGTGAGGCTAGATCAAGAAGACAACAAAGAAGGAAATTTATCAAGTGGTGGACTATAACTTCGATATCGATTGTTTTGGGTGGAGTTGCCGCCAAAATCAAGTATGATCGAGGTGAAGAACACGAGAATCCATACAAAATTAGACCCCATTCTTGGCAATTGTATGCCTATTCTACTCTCCCCTTGAAGACAATTTCAAGATTATGGGGGTATGTAAATTCAATCGATTTACCGGTGTTTCTTAGATCTCCACTGTACCGTTTATATTCAGCAATATTTGGAGTAAATTTGGATGAAATGGAGAATCCTGATTTGAAAAGTTACAAAAACTTGTCTGAGTTCTTTTATCGTACATTGAAGCCTGGTGTACGACCAATTTCAGACGATGATGTTGTAAGCCCAGCTGATGGTAAAGTATTAAAGTATGGTGTTATCGATCAGGGCGAAATTGAACAAGTTAAAGGAATGACTTATTCTATCGATGCGTTATTGGGAATGTCTTCAACTAGAAAGTTGGCTGCACCAACCCACTCTACCCAGTTTGAGGATATGGATGGCGATGACGATACCAAAGTTAAAAGGGATGAGGAATTTGCCAAGTTGAATGGGATTTCATATACAGTTGACGATATTCTTGGAGGAGAAGGTGAAAATACCCATCATATGAATGAGTTAACCTATACTGATGTCAAAGAAGGTACGGCAAAGGGTGACAAAGCCTCTTTTTCCAAGGAAATGGCAGTAGCTGAAGAGTTGGCGCCCAACCCAAAAGAAACTTTCCGTCACAAACAATTGTATTTTGCTGTTATTTACTTGGCACCCGGTGATTACCATCACTTTCACTCACCAACAAGTTGGGTAGCTACATTGAGACGTCACTTCATTGGTGAATTATTTTCAGTCGCTCCATTTTTCCAAAAGACATTGCAAGGTTTGTTTGTCCTTAATGAACGAGTTGCTTTGTTGGGTTATTGGAAGTATGGATTTTTCTCCATGGTACCTGTTGGAGCAACAAATGTTGGTTCAATTGTCGTTAATTTCGACAAAGATTTGAAAACGAATCTGTATTATGAAGATGAAGTGTACGGCAATGGATCCTCATCCAGTTCTTCATCGGCATCAGCAAGGTCATCGTCAACATCCTTGCCTGGTTCAGCACTGGAGAACACTCCCTTACTTCAAAGAGAATATTCCGCCTCAACCATCTTTCAAGAAATTGAGGATCGCAAGCGTAAGAAGTTGAAAAAGAATACTGTTTATGAAGCCACTTACACTAATGCCAGTAGAATCTTGGGCGGATACCCATTATCCAAAGGTCAGGACATGGGTGGATTTAAATTGGGATCAACTGTGGTCTTGGTGTTTGAAGCTCCCGATAATTTCAAGTTTGATATTGAAGTTGGTGATAAGGTTAAAGTTGGTCAATCGTTGGGTAAATTTGAGTAGGTTTTTACTTTTGTTTTAATTTTAGAGATAGAGATGTAATACAATTTCATTTGGCATTTTTTGTTTTTATTTTTTTAGATTCATGGAGGGTATTATAGTTTATGTATCAAACAGGGGATTCGTTTTCCCCCCTTTAGTTTGTGTGTAGTAGTAATAGTAGTAGTAGTTTTCAGAAAGGAGATTTTAATTTTTTTTTCCTTTTCTTTCAGATCAACAACGGTTGAAGATCAAAATCAAAATAAAGACAGAAGAAGGTGAAGACACGAAGAGTACACCTTTTGACGACAATAGCTATACCCATATCATCACACTTATTGCAACACACAGTACCTATCACCTGCATAAACACTACCTAATAACACAACCCAAATCCATGTCCTTTTTCAACACAATCAAAGGGCTAGGCAGAAGCTCTAAAAAGAATAAAAAAGATGGTGAACAATCATCGCTATACTCACATTCAAATGTATCGGGCAACACCCTTAGAAGAACACAATCACCCATCAAGGCACCATCGTCACCTTCTAAACATTCAGCATCGCCGGTAAGAGGAGCTGGAGGTAATGTCCTGAGCATACAAACAGGAAGGAATCAAGCCGGTTATGCCTCCTCCTACCAGGGTTCGCCTTCGAAACGATCTAGAAATATAAATAGCGCTAGTCTACAACAGCTGCAACGACTGTCACATAGAACATCAGTTGCTTCAAGAACGCTGCAGCTGATCATTACTGACCCGCCTTTATTCATGTGTGAACCATTTGTTAAAACGGCATTGGTTAAAGGTTCATACAAGACCATAGTTCAACTACCTGCATTTGTTGATTTGAATGAATGGCTAGCACTAAATATTTTTGAATTTTTTGGCAATTTGGATTCATTTTATGGTCTTGTTTCTGATTTCGTTACTCCTGAAGACTTTCCTACTATGAATGCGGGGCAAACCAATTATCTATGGGTCGATGGATCGGGCCAAGCCGTGAATTTACCTGCTTGTCAGTATATCGAATATGTCATTACTTGGATCTCCAACAAGATTAATGACCAAGAGACTTTCCCGACAAAGACTGGTGCTGTATTCCCTCAATTTTTCATTAAAGATGTTAAGAATATTTCTCGCCAAATGTTTCGTATTTTTGCATTCATTTATTATAATCAATTTGATAAAATAGTTCATTTGAGTTTGGAGGCTCATTTTAATTCTTTTTTTGCCCATTTTATATCCTTTATCAAGGAATTTAATTTGTTGGATAAAAAGGAATTGGAACCATTGCAGCCTTTGATTGATGAATTTGAAGCGCAGGGAAAGATCAATTGAGTCAAAGCGAACAAAATGGGAAGGAGAAACCGTGATTTGGTTCTTGCCTCAATGTATGAATTTTCTATAGACATTCTGTATTCTTTGAATGTATCTAAGGTGTATATTTACAAGTATATATATATATATATATATATAAATGACCTTTTTTTTTTTGATGAAACCAACACTCTCTTTAGTGTTCTATGAAAAGAAGTATGGCGAATCTTTGACTTTTCGAACGTCAAATTGACCTTTTGCTGGGACTTCGGGGAATTGGATTGGAACTAAAATATCATAAGATTTAAGCTTTGTTTGTAAACAAAATTTGTAAGGATCATAATCTTCGACCACACTAATTGTTGTTTCCATCTTTTTGCCCGCTTCGACTTCCTCGGGATTATTTGATTGTAGCATCTCCAATCTTTTCCTTTCCATGTATAATTCATCTGTTATAGTGACTGCTCGCTTAATTGAAGTGGCCCATTGCTTTTTTATCGACTTGATTTTGCTCGTCAACTCATGCGTCAATGGAATATGTAGTATTTGATATGAACCTTTGTATCTCTCAACAAATTCATCACGGAGTATCTGTACTAGATTTGTTGTGTGCAACCGTACAAATTGATCACGTAAGATCGAGTTCATGGTATCGATATTTGCCGCATGCGTCCAAAATGAATCATGAACCGAGGCAAATTGTAAGCTCGATTCACCACAGCGAGTAGCCGTCATCAACATATGAGTAGCGTCTAGGGAATGAATAAAATTTGGTGGGAATCCCGCTTGCTGTTTTCTAGCATCAATGGTTGAAGTTCCCGAAGGATTAGATATAAGCACATCTTGAACTGATGTTTTAACCGAATGGTGTTTGTTAACACGATATGGTTGAACACAAGGTAATCCCAAAGGTGTTGTCCAAATCACTGCCGATGAATGCAACTCACTTTCATTGTTTGAATCATCTCCGTAATCAATCGCAACTGATTTACTGATTCTCTTGGCTGCTTCACCAAGCCAATCTTGAATTAAATGGGCGTTTTCAAACAATTCCCTAATCGATGCAAAAACTTGCTTGGTTAAATATTTGGTGTAAATGTGTGCATCTTGATCTTCGCCAAAATGTTGAGCTACTTGTTTCTTGATCTGCGCCAATGCACCGACAAATGTAACTCCATAAACATTTGTCATCACAGTTTGTTTAACAACCTTTCTTTTGATCTTGTCTTTAAAGAATATTGCAATATCATGGCCCTTTTCAGCATCGGCAATGACTCGATTTTCAACCAATTTCGAAACAAATGTATAAACATCCTGGGGTCTATCAGAGGGGTTTAAATTAACTTGATTTGCTCCTTCAATATCACCTCCCAATGCAGCATAATGCTGAAGACCATTACAAGTACCGTCTTGGTGCACCGGTAAATAAGATACAAATTTAGTTGGATCGGGTAATTTATAAGCTTCAGCCAACTCAAAGCACACACTCAATGCTTGCCATGGCTTTTCTGCTTTGGTCCACCAATCATAATTCAATGGATCATTGGCAGATTTAATGGCTTGTTCAATATTATCAGTGGCAAATTGAATTCTTTCCAGTATAGGTGCTTTATCGACACCGTACACATTGGCCAATTGCACTTTTAGCCACTCTAATCCCTTTTCACCCAACTCCTTACCTTCCCAGAAGAGGAACAACGATCTAGTTAAATCACCACCTAAATGATTGAGATGGGGCGAAATAGGATAAGCCCTTCCTCTGAAATCGAGATTATGTGGGAAATACAATTTTTCTCCAATGAAGCCTCGAGCAATTTCAAGTTTATAGTTGTAATCACATCTTTGAGACCTCAGGGCAGCAAATTCCCGTACTGCTTTAATGGTGGCTCTTGTGTGTTCGAACCTTTCTGAAGGATCGGCCTCGGGACTCAATTTTGGAGGAAATTGAGCTGATTCCAAAACGGGTGGGATAGTAAGAAATTCGTCTCCTTTGTTCCAGTAATGGGATATCACATCAAACACTTTTTTGTTTATGGTCCACGCCGTACTACCCAACACATTTAATCCATCAAAAACTTCTTGCAAGTTCCCCCTCTTGGCAGCAGCTTTAACATATGCTTCTGTCTCTGGTGCATCCCTCATCCTAACTAAGGGATTCTTTGAGTACAATCCACATCCACCATAGAAGGAATCCCATGGCTTAGGTCTAACCAACATGGGCAATGATTGTGGCTGAATAGTTTCCATAAACGAAGTTCCTGACAAGTTTTTGCCAATCTCATTATGCACTTTAATAACACCAAACCTTTGACCACCAACAAATTGCATGCTATGGAAAAATGCCGGATGATAATCTTCAATTGCTCCCTTTGGAGTTTGTCTTTTAACCTTGACTTTTGCTATTGCCATCAAAAATGAAACAAACACTCCACCGACTCTTGAACGTGTAGCATGATCCCATTCTGGATCCGTCTCATCGAGTGAGTCGATTGAGTTTCTGACAATCTTCTTCATTTGTGAAGATCCAGCCACTTTAGAACTAACTGACATTTTGTACTCCTGGTCTGCCAAGCTGGTAGTTCTATATTCCATTTCAATTGCTCTTCCAACTGAGGTAATGGCCTTTGCAGCTCTCATTCCACCATGGTAACCACCACTTGCATTCAATTTTAAAAGCTCCAAGATGGTTATAACCGCTGCTTTTTCAGCTCCAACTTTGATTAAAAATGGGGCGTAGAATGCTCGGTCTTTGGCAGATGTAGCATCGTCTTGTGTCACTGATTTGTCCTCTCGCAACAAGGCCTTGCACATTTCATGTTCTTTTTCGATCAAGGGTATCATTTTTTGGTACCAGTCGTAACACTGGGCATTCATACTTTTGTTCAAATTGAAATCGCCTCTTTTCTGAGCTTCATCAAAGTCATGCTTCCATTTCTCCTTTGCCCCCTCTATTCCTCTAATCTCAATCTGTCTTTGCCTATCCATGTTGAACGCCTCAAGGGCCTCGTCCAATTTCATCTTCTGGTCATCCGTTTGCAATCGTTTATAAATGTCATGATAATTTAGTTTCCCATCTCTAACTTCCTGTTTTGTTATCTCATCTAAATCAGCTACAATTTCCTCAATCTCATTTGCCAATTGTAGAGCCAACTCTGGGTTTGGCTTGAGTCCTAGTAACGAATGTCTCACCACTTTCAACCCAAATGAATCCACTGGCAATAACTCATCCAAGTTTTCTTTGTCCAATGCGTTGATCTCAATGTTCTTTTGTAGTTTGATTGTATCTTCAACAACTTGCCCATTTTGCTGGTTTAACTTGTAATTCTTGTACACCTCAATCAACTCCACTGGGACACATGATACGTCAATTTCATCACAGTCAAATATTTTAAACATATTATCTGCTCCAATCACGTCGGTGTTTCGAAGAATCTTTTTGATCATTCGTTTATCCTCCATATGGGCAAAATAATTGTCTAGACTGCCGCCATCTTGTATAAGGCTTTTCAAAACAATGGCTTCGGTACGTTCATCGGATTTAAAGTTACAAAATTCCTCCATTTGTCCAATAATCTTATTCAAGCCTTCTGGTTTCATCTTTGAATCTCGTGCTATTGCTTCTAATGATTTGTTACCAAACTGAGTAAGCTCCTCTTGATTGACAAGCTTGGATAAGGATCTAAGAATTTGAAATGTTTGTTCAAAATAGCTATCGGTTGAAAACGACTCTAGCATGTTTCTTAGATAATTAATTTCCTTCTCGTATGGTTTCCTCGTCACATCATCGTTTTTAGATGAATAGTGTTTGCTATCTCGGGCTGATTCTTCTATCTCGTATCTGTCGGGTATTAGATCCAAATAAGACGAATTTGTGATCTTATTAGCACCACTCTTTGGGCCGTTGCCTTTGACATAGTTTAACTCTTTCAAAGGCTCGAGAAAACGGTTTGTGAATGGCGACAACGGTATCGAATTCGGTACCGTAGTCACTACCGACGTATGTTGTCTGATGGCGGTTTGAACTCTTTGGTGCAACTTGACTTTGGCAAACTTTTGTAGCACTGATCTATTGTACTGTAACATGGTTTATGAAATGTGGATATTAAAATAACAAAATCCAATGTGGATGACTATGTACAAGTTCTTTTGAAAAAAAAAATTAAAAAATAATGCTAATAAATGAAATTCAATCTAAATGGAGCAATAGTAGTTTATCACAGTGGTGGTGAGTAAAGTGTCTTTGTATAAAAGTATATGTATAATTGTATAGATGGGTTCAGATAACGAGAGAAGATCTGTTTGAAATTTTTTTTTTTTTTTATTTTTTTTATTTTTTTTCTTTAGAAGTTTCGCATCACAATACACTTAAATCATTCTCCTATAATCGGATATAATCTACTACTACTACTGTCATCACCACACACTCCATTCATTCCCCATCTTTAACATGTTTATAAATATCTTATCTGTATTGAAAACTAATTAACAAAAGAACTAAAGTGATTAAAACAAAAAGAACAGAACAAGAACAAGACACTTAGATTCTCATAATCCCATTTCTTCCTGTAATGCTTTCAAGGCAGCTTCATCTTCATCATCTTGCGAAACTGGCTCGGCCTTGTTAACAGCTGGGAAAGATGGTAGTTGTTCTTCTTTCTGTACTGGTTGTTTCTGTGGCTTGGCTTTTTCTTTCTCTTTCTCGGCTTCCTTGTTCTCATTCTCCAACTCAGCCAACTCTTGATCTAGTTCATCTTCATCAACATACTCGTTTCCTACTGGTCTGGATATAGCTTCGGAAATCTCATCAGCCAACTCCACTTGTTCTCTTATTTCATCCATTGTATCCTCCACTTTGTCGACATCATATTCGCCATGTATTTGTTTCATTGCCTTAGCACCTTGTTTCATTGCCTTCATAGTTTCTAAGTTCAAATTTGCTCCTTCAATAGATACTAATTGCGTTTCTAAAGTTTCTATTTGGTTTTCAACTTTGATCAAATTCGTTTCATACCCCTTTTTACGCTTTAATGCATTCTTAGCTAGGGTGGATTGTTTCGACGACACATACTTTCTTGCAAGCTGATCTTGATCGTCCATTTGTTGCTGTAAGTGATTCTTTTTCTTATTTAATGTTGAAATGTGTTCACGCAATTCAACAATCGCCTTCTTTGGCAATTCCTTCTTTTGTTGGGAGTTTCCTCCAAAAAAGTATCCCCACATGCTGTTTCTCTTGTTATACTATATGGATGTAGTGCTGTGTTGGAGCTAGCGCAATTTCAAATATATATATATATATATATATATATTTGTATGTGTGTATGTATGTATTGTGTGTGGTAACAGTTGCTCTATCTCAATGGACTGTGGATGGCGATGGTGATAACCTCTCCGCTGATAAGACTGACTATGGAAAGTAAAAGACAAAAAAAAATAGTACACTTTTTCCTCCAGAAAACAAGTGGGTTATTAAACAACTATGCAAAAGGATACGAGTGTTGATATTAGATTTGATCAACTGGGAGTGTAATATAAATTGATTTCTATGAATAAGCGTAATAATCTTTTTGATAATCACCTCCTCCAAAAGTGTGTGACAGAGAAAAGACGAAAAAAAAAAAAAATTAGTAACAGTGAGCAAAACAAACTTAGTAACAAATACACGACTTTTTTGTAATTGAACTTATTTACAGTCTTAGCCATTTATACCATCAAATGATATTCACATATATATATACCTCTCTAAATAATAATATATACGCCACTCCTATCAGTCCTTTTTAGTTAACTCACCAACACCCACAAGAAGAAAAATACAATCAATACCCCGAAAATTTTCAAGAATAACCATCTGTTACTGGTGATATGAGCATAGTACTTTAACAATTCCCGTTGCGCACCGGTTATATTCAAATTAATGTCTTCAACATTAGCATCAATCCGTTGAATCTGTTCTCCTTGTTCACTGACCATGGTTGCCAATTGTTGAAACAAGTTACCCACTTCATTAATTGTACTTTCAATACTCTCAACTGCCCTATTTCTCAGTTGCAAATACTGTTGACCTGAATTTTGCTCCTCCATTAAAAGCATTTGTTGCTGTTGTTGGTCGGGTAGTGATAGAAACTGTCCGTTGTCGTAGGGTGACATGATGTCTGGATCGGCATCTGATAGTTTGTTGTTTGAAGACTGAGACTGAGATTGAGCTGTACCACTTAATAAAAAGGGGTTCTCGTTTAAATTACTCAAGGAATTGGTCTTGGATTCATCCCTATCCACATTCAAAGGTGATGCACTGTTTAATCTTCGACTGTTTGATACTGACGATAGGAAATTTTCTTGTCTATTCTTGTTCATTATTTCATTCTTTTGTCTTATTTCCAATACATTTTTGAATTCACCAGAAACATTCTTCATTTTGGAATTCAACAAAGTTAAAACATTTTTACTAAATTGGCTTGTTTGAGAGTCAACTGTTATCGATGATTCACCCTTCATGTATTTTTGCAAATTTTGAATACTGGTCTCAATCTTGAAAATGTCTTGTTTAATCACATATGTCAACTCTCCGATCTCTATTGGTTTATCATCAAATAGTGGTTTTCTTTTGGCTAATATTGCCAATTTACTCAAGAGTTCAGTTACATGTGAAATATCTTTGGCGATGATACTTGCTTGCTGGCTGAAATGTGACTTTTTGTGTGGTTGGTCTTGAGCTTGTGACTTTATCCTGGCATTGCTTTGATGTTGTTGTTTTCTATTTATCTTTTCATAAGTGGTGACACATTGTTGAAACTCTATGGTTCTATTTTGAATAGATACAGACATCTTCTCAAAATAAAAATAAAAATAAAAGGTTTGGTGTTGAAGTATTGAAGAAACTGTGTGTCTGGGTGTATATGTATATGGTTATATATGTATATGTATATGTATATGTGTATGTATATATGTTATGTATGTATGAAACTCTTCTACTGTGATATAAAAAGACTTTTTGAAATTTTGGTGTAAAAAAAGATTTTGAACAACAAACAAAACAAAACAAAACAAAACAAAACAGAACAAACAGACGAAAACATAAAAAGAATCATGCGCTACCGACACGTGACAGAAATATTCAATTGATAAAGAATCTATATCTGTTTCAAAATTAAAAGACATATATATATACATTGTTACTTTTCAATTGGTCTAATACAATGTTTCTCTTTACTATATGGAGGATTCTGGGCAAAATCTTTGTTTGCTTTTGACGTTTGAAGTTCTCCTTTTTTGTTACTAACTTTATTAAGACTTAATCGTCTAATTCGTCTCTCCTTTTCTTTTCCTTGGTTAAATTTTTCTCTCTACCTCCCTCCCCCACGAGTTTACATTGATGGAGATCAGACCTTTCTCATCTCCTCTTTGTATGCTTTCCCAATTGTCAAATAATTTAAAAACTTGTACAAAATACATTTAATTCCGATCAATTTATTTTATTTTATTTTATTTTATTTTATTTTATTTTGGGTGCAAGCCACGTGCACTTCAATTTAGAAGTGGTATAAAAACATAAAACAAAAAACAACAATATTCGAGAGATTAAGGTTTGGTTAAACAATGCAAAATTCCATTAATTTACAGTATGAGATTTCTGCAATACTATACAATAACACAGGCCCACATGCATCGTGGGATATAATCCATTGACAGTACTATAACAATGGAATTCTTCAATTGTTTTCGTATGTTTACATTCTCGAGAAATTGGTATTTAAATACGATGGGATTTCTGCATAATTTTGAAAAGTTATTTTGCATCAACTGAGAGCATATCACATAAAAGTCAACTGAGGACTCAAAACCTTCTTCCTAATCAAGAAATGAACTGGTTGCAATTGACTTATTTAAGTGCCGTGTTGGCAGTTTTGATACCTAATTATGTTCTGGCCCACGTTGTTCCTGGATTGGATTCTTTAGACATTCAAGCATCAATTGCCAAAAGAGCTTCTAATTTGATTGATCCCGTCTATAGTGACTTGAGTGCACCGGAATTAGATTTCATCAACTTGCATTTGAAGAATTTGACCAATGCTACTGGTTCCGACTGTACTCAGTGCAAAAATCGTATCAAGTACGGTAAAAGCTTAATCGAAGAATACCCTGATAAATCTCATTTGGTTAGTTTATTACTTTTCAAGTATTGCTTGATTCAATACGATGGTAAAGAAAGTAAATGTGATAATACTGACTTTTTTGTCACTACCGATTCTAAAAACTTTGAGACTTTTAATCAGGATTATGATTCTGGGGTTGCTTCTGGGGTTGCAGTTAACTTTTATGACAATGATTTTATTCAGTTGTTAAAGAATGTTAACGTATCCAGTGATTTGGATTTGGAATATTACTGCTTCTATAAGAGCAAGGAGGCTTGCGATTTACCAGAAACTCAAGACGTTGACGAATTATATGGAATACAAAATTGGTGGCCAGCAAAACAACCACACCAATACTTTCAACCAAATTATACCAACAACACTGAAAGGTTTAATGTGTTGCACATTACTGATTTCCACATCCAATTGAGATTCGAGTTGGGTGCTGAAGCCAATTGTACATCGACTCCATGTGCTTTGCCTGAGTCTTACAATAATGAGTTGCCGGGTGCAAACTACAACTTCACCGATTACTACAAGACATTCAATCCAAACGTTTCCATCGTCGACTTGTCGTTTTACCCTGATGCCCATTACGATGAAAACAACACCTATATTAAAGGAGACTATTATGATTTCCCTAAATACCGTGGATGGAATTTTAAAAACATTCCTGCTTCTACGTTTGGTGCTTACCTTGCTGATTCACCAGAAGTGTTGATGAACAACTCCTTAATTGAAGTTGCCAAGGCACATAAAGACAAGAATTTCGAATTTGTTGTATTTACTGGTGATTTAGTTGATCATGATGTTATTCATTGTTCTCCAGAGGTTACCAAAGAAGCTGAAATCAAGTCGTTCAACTTGTTTAAGCATTATTTAGATGACATTCCAGTTTTGCCATCGTTGGGTAACCATGACACTTTTCCTTATGGCCAGATCTCACCTTTACAATACGATTTCAACAACTCCTACCACTGGAATGAGGAATTGATGGCTGATTTGTGGATTAATAATGGATGGTTTGAAGAAAAAGATCGTAATGAGCTCAAGAGCCACTATGCTGGGTTCTCGTATGTGACTGATCGTGGATTGAAAGTTATTGGATTGAACTCCAACTGTTATTATCAAAAGAACTTGTGGTCATATATTGACATCTCCACAAATCCAGACTTGTTTGGTCAATGGGAATTTTTAGTTAATGAGTTATTGGAGAGTGAATCCAAGGGACAAAGAGTCTGGATTATGGCACATATTCCAACTACTGATTATGATACATTGCCATTGCAATCACGTATCTTTGGTAAGATTGTCGAGAGGTTTTCTCCATACACCATTGCCAACATCTTTTATGGCCATACTCATCAAGACCAATTCCATATCCTCTACTCATCAAACTCGTCACAAAGTGCTGAAGATATCATTAACATGTCATGGGTAGCCCAATCAATCACGCCATTGAGCAATTACAATCCATCGTGGAGATACTATGAAGTTGAAAATGAAAGTTTCAACATCATCAACGCTTACAATTATTACACTCTTTTGAATGAGACATTCACTAATGGGGGAGATGAACCTGATTGGCAATTTGAGTATTCAGTGAGAGATTTGTACGATCCAGACCACACTTGGCCAGAAGATGCTCCATTGAATGGTACATTTTGGCATGAAAATGTATTGACCAAATTGAAGGATGAGTCAAATGTTGACTTTAATCAATTGTTTGCTGAGATTCAGTATAGATACGGTCCTGGTGTTCCAAAATGTAAGAGCAAGAATGGAACTCAAATATCAGATGACTGTTATAATGAGAATTACTGTGTTATGGGTAATTTCTACAGTGACGATTATCAGAAATGTTTAAGAGATGATTAGAAGGTGATATGATCTTTATGATCTTTTGTTTAGGGAGAGGGTTTGGTTTGTTTGGAATGGGAAGTTTTGGTTGTTGTTTGATTGTTAGTAGAGTGTGGTTCGAGTGTTTTTTTTTTCATGTTTTTTAATATTCTTTACGTTTTTCGTTTCTACTTCGGTTTTGATACTTCAAAAAGTCATATATCTATGATAGATTTCGTATAATAAAAAATCACCTAGTTGTTTTTCAATGAAGAAGTTTGTAAGTTATTGCAAGATCTTGTGGTGTATAGGTTGCATGTAGAGAATTGAGAGAGCTCCTGATGTGGTTAAAGCAAAAACTAAATTGTGTTTGCATGATTGTACTCATTCTTTCAAAGAATGTAAGTACGATACTCAATGTATTGTAAACTAAATAAACAATCATCAACAAACAAGTATTAAAACAACTGAAAAACTTACAATTCCATCTTTAATTACTTCTCAAAAATACTTGAATGGGACAATGTGAATTGGATGCTGATAGTTGTTCTATGATTCAATTGTCACACAGATTTACACCTTGGCTCAATCCATGGTTGGAGCATAGGGATGCTCCAGCTATCTTTTCCTTTCGGTTGATTTCATCCGCACCAAACAATCCAAATCGCTGAAACTTATCAACACCAGCGTTATTTAGGTTCAGTTACTGCTCCTCGATCTTACCACCTTGGTCTTCTTTCTTGGGTCCAATGGAATATTATTTTTATGTAAATACCGCTCTATGGCAGCAATCATTTCATTTTACGATGCAGATCTTGGATAGTAATCATTTTTCATACTCCTTAAAATTCTAACCAAATTTTCCATTTGACGTGGGGGCTCTATCTCCAATAATGGGGACACAATTATTTGTTCCATAAATTTTTCCGTAGATATAACGACTTCTTGCGGAGTTAAAGCTTTTTGAAAGTCTATTAATGCCCCAAGTTTGCAAACATTTTTTTGTATATACAAAATTTCTCAAAATCATGATGATCCTTGGCCATTCTAAGTCGACATTAATAACTTTTTTAGATTTTGTGACTGGAGTAATTAGGTTCCCCTCATCCAAGTCACTTTTAATTTATGTATCTGTGTAACCTATTGCTTTTTCCAAAGAATATTCGCCAGATTTGACCAAGTGTTTTATTATTCCTATATTGTTCATCACTTCATCTTTGCGAATTTCCTCTTGTAAGTCAAGCTCGACTACTATTTTGCTAGACCGTTTTAGTTTGATTCGACTAATCGTCGTTTTCAATGCCATTGAAGTTAAAATGATTCCATAAGAATTCTTGTTGAATGCGGTTACGTGCCCTTTGTAAGTTTTGCCCTTTTCACAGCATATTGAGCCAAAGTAAAGGATGAATAGTTCATCTATTGCAATTTTAGAGTCGACATGTAACTCATAGGCGTACTCATCGTGATTACCAAAATAGCCCCCTGGTTGGTGGATCAAGTAGCGGTTATAAATACAACACCCCTTCAGAAGGTCCTTAAAATTATAACCAAAGGGTTTTCAAAGAATTATAAGTTTGATTGCATCTTTTCTGATTTGAATGGTTCTTGGATTTGCTTGTATGTCGTGATTATGGTTCACCACCAACTTGACATTAGGTTTACCAAAATTTATTCGATGAGGGCATGCTTGACGTGTGCAATGCTATATAAATCTTTCACGTACTCAAAGTATTCCTGGATGTTGCTCATTGTCATTCTATATGATAGTACGTCACCTATCAGTCTGAATCAATTACCCTTTTCGATTATTTCATCATATACTGCGTATTAATATCCTAGTATTAATATCCTAGTATTAATCTCCTAATACAGTTGATGGCAAGGGCTTGAGCACATGCGATTCTAAAGGACTTAATGCTTCGAGGTCAGACGCATCACTTTCTTGCAGTGGTGATGAAGATGTCGTCATTTCGTGAACTGAATCGACTGAAGATTGTGCGCTCTGATTTCCTACCTTGCATCAAAAATCAGTTTTAGTCCTATGAAATTGCTGAAATAAAAGGACGCGTTCAAATCATATCTAAAACATGCCTGTAATTAATGATCATATCAGCATTGGTTATGAGAAAGTGACAATTCACATACTAGTGCTTTGCTTTTTGGAGTAAGCGGACGCTATTTGGAGTAATCTCAGTCAAAAGCTTAGGACCTTAGAGTTCTACCTCATTATTATTCGATTAGACCCAGTCTAATATTGCAGATTTGTGGGTCTCATACATTTTCAATAGATTTGGAGATCTTATAAGAAACTCTCGAGCATTCTGGAAACCATCGTCGTAAGGAATTACTCAAATACGAACTTTTATAACACTAGCCTGTAAGGCTGAAACATCAACACTGGTTTTTGAATTCGGAATCAAGCCGCACATTTCCTCTTTTGGACGATTTTAAAGTCTTCTGGCAATATTATAACCCAATTAGGAAATATAGTAAACAAAACAGTTTAATGCACGTGACTTGTTGTCTGAAGCTATTTATTCTATCTCCAGACAACCCAAACCAGAGCAAAACACTTCCAATTGTAACAAAGTTAGCTAGTTTATAAACCTCCCAGAATAGCACTTTTCACCATACAGTACTACTTTTCCAAGACTAAAGTAAAGTGCGTAGACAAAGAGTAGAGGCTACAGACTAGAGTAGAGACTAGAGATATATACGCGACATTAAACGAAATAAATGGTGTTATTTCCTGTATATAAGTCCTTTTTTTTAGTTGTTTACAAAAAAATCAAAACAACAAAACCAAAAAAAAAATTTGATTTCTCAAGAAAAACCCATATACAGTTTTTGGTGTTTAAAAGAGTTTTCATTGCAAACACTCAAACTAATAACTAATACATCTCATCATTGAAACATATACTAAGCTATGAGAGAAATTGTATGTTACTTTATATTCCCTCCCAGCTTTGCCTTAACCTTGATTGATGGCTGATGGGGGGGAGAAAAGATTTGTGTTGATTTCGAAACGTGTTTCATCTGTCTCAAGATAACAAAATAATGGATATATAGGATGTTATTCCCACACACGTACACACTTTAAACAACCATGACGCGTCCTATTGGGTATTACAAGATGATGGACATTTGATTCATACAGACTACTGAAATCACCACCTTTTATTTGTCCGAGTATCGTTATACTAACTATTTCCTTTTTATAGATTCATTTATCAACTGGTCAATGTGGTAACCAAATTGTATGTATTTAATTACTTCAACCACGCAGTTGCTTTACTTCCTATTTGCAATGCGTTTTCTTTATTTTTGGTTGCATCTATTAGGTGATCACCTTACTAACTGCCCATCTTCTAGGGTGCTGCTTTCTGGGAAACAATCTGTGGTGAACATGGGTTAGACTACAACGGAAATTATGTTGGCACAAACGACTTACAAAAGTCCAAGTTGGATGTTTACTTCAACGAGGCTAGTTCTGGAAAATACGTTCCTCGTGCCGTTTTGGTTGATTTGGAGCCAGGTACTATAGATAATGTTAAAGCATCAAAGGTTGGTAACTTGTTTAGGCCCGATAACTATATTTTTGGTCAAAGTTCTGCTGGTAATGTTTGGGCCAAAGGTCACTATACTGAGGGTGCTGAATTGGTTGACTCAGTTTTGGATGTCGTTAGAAGAGAAGCTGAAGGGTGTGATTCCTTACAAGGTTTCCAAATTACTCATTCGTTAGGAGGTGGTACTGGTTCCGGTATGGGTACTTTATTAATCTCCAAAATCAGAGAAGAGTTCCCAGATAGAATGATGGCTACTTTCTCTGTTGTTCCTTCTCCAAAAGTCTCCGATACTGTTATCGAACCATATAATGCAACTTTGTCCGTCCACCAATTGGTTGAAAATTCCGATGAAACTTTTTGTATTGATAATGAAGCTTTGTACAACATTTGTCAAAAGACTTTGAAGTTGCCGCAACCATCATACGATGAATTAAACAACTTGGTTTCGTCAGTTATGTCCGGTGTCACTACTTCATTGCGTTATCCAGGACAATTGAACTCTGATTTAAGAAAGTTGGCAGTTAACTTGGTTCCTTTCCCAAGATTGCATTTCTTTATGGTTGGATATGCACCATTGACCTCAATTGGTTCTAAATCATTTAGATCTGTTACTGTTCCTGAGTTGACTCAACAAATGTTTGACGCCAAGAATATGATGGCTGCTTCTGACCCTAGAAACGGTCGTTATTTGACTGTTGCTGCCTTTTTCAGAGGTAAAGTTTCCGTTAAGGAAGTTGACGACGAAATGCACAAGATTCAAACCAGAAACTCGTCATACTTTGTCGAGTGGATTCCAAATAATGTCCAAACTGCTGTCTGTTCTGTTCCTCCAAAAGACTTGGATATGTCTGCTACTTTTATCGGTAATTCTACATCTATTCAAGAATTGTTCAAGAGAGTTGGTGATCAATTCAGTGCCATGTTTAGAAGAAAAGCTTTCTTGCATTGGTATACATCTGAAGGTATGGATGAAATGGAATTTACTGAAGCAGAGTCAAACATGAATGATTTGGTTAGCGAATATCAACAATACCAAGAAGCAAGTGTGGATGAAGAGGACTTGGACTACGCTGATGAAGTTCCTTTGGAGGAAGCAGTAATGGAGTAAACTGAGATGTGATCTGATCTTTACTGTCACAGTGTTGCTTCAACAAAGTTTCTGATATCTTTCTTCATTTCTCATCTCTCTAGTTTTACCTTGGTTAAGTAGTGTTATTGTTGTTCTTTTTTTATATATATACCCTACAAATTATTTACTAGCTAGTTATTTCGATAGCACTTTTGAAAATCCATAATTGCCTTTATACAAGAGATTTGTAATTCTACATCTCGTTCGTCTCTTTTATCAGACATCAATGTTCATTTGTGGTAATTACGTACACTATATTTGACTGGTCCAATACATTTGAATAAATTACACACGATCCAACTCTAAGCATCTCCCACCCCTAGTGTCTCAATTTCCTCTTAAAAAGTTTTTAACAAAATCGTTCTTATCAATAGTATTATAAGCGTTTTGATCATCGAAATATCTCAACACATGGCATTGTTGTTTCCAGAAATTAATCAACTCTTGAAACTCCATTTGTCCCTTCATATACAATACGTTTTTAATAGATAAATCATCAACAAACCTTTGTCTTTCAAACTCTTGTCTGATTTTCGTCTTTATGCTCGATACTGGCATATCTAATTCGTACAAGTTGGCAAATTCTCGGGAGTTTCTGATATATCTACGGTATAATTGTAATACCCTTCGTCTTAACTCTGGGTTTGTAGCGGAATAACGCGTGGTTTCGGCAAATTGTGTAGCTATTGTCATTGTGGTTGAGTTGTTATGGTTATTGGATATTAAAGGTATGTGGCGGTGGTGCTATGTATAAACTCTATAACTAATGTGTCACCAACTAACAGTTTAAGACCTTTAAAGGTGAGATTTTTTTTTTTTTGCTTGTCTTCTTCTGTTTATGACAAAAGGCATAATTTGGTTGGCTGGTTTATATGCAGGATAGTCTCTATTTATCTATACAACTCAATAACAGCAGCAGCAGTAACTGTCTAAAGTTATCCAAAGTTGACTTTAATCTCCTGTAAAAACTGTCCTGATGGTTCTAGGATCTTGATAAATCTACACAATTCAAAGCACCAATCCCATTTTTCACTTTCAGCAAGCATTCTAATAATCTGGACAATAATTTGCTTATCATCTTGACTCAATTGATCAGAGTTGCCATTTGTATGGAATGTAGTTTCGGCACTATCATCATTATCCCCTGACTCGCCTTCTTTCTTGTAGTTCAAATACACAATGAGGTAATTGTAACATAGCTCAACGTTATCCAATTTAATTAATCGATCCATAAACTTCACTGGCGTTGTATTCAATGTATTGAAAAACTTGCCCCAGTATGCAACTTCAATCTTTCTCAAACAGTTAATGTAGACAGACTCTGGGCTCTCGGTAAACTCAATCAATTGAAAAAGTCGCTTCAAAGTCAAGGTTGATTGTTGTTCTTCGACTAAAAGTTTAAATAAGAGCAATTCCAAACAAAACTGAAAATTAGCAAATGATTTATACTTGTTGAATGTGCTTTCCAAATCACCTCGATGAACCAAATCAAATTCAATAAAGTTGTTCAAGATCAACTTATGTGCTAGTTTGTTCTTGACGATGAATCCATTATGATGATAACTCTGGGCCAAATTTTCCAATCCAATCAAATTTATTGACTTCTGGTCGGTTTCAATCTCCAAGGGTAATATATCATCAGCATCAATCGCTATCGGCACAAGCGCTGACTCATCGTCCGATTCAAAGACATCTTCTTGACCTTCATGCAACTTATTACAGGCTTTTTCAACCACTTCATTGACATCGTAGATTAAAACTTGATCTCCATTGAACAAGTAGACAAACTGTACTGGTGATTGAAATGGCACTATAACGAATTTGAAAAATTCAATACTTGAATTTAACTTGATTAAATCGTACATGTTGCTAGGTTTGATAACATCAACCGGTGTCTTGCTGAATGAAGGGGATCGTGTCACATTCTTCAATAAATAAAGTTCGCCTGATTGTAACAAAAACAAGAAATGCCTTTTATCAATCATACTGATCTGTCTTGTTTCATGCAAGTTGAGCTTGTGCTTAAGTGATGCTAAATGCACAGTCTTGTTTGTGGAAATAAATATACGGTAATGCTTTGCCTGTGAGTCCAAATTGACTGTTTTATCGGTAACCAAATCAAGTACCACTAATCGCGAGTCAGCAGTCAAGATTACAATATGGGACATGTCTTTGTCATGAATTAGTTGAGTGGCAACAAATGAGCATTTAAAGTCATACCTCCAAAGCAAAGAATCAGTGCTGAATGTAATATTTTCCCCACTCATGCCATATTTTGTCTGCGATGTGTCAAATACAATTACTTCGTCAACAAACTGTTCCTTATCCCCTTCAGCAGTTTCAAAATCATGATGGGTTCTTCTGTTCACTACTACAAGATAATCCTGAAACCAAAATTGATCAATAATGTTTAATGGCTCGGCAAAATGGATTTTGCAATTGAACCACAATATATGATTAGTTTGCCCACCTGTTTTGATTGGGGTTGATACCGCTAGATTATCCCCATACGAGATTGACAATTGGCCAAGGTAATTTTTCGATATTATGATTTCACCTTGTTGCGATGGAGCATTATCGATTGAACTGATATTATCATGGTGTAGCAAAAGTCGTTTGAATTTGGGCAACATGGGGAACCGCACAAAATTTCGGTGGTTCTCAATAACAGTTATGTAATTTTGGTCGTAAACAACATCATTCACAATGCCATAAAGTGGGACTAAATATAGTTTGCAAGAGTCCTGTGACATGACATACAATGTGTTTGAGTTTTCGCCAATCAAAATAGTGCTTGCGTTCAAGAATCCACCGGCGTGATCATGCTTCCCATTTAATTCATTTATAGTTTGATGAGTATCAAATAAAACTTTGCCAAATCGAGACAAAAGTTTCCAGTTCCCGGAATCTTCAATTAGGGTGAAGAAACCACCACAACTAGACCAGTTTATTCTTCCTTGAGGGACACCCAATGTTTTCAATTTCTCCAATATATTATCTTTGAGGCTAAAGAGCTTCCACCTTTCTGCTTCTTCGCCGATTAGCAAATTCGAAGTGGGGCTAAAACTCACACCGTTTAGGTCTCCCAGCCCAACAGTAAATGCGTGAACTTCATTATCAAACTTGATATAAATTATCTCACTCGCTTCAGTGATCAACAAGAAGTAGTCGCCATACTGGTTGTAGAAAATGCGTTTTGCTGGATTCTTGAACCATGAAAAAGTTGATAAATCAACAAGTCTTGTTTCGAAATTAGACAAATCAACAACTTGAAAATAATCCGATTCTACTTCTTCATTTGACTCATGTGCAAAATTGAAAATGAACAACGCATGTGAGTTCAGTTGCAACCAAAATTCTTGCCTACCAACACCCAGTCCCATTTGCAAAACCTTGTAAACTGATAATTTGACTGGTTCAATATCATATCCACCTAATTCATCGTCAATGGAATTATTATTTATACTCTCGACATTTTCCAATTTCGGGGACACATCTTCGTCGTTTCCTTGCATAAACGATTTAGTTGCCGATTGCAAAAACTTGGTGAATGAAAAATTACCCAGTGAATAATTCATCGGTACTCCCGCTTGTATTAGTTCATGGTTATTATTGTGCACTTCGTAAATTGCATGCGAGTAATCAACGCTGATTTGATAGATCACCAAGTAATTCAAGTCAGTCTGGATAAACAAGTTGAGTTTTGACTGTCTGCCTCTGCTTGCATTGTATATTAGTTTCTTTTTCGCTCTGAGATTGACACCATTTGTCTCTATAGAAGTAGACGATCTAGTATGGCTCGTCAATGGTAATAAAGTATACAGGTGGTAGATGTAAACTGATGTTTTGGTGACAAGTGCTACTATCTGATGAAATTGAATAATGTCTATAATCTCATCTTCAAAATTGAAATCAATTGCAAAATTGGGACACCCATTAATCATTTCTAAAGTTGACCAGTGTTTTCGAATTTGTTGTGTCGAGGATTTTGTTTGTCGCTTTGAGTTAATCTCGCGTGTTAAATTTACAGCGTATTCTGGTAGCGTCAGGGACTGGGACCATGAATGCGTCGAGGCTTTTGACATTTTTACTGTACTGCCCGAGGAATTGAGTAGCTAGTAGAGTTTACATAATCCTCAGTCCGGATTTCGTGACTAAAAGAATGTTTCCAAGTCTTAATAAGAGTTGGAGTGCGAGGAAAAGGTGCATATAAAAGTTGATACTCAGTATCGACTAGTCGACAATGGTGAAGTGTAATTTTCTGCTCTCCCTCTGATGGTCCAGATAGTCTAATAAACCCTCTCTACATCATACAGTTTTCTTTTCCCTGTTGATGAGTTAGCAAGTATCTCTTGAAAAAAGTGTCTCATTTGAAACACCCTCTCATTGTAATATATGCTCTGTCAATTTGTCTAAATTTAATATCAGTATAAATAATTAGGGGGTTTAGTGCGTATATTGCACTATGTTTCTGGAGAGAACGAAAACTACGTCTGTCAGACATGCAACTTTTTGAAATTAAAAATTTTTGCAACCAAATTGAGACAATATATTCTTAGCATCCCAAAATGGTTATGGTTCCTTCTCAAGGACCTCTTTCAAAACAGGCAACTCTGATATGAGTTCATAGCCATTTCAGTTTAAAAGTAGTTTCATAATTATAAAATTAAGACATCTGAGGAAAATAAAACCAAAAATAAGAAGGGCATTTTTCTCTAAATATGACCAAACTTAGAAAAGTCAGGGACCAAGCTTTTCATAAGTTGGGCGAATGGTCTAGTGGTATGATTCTTCGTTTGGGCTTAATACCTGAGCATAAATTTCGAAGAGGCCCTGGGTTCGATTCCCAGTTCGCCCCACTTTTTTTTGGTTTCCGCTCCCTCTACGAAGAGGGGTTGAAGGGATTTAATTGAACATGCTCCATTGTAGAGATCCGTATAAAGAGTAGCACTAGTCGCTTAATCCTTTTTTTCTTATCGAAGAAGCATCGCACGTCAAGTGTCTTTTTTATCCTTTCTTCTTTTTGGTTGCAAATGCTCAGGTATCTTAGCTATGTATACTGTAGACCATTCTATCTACAATTCGTTTGTCCTCGTCATTTGAGAGGGAATCAATTTTCAGAAGCCCACTTACTGAATTATGTACTTGTATCAGTGTTTCAAATGCCACACTAGCTTAATTCAAAACTGTCTTCCACCTGCTCCTTAATGACGCGAAATGTGTTGAGAAAAAAAGGACAATAACAATTTGACAAAGTGAGTGGATTTCTTTTTTCTAAGGCACAAAAATACCAAAATAAAAACATCACAATTATCAGCATCATCATCATCAATTGCTGTTGAGTGTTGTTGAAGTTTACATAATTTCTGAAACTCCGCCTTTTAAATACATACCAGAGGACTCCACATATCATGAATGACTTTCCTGTTACTTATCTCAACTTCAATCAGGACTTGACATGTGTTGCACTCGGCTTGAAGACAGGATACAAGATTGTCAACGTGGAACAGAAATTTGGTCGATGTTGTTCCTACAAGGATGATAGTGTCAACATAATAGAAATGCTTTATACCACTTCATTAATAGCAATTACGCCACTCGGTAACGAGATTGGATCATCACCTAGGGAATTAAAGATTAAAAATACCAAGACAAATAGTACAATATGTTCGTTGTTTTTCCCAACGTCTATACTAAATATCAAATTAACTACTGATTATCTCATTGTGGTTTTGGAAACACAGCTATATATATACGAAATTAAAACTATGAAGCTACTCCAAACGGTAAAGACCAATTCAAATCCACAGGGGCTATGCACAGTGTCGTATGACGCAAACCATTGCTTATTGGCATATCCTTCTCCACCTAGTGCTGCCGAAACACTTTCAAATCTTCACAACAGTCATCATCAAAACAAGTCTAGTTCAAATAAGTCCACCGGAAATGCCATATCTGATAAGGGTGATTTAATTGTCTTCAATATAAACAAGTTTCTTCCAATCATGGCGATAAGTGCTCATAAGAATGATATCGCCGCAATGAGTTTTTCAAGTGATGGGTCACTTATTGCCACTGCATCTGATAAAGGTACAATTGTGCGAGTGTTTGATACAAATACTGGGGTTAAATTGTTTCAATTTCGCAGGGGATCGTACCCCACAAAAATTTATTCCTTGCAATTTAGCAACGATAACAAGTATGTTTTAGCCACAAGCTCGAGTCTAACAGTGCATGTCTTTAGATTGGGCGAGGAAGAAGCGTTGGAGAATAAACAGAAAAAGAAAATTAAAACGATTGCAGAAGAACCCGAGACTGAACAAGTGGGAGATGAAGATGATGACTCGGATGATATGGGAGAAAACATGGAGGTAGATGAGGATGAAGAAGAGGCAGAGATACCTTCGAAACAGAGAAAGCTTTCTCAAAGTTCGTCAAATTCGTTCAACAGTGTCAACTCGGAGGATACCAATGCTCCAATTGTTGATCAGAATAGGCTTTCCGTTGCTAGATTAATTAGACGGTCCTCACAAACCTTGGGTCGAAAGGCAGCACAGAAAATGGGTGATTATTTGCCATCCAGGTTCTCGTCCATTTTGGAACCAACGAGACACTTTGCTTCCATAAAGATTGATGCAAAGAACAAAGATTTAAAGTCAATTGCAATGATAAACAATGAGAGTACTGGACAAGAATCACTTTCGCTAAACCAAGTGGATGGTAAAGAATTGGATCATCTTTTGCATGTTAATGTCGTCACGTCGGAGGGAATCTTGTACATATACGGACTAGATCAGGAACGTGGGGGTGATTGCATATTGCTAAACCAGTATAGTTTGATAGAAGAGTAGATAATTTATACCATGTATTATGCAAATGAGTGATAAAGTGGACCTCAGTTGGTGCTATCTCTGTGGTGGAGCCCAACGTTGAAGCAGAAAGCTGTTGTTAATATTAAAAAGACAGAACAAAATCGAAAATAAAAAAATAAATTAGTATTTAGCAAAAGCAAAAAAAAAAAATAGTAATCACAACTGTTATTCCAATTTGCCACTACGAAATATGAGTACTACAAGTATGTATTACGTCTTCCCTCTTGTTTTTAGCATGTATCCATGACAAATATACTAACAATAGGTAGTTACCATAAAGAATGCTGGAAAGACTTACACTTTTGATGTTGGTGCAAGTGACACTGGTATCGATTTGAAAAAGAAGATTCAGGAACAGACTTTGATTCCATCAGAGAGACAAAAGATCTTAGTCAAGGGGGGCAAATTGAACGATGACACTTTGTTATCAACTTTGGATTTCAGTAAACCAGTTATGGTTTTGGGTACGCCAGACAAGTTGACGGCGCCTATTGAAAAACCCAAATTCATTGAAGATATGGGAGATGTTGCAAAAGTGGACAATAACCCCGTGGGTATTCCAAACTATGGAAACACGTGCTATCTTAATTCAAGTTTACAGATTCTCTATCAAATAGACGATGTGAGGAACAATATTCAAGAGTACAAGGGAACTGACAATTTCACAATAGCGTTGAGAAACACGTTTCAACAAATGGAAAAGAAACAAGGCTCGGTTAACATTGCTCTATTTTTGACTGTGTTCAGAAGTGTTTACCCTCAATTTGCTGAACAAAGAAACGGGATCTATGCTCAACAGGATGCAGAAGAAGCATTTTCCCAGATTTTGACCACGCTAAAGCTGAATTTGAAAATTGCCGATTTATTCAAACTCGAATCCAAAGTGGAGACAAAGAGTTTGGCAAATAATGAAGATGTTTCGTATGGAATTGAGGATGCATTCAAGTTAAATTGTCACATTGATATCAAAACGAATTTCTTGAGAGATGGTATTCTTGGTGGGTTGACTGAAACAATCACCAAGCACAATGACACATTGAATGCAGATACCGAGTATGAAGTTTCCAAAAAGATTACCAGATTACCTAAGTTTTTGGTTGTGCATTTCATTAGATTCTTTTGGAGAAGAGATATCAATAAAAAGTCCAAGATTTTAAGAAAAGTTCAATTTCCATTTGAGTTGGATCTTTCTGAATTTTTGGATGATTCAATTAGAGAAGAAAAGAACAAGAATCGTGATATAGTCAGAAAAGTTGAGAAAGATAATCTTGACTTGAAACGTGATTTCAAAAAGGCCAAAAAGGAACACAATGAAGATGAAGAGTTGAAAATTGCTTCAATAAAGAGTAAGTTTCAGGATGATTTGACAACTGCTCTTCCTGGTGTCAATTTTGAAACCACCACCGAAAATCCATCCTCGGTTTATGAACTCAATGCAGTAATAACTCATATGGGAGCCAGTGCTGACGGTGGTCATTATAAAGCGTATGTCAAGGATCCTAATGACCTTGAGGGCGAAAACTGGTGGCTTTTCAATGATGACAAGGTGAGTTCAGTATCAAGAGAAAAAATCGCTACATTAGCAGGTGGTGGTGAAAGTGATTCAGCATTGTTGTTGATTTATAAAGGATTAGCGTTATAGATTTATAAAATACACACATATACGCATATGCATAGGTGTCACATTGAATTAAGGGGATTTCTTTTTACTTTGAATGCTGCAAAAAATTTCTATAAGTTTCTTACCAATGTTCTAAAAGTTTCAACTTCATCCCAACAATTGAGACTCTTGCCTTGATTATCTTTTAAACATTTAATTACATTTTCTCTTGAATCCTTCAATTCTGGAGTTATGTTGATTTGTTCCAATTTGGCATTATCTTGCAACAATTGAGTTAGTTTGGCAATTTTAGCATTTGATTCAGTCACTGAAAGACCTGGTTTATTACTCTTGTCTTTTAAGATTGCATCATTGGTAGTTTGTTTGAAATTCTTTATCGTTTGTGCTTCTAATTTTTTCAATTCTTCAGCTACTCTATCTTGAATGTATTTCTCAGTGTATTGAGCTCGAGAATAATCAGACTAGAAAATGAAAGGTGAGTTAGTATTAGAAGCTTTTGGAGGATATATTTGTGTACACGTAACAACCCTTTTTTCGGATTGAAGTGCTTACATAATTGTCCTTCGTTGCTTTCAACATACCTCTGGAGATTGTTCCAATTGTGATAAGAATGTTGAACTGAAATCAACGGGAGTGGTGGGCGTAAAGACTTTTGTCTCTGGTTTTGAAGCAGTAGATCCCATTTTTTCAAAAACTAGTTGATGTGGATATCTATATATTGTCAGTCTCACCCGTAGCCTATATGAAACGGTTTACAAGTACAAACTGATCTTTGCTCAATTGTTCTTTTGGGTTTTTGAAAGGTTGATATTTCTCGCTTTCTCTTTGTTGGTCGTGTATGTAGAAGTTTTATTGGATGGAATGGAATTCTTTCATTTTGCTTTTAAAAAAGTTTTTTTTTTTCTTGCCTTGAGAGACATTCAAATACGGCTTTGAGCTGCAGAACAGACAAACGAACAAACGACTGATAAGTAATCACTATCCTTTGCTTTACAAGATATGCCACCAGTTCAACAATATCAATATGTTGGTCACCAACCTTCCAACTGGGACAAATTCAAAATGGGTGCTCTAATGGGATCCACAGTGGGTGTTTGTGTCGGAGTTTTATTTGGTGGATTTTCGATTTTACAAAATGGTGCTGGACCAAATGGTGTTATGAGAACATTGGGTCAATATATCATGGGTTCAGTTGGTACTTTTGGGTTATTTATGTCTATTGGTTCAGTTATTAGATCTGATCCCAAGTTTCAAGAGGTGCAAAGAAACATGATGGCTCAGCAAAGAGCTAGATTGACTGCTATTTACAGAGATTAAAAAGTTTGGAAAGGAAAGAAGTGTGGTTCATGAGAATGTTGAAGAAATCAAGGAATATTTTTAATTGATGGGATTTACGACTAACGACAATAAAACATAAAAAGGAAAAAGAGCATACATGTAAATAGCAGAGAAAGAGGGAGGGATAAGAGAAGGAAGAGTAGGAAGAGTAGGAAGAGGAAGATGTCATATCTTGATTGATAACGTTCATGATGACGATGGTGAGTCAATCGCTTTCACCCTGGAAGAAATTTCTCGAATAATCTTTACTTTATGTATATCATTTTTAATCAACCGATTTTCTAACTCTATACAAACAACTCTATTTCTTTATTATGCTCTAGATCAAATAAATAAGTCAAGCCAAATTGAGGTACCTTATAATCATTGGCCCTTCCAGCAGCCGTTGCCAACTTTGTCAACAAATTCTTGGGCTCCAAAATGGGCTCACCACTTAATTTGAACGTACCCCAATGTATTCCCTTCATAAATGTGGCCGAAATTTGCTGTGATATTTGCAATGCTTCTTCTGGTGATATATGTCGTGGTTTCTGATGCCAACTGGGGCAATATTGGCCAATAGGCAACAATGCCAATGTAACTGGACCATTTTTCTTGCCAATGATATCAAATAGTTCCTTCAGGTACCCCGTATCTCCTGCATGGTAAACTATAGATTGTCCGTTGCGTTTTAGAATATACGAACACCATAATGATTTATTTGAATCAATGACATACCGTCCTGACCAATGCATCGATGGAACACATTCAATTTCATACTTATCAGGGAATTGCGGGTCTTGGGTGATGTATTTGGTTATATCCAACGTATCCCACCAATCTAATTCAATCACTTTATGAACTCCCCTTCTAGCTAGTTTTTGCTTTAAACCCAAGGGCACAATCCAACAACTATCATTGCGTATCTTTGCCACAAGATCCATTTCTAAATGATCCGGGTGATCATGAGAAACCAAGACAAAATCAAGATTGTTGTTGGTGGCATACTCGATATCCTCAAATGATAATGGCGATCTAGTTAATCGTTTAGGTCCGAATGATGGTGTGATTAAATGATCACTTAATATCGGATCAGTTAGGAAATTGATTCCTGACACTTGAAATAATGTACACGATTGACCTAGCCAAGTGAATAGCAATTGCTGGTTTACCAGTGGTTTAGATTTAAGCAAAAACCCGCCTTTATTCTGATGATACAATGCTTGAAATTGATTATTCTTGACACATTGCTGTAGTATCGCTGAGTTGGCTCTGTACCTTTCCAAATCCGGCTTAAATAATTCAAGCTCATCTTCCACTTCAACAGCACCGTCATGAGGATGAGGTAGTTTTGCATGTTTCTCAAATGCATTTCCATACAACAGTTCAAAGAGTTCCATGATTCGTACAAGCACAAATTCAAATGCGGTTTGGGGTCGGTACTCGTCGAATGGGTTAACAAACATCCCTGCCACTGTGGCTGATTTGAACTTGGAATAATCTAAGTTGGCAGCATGCGGTTGCTGTTGCAGTTGTTGCAGCTGTTGGTTGAGCAATTTTTGATACTCATCTTTTCGAGATTTTATTAGATATTTCGTCCGTACCAACATATATGCTTCTAAAGAAGCGTATAGTGAAACGATCCCTATTCCGATCTTGAACTTGAGCCCTAGGGAACCAAAAAGTACCATTCTTTTTGTAAAGATTTTATTAGTAGAAATTATTTCAGAGCTAAGAAAAGTAAGAGAAATATAATTTGATTGTCAGAAGAAAGCTCTTACAATATGTCGCGCCGACACCTCTTCTTTACCACTCGGCGATAAACAATTTATATTAAGTCTATATATCAATGTCTCTTCACCACACCAGCAATATTAGCCGCCTTAAGGATGTGTTTCTTATAGTCATGAATATTACCAGGGAATTTCGAAATGGTGTCGTTTTCAGCCACCCAAATTTCATTACATACTTTATCGATTATAGCAACATCATGAGAAACCATCAATATACCACCTTTGAAATTTCTCATGGCTTCGGCCAATGCATCTAAACCTTGCGTATCAAGATGATTTGAAGGTTCATCTAGGATCAAAATATGTGGCTGATTCAAACACAATGCAGCAAATGCCACTCTCGATTTTTGACCACCAGATAATAATTGCATCTTTTGTAAACCCAAAGGACCGGTAATACCAAAAGAACCCAAATGACGTCTATATTCTTCATCGGTCTTTCCGGGGAAGGTTTGACTCATCCATGATACAGCAGAAAGCGATAAGTCCATTGCGTCAACATGATGTTGGGCAAAATAACCAATTCTTAATCGTCCATTCTTGTTGATATACCCTTCCACAGGGGTAATTTGTTCCATAATAAGTTTCAAAAGCGTCGTTTTACCCGTACCATTACCACCACAAAATGCAACTCTTGAATCCATTTGGACATCTAGATTTACATTTTTGAAAAGCATCTTATTTGGATCATAACCAAAACTGACATCTTGCATTTGTAAAATTGGTGGGGAAATACTATCAGGTTCAGCAAATTTAAATGTAACCACTTTATCATCTTCAGGAGGCTCCAACACTGGTAATTTTTCCAATTTCTTGATACGTGATTGTGCTTCTTGAGATTTGGCAGCATTGTATCTGAACTTGTCAATAAATTCTTGCAAGTGCTGTCTGTACGCCATTTGACTTTCGTACTCACGACGTTGATTCTTGATTCTTTCTTCTCTAGTAGCGTAGAAAGAGTCAAAGTTTGCCCCTCTATAATAGTCCAACCTTTCTGAATGTTGATGAATGATATCAGTGGCCACTTCATTAAGAAATGCTCGATCGTGCGAAACCACAAGTACGGTTGATTTATATGTTTGTAAGTAATTAGCCAAGAATGTGATGGATGGAACATCCAACATATTGGAAGGTTCATCCAACAACAACAAATCAGGTTGACAAAACAAGGCTCTTGCCAAAGACAATCTCATTCTCCACCCACCAGAAAATTGCTTTGTTGGCACATTTTGGGTTTCCTTAGTAAAACCCAACCCATAAAGAATACCAGCAGCTTTACTTTCTGCTTTATCGGATTCCATTTCATTCAACTTTTCACTAATCTCCGTTAAGTGGGTTTCCAAGTCGTCACGTTCATTGTCAAGTTTCTTGACTTCCAACGACTCTTCGTCAAATTCCTTTCTCAAGTTTTCAATTTCGACTATTCTTTCGTTAATCTTCAGCTCTTCTTGTAATAAACTTTTTCTCCAAACATCAGCATCAAGAACACTTTGCAATGCTGGGGTATCATCTCCTCTAATTTCTTGCTCGACATGCAAAATAGTGATGTGTTTAGGAACATTCAACTCTCTTCTTGACAAAGCTCGCAACAATGTAGATTTACCAATACCATTTTGACCAACTAAACCGTATCTTCTTCCATAGGCCAAGGTTAAAGAAGCTTCACTCAAGATTCTTTGACCATCTCCCACATATAAATCAAAGTTGTCAATTTTGATGTCCTTCGATTTACCAGCACTTGATCCGAAATCAAGGGGGTTAATTTCAAGAAAGAATGAGTCATAGTCTTCTTCTTGTTTATCATTCAATAATTTCGAAGCCTCGTACTTGACAAACTTGTTGTTACGTTTAGCTACCTTCTTGGCAATTTTCCTCTCCTGTTTCTCCAACTTCTTTTTGTCAACTCTACTTTCCATAACTCTTCCTGTATGTTCAATGTCATTGCTTGCTGATAACAACGCAAGGGATGAGTTGATATCTCTCTTGGTATTATTTTGCAACACATTAATGTCGAGTAAACGTTTTGAAGTATCACCAGTAATGGCTAACTTCTCCATATTCTTTTTCAATTTTTCACTCAACTGTTCGGTAATGGTATCAGTTAAAGTCTTGACTTTGTCAGACGGCCCACCTGCTGAGATCAATAAACTAGTCAAAAATGTCATTTCATCGGAAATGTTGATCCTTTGGGCACGAACACTGTCTTCTGTAGCATCTGATACATGTTGAATGTATCCTACAGCATAATCAGCCACTACTGAATCAATAGCAGGAACTGCTTGTCTAATCTGTAAACTAACGTTTGACATGGGAGGTGATACTTTGAATTGTATGAGAAGAAGTATCTTTCTTGGGTGAAAAAAAAATAAAGAAAATTATTTTGTTTGGAAAAAGTTTGTCTTTACAAATGTATATCAATCAATCAATCAATAATAATTAGCTTTTTATACACACAGAGTACATTTCTAAACTATATATATCTATAAAGCAGCTTTAATCTTTGATTCCAATTGGTCAGCCGATTTCAATTGTTGAACATCTGAATTACCACCAATGTGTTGGCCGCCAATAAAGACATTTGGCACCGTCTTTTGACCAGTCAATTCAGCTAAAGCTTCTTGAATTGAAGCACCATCACTCTCTTCATCTAATTCAAGAATATAAGCATCCTTAGTAAGAGCTTCAATTGTCTTTTTAGTTTGGGCACAGTATGGACAGTATGATTTGGAAGCAATAAAGATTGGCTTTTCTTTAATCAATTGTTCAACCTTTTGTTTAGTTTGAGCAGAAACCATATTTGAAATTGAGTAATATCTTTTGTTGAATAAAGGTGTAGCTGTTGTTGCTGTTGTTGTAGTATATGATCTAGATACAAGACTCCTAATCATAAATTGGTTTCAAAAAAGGGAGGGGATATTTATAAAGGCGAGAGAGAATTCAATTGTGTATTTATAATGACAGTAATGGATGTGTGTGTGTGTGGATGTTTGCTTTTCTTCTTCTTTTATATTAATAAAATTTAACTTTTTGTGTTACGTCATTTATTTATTATCACTGTACACGACTATTACTTATATATATATATATATATAAAGCTTAGTAATAGTAATATAAGAATACACAGCCAAATGAAGTAATACCGAACTTCCCATTAGAATCAACTCATCTACATACTGCGATCACTTTATCACATACTTTGATATTAGCAGATTAGATCATTAGTTCATTTCATAGTAAGATAGTACCCCAATGTTTAAATGCTGCTTTATTTAACAACGCCTGACACTACAATTAGTCAGAAATCAGCTGGTAGCGTGGATTTTGCAATTAGATCTAGCCCTTTCTATTGATCATTGAACTTTAATACTTTCATAAATATACTATAATCCCCTATACACAACATAATATCCGCCTCTTTTAAAGCTTACCCATTCTTTCTTCAAAAAGACCATGAGACAAAATCTCAATTGAATAAGTATCTGGGTCTCTAATAAAAGCAATTCCCTTAACCGCTTTGCCCTGATTAAACTTCACTGACCAATCTAATTTATCTCCATAAGCTTGTTCCAACTCTTGGCAGAACTTGGCCGGATCATTACAAGAAATACAAATGTGACCATATCCTTGGACTTCACCATTATCAGTACTGTTTCCATTATGATATCCTTTAAAGTCAGGATCAGATTCAGTGCCCCAATTATGGGTCAATTCTAATACCGACTCCCTTTGCAGTTGTTCCTCCCAAGGCATTTCACCTTCTTTGAAATTGGCATCATGGTTATACCCAAGGAAATACAAACTAAACTTGGCTTGAGGGAAATCCTTTTTGGAAAAGAGTTTGAATCCCAATGACCGGTAGAATTTTAATGAAATTTGAGGGTCTTTAACTCTAATCATAGTATGATTGAGCTTATAAGAAGAAACACTAGTCTTGCCTTCTTGTTTGTCAATCCCATTTTCGATAACTTCAACCCAATAATCCTCAGGATCAGATAAAAGAAAGGCAATGTTATGTTGACGTCCATCCGACAACTTCTTTTTAAAACGAACACCATTTTGTAAAAATTGTTCTTGTGCCGCTTCAATATTATCAACGGAAATACACACATGTCCAAACCCCTTATCCTTGTCACCATTACCATTATTGATATGTTCAGTGCCTCCATGGTTATAACATAATTCCAAAACACCTTCACGAGCAGCCCAATTCAAATGTTTATTCTTTTCAGTTTCGTAGTTTAACATGTACAAGGTAAAGGTATCAAATGGAATAGTGGCAATTAATTTCATACCTAATTTCTGTTGCCACCAATCAACCGATTTGGGATCCTTGATTCTTAAGCAAGTGTGGTTCATAAGAAAACTATTGTTAATGCTAGTCATTTTGTTTGCAGTTGTTGTAGTGGAGTAGTAACTGACAATTGATACTTGTGACGGAAAAGAAGATGAAAATTGACCAATTAATTGCTGATGATGATTTTGAAAATTGTTGTATTGCTGACGGAGTAAACGCGCACTTCTTTGCACCGGATAAACGAAATTATTACTTCTCCACCCAATGCTCTTAAACAACATATCTCTTAACTCTATCGAGGGTTAACAATCTTGTAATGAAATGCTCCTCGAGTTTATTATTCTGTTTATGGAAAATGAGAGTTGATGTTGCTTCATATGTGAGACTTTGTTGGAACAAGAAATGCGTTAAAATTGCTTTCTAAACTCCGCGCATTGTGCGTGGCGGGCGGTGTATAAAACGAGACGAAAGAGAGAGAGAGTGGTGGCCGCTGTACATGACAACATTAACTCTCATGGCAAATCGGATCTCCACCCAAAATTCAACATTGAACTGAGATACACCAATTGCATTGCAACCACAAAAACATAATCACTATACATTGACTGTCCTATTTACACAAATTACAACTTTTTTCACTCGTTCTTGTTTAGATTTTGCGCTTCCTGTTTGAATTGTTCAAAAACATCCTTTTTCACCTTGTATCCATGTTCATCAGCCAAAGGAAACTGCTTAGATTCCACATCCAGCTTGTATTGCTTCAAAGCATCAACTCCAGTTTGATAAAACCGAGCATATGGTTTAACAAATTTGGCAATATGGCTTTCTTCAGGATTCTTCAATTCCAACATATCCGAAATCACAAGCACTTGACCAGAACAGTATGGACCGGCACCAATTCCAATTGTGGGCACCGTTAAGTGCTCAGTTATGTACTGAGCTATCTTATTGGGGATGCATTCCAATACTATGGCAAACACCCCAGCCTGTTGTAAATTCAAACATTCTTGATAAATGTCCAAAGCTCCCTTTGCGTCTTTCCCTTGTAGTTTGAATCCACCTATTGCATTATGTTTCTGAGGAGTTAATCCAACGTGTCCCATTACTGGGATTCCCACTGAAACCAATTTCTTAATAGTAGGGATAATTTCTTGATTACCACCTTCTAATTTAACTCCTTGGACTTTACCTTGTTGCACCAACCTAATTGCCGATTTTGTTGCTTGTTTCACTGACGCTTCAAATGATCCAAAGGGTAAATCAGCAATTATTAACGATTTATCGTTACCTCGCAGAACTGATTTGACATGGTACATCATTTCATCCAAGGTCAATTCATTAGTATCCTGGTATCCCAACGTAGTATTCGCTAGTGAGTCTCCTACCAAGCATATATCTATATCTCCAGCATCGACTAATTTGGCAGTTATGAAATCATGGGCCGTAACCACGGAAATGGGTTTCTGTGAGTGATGAAATTGATGGATATCAGAAACAGTTTTCCTCGTGATTTGATTATATGATGATCTGAGGGCTTGTGAATGGGAAAACAAACGTATAGTTTGTTTATGAATTGGTCTACGAAACATCAACAATGGTTCGTTCTTGGTGTGGGAGGTTCTGGTCAAGTCTAATTGCAAAAGAGAAGGGTTCAACAGTTCATAAATTTTTTTTTCTGACTCACCTCGGATGAGAGAAACAGTGGGGCAATATCTATACGATCAAACGTCGTATACAACTTTCAAAGATTTACTTAGGAGATTACAATCAAAGCATCCAATTATATCTCAATGTTAAATGTATTATAAATAAAAATACGAATGACAGTATTACAAAAATCTATTATATCGAAAAACTAATGTACAAAACGAAAGGTCTTCACCAAAAACAACGATCGATGATTAATATGTGTCCCTCAAATTCTTTTAAACCAAAAACTTTTGGTTGTCCATAGTACCTGATCTGGAAAATGAGGCATATCTTTGGAACGGATCGTTTCTTTCCAACTCATATTCAGGGTTATTGGCTTTCTTATTGGTCATTCTTCTAAAGAATACTCGTTTACCCCATTTCCAAGCTTCAGCACCAAGGAGAAACAACACTGAGCATGCAAAAGCAACCCCCCATTCCCATCCAATCGGCTTGTGGAGAAACACCTTTGTGTTGATAACTGGAATGTAAACGACGGGGAAAACAGTGACAAACCCACCAATAACTGACCAAAAGAGGAATTGGTTGCCCCACAAGTCAATAGCAGTTTGTTTCCACCATGGATTATCGGTTTCTTGTCTCATGTAAAATAAGGAATTAGTGGGGTGGATGCATTCCCAAGCAAGAATTAAAGCGCACCAGGTCATGTTGGCAAATGATGCTGATCTTCCGCGGAAAACCAATCCACACACATCGGTATCAGCATCCATTGAATTACAATCGACTCCTAAATCTCCATTGCCGTGACCAAAAACAATAACGACAAAGCAAAGCAAACACGAACATGCCATCCAGAACCCGTATCCCAACATATCAATAATCACTTCCCAAGTGAAAATGGTATTGTTTGGTGGTTTTTCCAAAATGTCATCACTGGCTTTTTCTTGACCCAATCCCATGGCGGGGAAACATGAAGTAACAACCAAGATCCACAACACTTCAACGGGAGACAAGGGGAAAACGGAAAATCCTGATTCGTCCATAAATACTAAACCAACCATCAAGTAAATTGCTTGAGCCACATTTTCTGCCAATAATTGCAAAACGAATTTCTGAATATTGGCCGACATTCTTCTACCTTCTTCAATAGCATTCAAGATGGAAGCGAAGTTATCATCAGTTAACACAATGTCAGAGGCATCCTTTGCAACATCAGAACCATTCATGCCCATAGCAATACCAACATCGGCCTTTTTCAAAGAGGGAGAATCATTAACACCGTCACCAGTCATGGCAGCAAACTTTTCACGACGATGCAATGCGTCAATCATACGGACCTTGGTTTGAGGAGCACAACGGGCAATAACTAATGGCAACACGGGTAAGTTGTCAATATCGTCATCGGATAAAGCATCAAATTCATTAGCAGTCATAACCATCACTTTAACAACGTCTTCTGAGTAGTGGTACAAGTTATGAGGCAAGATTCCCACTTCTTGGGCAATGGCCTTGGCTGTACCTGGATGGTCACCGGTAAGCATGTGAACGTTGATACCCGCCTTGTGACATAACTTGACAGAACCAGCAGTTTCTTCTCTTGGGGGATCATAAATACCAATAAGACCTTGGAAAGTTAAATTAGATTCGACATTTTCACGGTCATCGAAACCGTCATCGATGGTTCTAGTGGCAAATGCCAATACTCTTAAACCTTGGGACGATAATGCTGCCATATTTTCTTCGATTGAGTGTTTGTCCGAGTCAGTCAATTCTTGCAACTCTTGTGAATCATCAGTGCCCTCGCCATACCAGGTGGTACACAATTGAACAACTCTTTCAACGGCACCTTTAGTGTAAACTCTAGTTTCACCCGATTTTTTATCCTTGTAAATTGCCGACATTCTTTTAATTGACGAATCAAAGGGAAATTCAGCAATATGTTCATACCCATCAACCAATGACTCCCTAGCGTAATCTAACCTTGTGGTGAACACCTGAATGGCAATTTCAGTAGCATCTCCATGGGCCTTCCAAACAATTTCGCCCAGTTCTTCATCTTTGCTTTGATTGACAGTGGCAATATTTGCCAAAGTAGCGGTCATTAACCAGTTATGCATGCTTTGTGGCATGGGATCAGGATGATGTTTATTAAAATCAACTTCTTCGTCGGTTTCTTTGATGAAATATGGCGAGTATGGAGCGTATTTCACATCACCCACCGTTGGATTATATGGCTCATTTGAATTTTGCACTTCCAAGGTACCAACATTTGGCAACCAAACTTTTTTAGCAATCATCTTACCTTGAGTTAAAGTACCTGTCTTGTCGGAACAAATATCATTGATACCTCCTAAAGCTTCCAATGAGTCCAATTTACGGACAATGACATTTTTCGAAACCATAACTTGAGCACCAACAGCCATGGTAATGGTCAAGACAACAATAAGGGCAGATGGGATCATGGACAATGCCACACAAATGGCGTAAATGGCAACTTCACGATTAACAATCATCTTTTGCGAACCCAATACAACAATGGCAAACACAACCGCCACCCAAAACAAGAAAATAGCCAACCATGAAAGTTTTCTTTGCAATGGTGTTCCAACAGTTATACCAAGAACGTTTCCCACGATATCGTAAACAGTTCCAGCACAAGCACGGCCATATTCTCTCTTTTTCGGTTTACCATTTGATTTGTCAACTTTTCTAATTAACCCAGTGTTACCTCTAAGTGATTGAGCAATTTGACCAATTTCAGTGCTTAAACCAGTTCCATAAGCAATACCGGAACCTCTACCTTTGGAAACAACCGAAGACGAGTAAACCAAATTTAATCTATCACCAACGGGGATAGGCACTGAGTAGTCATCATAAATAGCTGTGTGATCCTTTTGCACTGGCAACGACTCACCTGTCAATAGCGCCTCGTCAGTTTCCAAATTCATAGCATCAAACAATCTCAAATCAGCAGGCACAGTATCACCAACTTTGACATGGACAACATCTCCTGGAACAACTTCTTCAGCTGGAATAGTGATATCATCTCCATTTCTCGTGACTCTTGCTGTTGGTGATGACAAGTTACGCAACGAGCCCATGGTTTTCTCTGCTTTAACTTCTTGGACAAACCCAACGAGGATATTGATACCAACAACAAATCCAATAACACCACCGGAAATCCAATCTCTAATAGCAAGGGCAATAATCATACTGATAAACAAGACTAATATCATGGCATTGAAAACTTGGTGGGCCAAAATTTTGGTGTAGGATATGGAATCCTCTTCACCAAGATTGTTGGCACCATAGGTGGTGATTCTCGATGAGGCTTCGTTTGGTGACAATCCATCTGCTACATCAGTATTGAATTCCTTAACCACCTCTTCAATTGGTAGTCTATAGTACTGTTGTGATACATGGCCCTGTGTAGATAGTTGGTCATTTTTGGTATTATTAGTTGTAGGTGTATTGGTCATTGATTTTTCGGATAATGAAGAATCGGTATTTCTTCGTTGTGAATCACTTATTGATGATTTTTCTTTAGAATTTGACATTGGAGTAGTATTGAGTAGTAGGAGTGGTAAGTTGTGTTATATGGAGCAGGTTTTTATCTAAAAGCAGTACCACAAGAATGCAGCTTATTGAGAAAGGGAAAATGCGATTGAAAATGTAAATTGAATACCAGTAAAACTAACCTTCTCTTTTACAGCTAGTTTTGTATTAATCAAAAAAATAAAGACCTCCAAAGATTAGACCAACAAAAAATAGGAGGATGGGGATAGGTACGTATGTTTTTCTATCTGTTGATGAAAATTAATTGGATAATTTTTGAATAAAAAAGAATCAGCTAATATTATAAAAGCAAAATAACAACAGATGAAAAGTAATAATAATAATAATATAATTATTGTACTCTATGAGATGTAAAATGTTAAATGTTAAATTCAAAATGTTAAATGTAAATGTATGCTATGTTGAAAAAAGTCAAAGTTATATGTTTCTGACTTGTGGTTTTGCTGATATAGATCTTCTACGAAAGAAAAAGTAAAAAAAAAAGAGGAAAATAATTGGAATAATTCTTTCATTCATCAAAGGAGGGGGAATATGTCAAGGTATTTATATTCTCCTCATGATGTTTGATTGAAAGATGGAGAGTTCTTGAGGAGGTTTTTGGTGAAAAGTTTTAGAGTTGCAGAATATTACACAAACAAATATATACAGGATCTATTGTTTTTTTCTTTTGTTCCTCTTTTTTTTGTTCTTTTTGTTTTTTTTATTTTCTTATCTTATTTTTGATGATACCAAAAAAGTGAGCAATATGGGACATTGAGGCTGAGAACCCAATGAAGCCAGAAGCCTAGACCAACTTAACATGTCAGATGATACTGAATGACAGAGCCAAGAGGACAAGAGGACAAGGAAGTAGGGTTTTGTAATTATGTCATATTGTATCGTAAGAAGAAAAGACAAGTAGCACAGTTTTTAGGGTCATGTGTTTTCAGATAAAAAGACTAGTCAATCAGTTGCTCTGGATTAATGCTAATTAGTTCATCTGTAATCTACTACTAATAAGTATACGTAAATGATGCCATGAAATTATCTATCTACACACACTGCCAAGGTCAGAAGTGAAAAAAAATTGGCATTTTGCTTTTTCTTGTCATTATGCATCCATACACACATACTATTTTGATATACAAAGAATAATATTGTTTTTCTTAGCAGCCAAGAAAAGGAATCGAGCAATAGTACACTACCTTCACTTTACCGCCCAACAAAGAAGAGATACCAACCAACATCAATCTATCTACTGTCCAATGCCCTATATTCTTCTCAATCTTAAGGGAAGGCAAGGGCGAAGAAATCTCTTCGCCCTCTTTCTCATCTCCACAGTTATGTTATCACCTATATTACTTCTTTTTTATTTTCTTTTGTCATTGGCGTCTATACCTGACAGTGATCTAATATTTTACTTGCGTCTCTCTATTTCTTGTAGGGTCTCTAGATATTCACTTTTTGAACTTGTTACTTTTATCTCTCCATTTGCAAAAATCAATTTTTGTACCAAACTATATCCTTACACCCCACGTTTCCACTTTAGAGAAAGGCAACAAATTTTTTTTTTCATTTGTTTAAACGAAGCTGAGATACACATCTTCTGGAGCTCAATCCATTACGTAATATCAATCGTATGTTTTTGTTCTTTACTAGTTAATCCTCTATTGCAAAATGTAACCTCTTTGCAATAAAAAAGCAATGGTACGATTTCCTCTACAAGATCACCACACGTGGCAAGGAGGGGTCGGCATTTTTAAGCAGAGGTACAAGCCACTTTTATGGTTTGGTCTAATTTACTATCTTTTTTTTCCTGTTGTATTAGGTTGCAATTTAGAAGATTAAGGCGTTTGATGTATCTGCAACTCATAAAAGAATTGCAACACAATAACACTCACACAAAAAGGAAAGGCGGGGAGGTCATGCGCAATAAAACAAATTAGAACTAAAAAAGAAAGAAGCAGACCATACACATACACACACTGTTCTAAAAGAATCAGATTTACACTTTTACTTTAAATCACTCTTTGCGCTTGTTCAAATCGTATATGCATAGCGGTTGCGGATAAATATTATTTTCTAGTAGATTTTCTTTATTTTGTGATACTTTAAGATACACCGGAGTTATTAGAAAAACGATAGTTGCGACGTTAATTCCGGTGCATTAAAACATTCTCATACGTTAATACCGACAAAATAAGGTCACAGAGAGGAAGAATAGCAGGAGCCATTTCTACATGGAAGTGAGCCATGACATCTTTCAAATCATCCATTTTAGCAAACAATTTATTTGAATATTTGGAACTAGAGCTTTCCCTTCCTCAGTCATATATTCAACCTTTTTGTTTAATTTCTACCTTTGTTCTTGTTGACAGTCCATTCTACTGAGGACACAACGATGGAGTAGTAGTTCTCTTATACAACACATTAAGCGACATTTCGCTAAATACGAATAGAGTCGAATCACCACAATCAACCAAATTCAAGCTACCAACTGAGATTTTTTGACAAAGCTTAAATTCTTCTTTGACTCTGGTCAACGGCTAGCTCCTACCTGTGGCGCGTACAGGTCTAAACTTCTCATTACTGACTACAGATTAATCTTTTGTAGAACGCATTCCTATATATAACAATGTTAGTTTTTCTTGTCGTAAATTTCATTTAATTATATGCAGTACAGATACAATAAGAAAAGCTTATCCATTTGTTCTGGGTAAAAAACCCCAAGCATTTGCAAGTTTTTCTTGTCAAACTCCACCTTCAAAAAGTGATCTAGATCCACTTGTCTTATATTTTTTAAAATTTCAGGTTACTGCTGCGCCCCTTCACACAACTTTAGGTCGAACTGCACTTGGGTCCAATTGCATCTGTTATAGAAAGTTTTTCCGAAATACGAGATGTTCAGGAACAGCTATTCTCCTTGATGTCACACTCATCACGTTATAGTTAAGCTTAGTCTCTCTCTATTGGATTATAGGGGCTTTTATCACATGTAAAGCTGAGTGGTTAGATCAAGGTGTTGTAAGGAATATTTAACCTCTTAGATTTAAAAGGCTAGTTTTCAAAACATAAACTTTGCAACAAATTGGAAGTAAACTGTAAGGTTCCAAAAATTTAGTACACACACGAGATAATTAACTCCGTGTGGAAACTTACTATAGTCTAGAAGGCAGTTAATCTAAGTAATCTATTGTAGATTAATTTATTATAGTGCCTTTGCCGATATTGTTGTCATCCAATACGGTAGCGCCTTCTATTGTCACGACACAGCTCCTCATAATGTCATTCAGACCACGAATTGGAAGTGGTTTGTAGATTATGAGTCCGAATGGAAACTTAATTTTGTAGATAGCAAGATGTGTAGGTTGTGACTACTTACAGTTAGCAAGCTCATTCAACAAGTGACTTGTAAAGTTGAAATGGCTCTGGCTCAACAGAACTTGCACCTTGAAAGAAAAGTGAAAAAAAAAACTGTTCTCTTGGTTTGTTCTGCTTGGCAGTAATACGAAGCACCATCAACCACAACCATGTTCTCCCAGTCGGATGAAAAGATCATAGAGTATATCGAAGCAGGGAAGTATACTATTGCACAATCTTCATTGCTTGATAAAATCAAAAAGTTCCCCAACAAAACTATATATCGAGCGTTGTTGAATAAGGTCTTGTACAAGACAGGCTCCACAGCCAAAGCCATTGAAAACAATTTGGCATTATTGAAAAGCACTCCCAATGAAATCACCACCGTAATTGAACTTTACGAATTTTTCAAATCGGCGGGGATGGAGAAGGAGGCCAATTTATGTTTTGAAAGTCCAATTCAGAAATATCCATTGTTATCGCAGGAGCTAGGCACTATATGGTTTGAAAATTCGGTTCAAGATTTGGATATTAAACAGTTTAACAAGATTTTTTCCTTCTTGAACAAGAGTAAGAAGGAGAGAAAGTACACTTTTTGGTATAGTTTTAGTTTTTACTTGTTGTTCAACCAAGGTGAAAAAGAGGAAGAATCTAAATTGAAGTTGTACAAGTCATTTGGCAAGAAATTGATAGAAGGGTTGGTTGAGAACGAACCTTTTGTTAATTGTCAGGAGGTGTACGTATACACTAGATTTTTACTTTTGGACGAGGACTACACCACAATTGAGTCGATTTTGAGCAGCATAAAGTTCCCGTTGGATTTGGAATTGCAATTGCTTTATATGGAGGCAATGGAAAAGTCAGGAAAGTGGACTCAACTTCACAATTACACAGGGAAATTGTTACTAGAAGATAAATTTGATGATTACGATACCTGGAAGTTGTGGATTAGGTCAGGTTATGAAACAGGTGCTGCCCTCGTGGATCTTCAATCCAAGTTGGGCAACAGTAGAAATGAGTTGTTGATAAGAATTGAATTGGATATTTTATACAAGACCGATCCAAGCCAATTGCAAAGTGACATTGAGGTGTATTTTGCCAAGTTTAAGAACAAAATGTGCTGTTTTAGTGATCTTTTTAAATACAAGGACTTTTTATCATCTGAGTTTTACACGATGGTCAGGAATTCCACAGATGAGATGTTGCTGCACCCCTCGGAGGGCGACAAGGACCTCATTACATTAGTCAATAACCAAAAATTTGTACCTCATGTTAAGAATGGACAGATTTATCAACATTACAGAGGCAACAAAAGCTCCACCAATAGATCCGAGTTTGACAATGATCCCCTAAGTGATGCTCTTTTAATTTCGATAATTGAAAACTTGTCGAAAGATGCACTGCCTCAGCAGATAATACAAAGCATAACAGTGATCAATCATTTGTTAATCAACGACAAGTACAATTACAAATTAAAGGTCTGGCTGATCAAGCTTTACTCACAGTTAAACACCAATGATTCGATATTACCCTTGTATGAATCTTTGAAGATAAAGATGATTCAACATGAAACTGTAGGTTACTATCTTACTAACGTTGTCCCAGCAACTAGAACGAGCCTCGAGCAATACATTGATATTTTCCGATTCTACCTTACAGCAAGACACGAAGTTAAAGATACGGTATTGGGCGGGTTTGAACTGCAAATTTACAGCAAATTAACTAGTTTTATTCAGTTTGGTCAACGGTTACAAAATTCAGTTTCATTAAACTTTATCTTGCAACGAATTATTCAAACTTCATTGATCACTTCTGATAAAGGTTACATAAATTATTTTGCCCATTACTTGCACGAAAATGAAAAATCAATCTTGGCATCCACTTGGCAAGACAATCGAGATTTCGAATCGGAATGGAATGGAATTATTGTAAATGAGAATGTGGAAACGGCAAAATCCAACAATTTATTGTCAACACCAATAGATGACCAATCGATCAAGCTCAAGTTGATAATCTATATGATAATTCTTAATAATTCTACCGATTCAACAACCTCATTGTTGAAGCAATTCAACAAAATCATCAGTTCGTCAACCCAGGTCACGTCCAATCCATTCACCAACGTATTATTTAAAATGTATTACAACTTGTTAAAGATCCAAACCAACATCAAGTGTGATGAATCGCAATCATTATCCAATTTCATACACAAGAATTTGAAAATTGATAAACTCAAATCACAAATTATTCCCCATGCTTCAATATTATCCTATCAATTGAATGAAAACTTGATCAATTTGATTGAGTTTATCAAGATTGTTGCATTTATATCTACACAATCAAGAGGTAAAACCCAGGATTCAGTCAAGACAACCAAATCCATTTTACAAACAACAACTAATTTAGTAGGTGAATTGAAGAAGTTGGATCTTGTGCAACAACAATATAAAGCCATTGATGAACAGAACATGTCTTTTGATTTGAATAATGAACTTGGATTGGAATTGGATAGGGATGTTTTGGAGAAATCAGTTGATGATATTAAAGAGTCGATTGCGGCTTCGACGAGATCGATATTGAACAATATATAGAAACAGACAATGTATATAACAATTCAGAAGTACAGACTATTGCATTTCCCCCCTGAAGAACTCTAGTTACCCCATGTATTTGTCACGCATCACCCTACAATTTGACTCTCTTGAGTGGCTACAAGTCCATCTGCAATCCCAAACTAGCGCTCATGGATGCAATTCGATTAACTCCCAAACTTAGCAAATACTTTCGATGGTTCAAGTCGCGTTCATTGGCATTGAGTTTGAACTCATCACGCATGAATTTGACTAGGTCATCACGTTCATGATGCTTGTAGATTTGTCGAAGCACGGCTCGATATACTTGTTTGACTCGTTGTTGAAATAAGAATTCTTCAAGTGATGGGACGTTGCGAACATTAGATCGTTGTTTTGATGATGATGATGATCTTGTTGACGCTGAAGCTGCTGCTGATGCATGTGCAGTAGATGAAGTAGATAGTAATCTGATACTTGGTGATGTCGATTGTAGTTTGAGCACTTTGTTTATTTGTAGGCAAATCATGGTGGTGTGGTTGTGTAAAGATTCAATGGTTTGGTTGATGCGCATTTTTCTGCGGTTTTGTTGGCGATGCGGATATCTTTTCGTTTTGCGCTCCGTTTCTACATACTACGAGACAGCTCATAACAAAACCTAGATTCAAAAGTCAGCTATAGAAAGAAAACTGTGTATATAACCAAAAAGGCTAGGGAATATTATCACCATTTGAGATGGCTTAGTCATCATCACTTGACAGCTTCAAGCATTTAATATGGTTGTCCTAGTAGAAATTGATAAAACAGTTGTTGTTGTAACATTTGTCTGATAATGTGCCATTCACATTACAGTTTGGTGTCAATGGACTAAACCTGTACTTGAGATCCATAAACTTCTGAGCAAAAGCAAGATCACTAGTATTCCACAATGGTTTAGCCACATAGTTGTGCCAGAAGGTACCATTCAAAGGCGCATCTTCTGGCCAAGTGTGGTCTGAATCATAAAAATCTCTAGCACTATATTCAATTTCCCACTCTGGCTCTTCACCTCCATTGGTGAAGGTCAAATTCAATTGAGTATAGTAGTTGTATGCATTGATGATGTTGAAACTTTCATGCTCAACTTCGTACCACTTCCACGAAGGGTTATAACTAGTAAATGGAGTTACTGATTGCGCAACCCATGCCATATTGATAACATCTTCAGCAACAGCATCCGCAGCAGTAACATTGCTAGAGTACAATATGGAGAACTCATCCGTGTGGGTATGACCGTAAAACAAATTGGCAACGGTGTAAGGGGAAAATCGTTCAATGATTTTACCAAAGATTCTCGATTGAAGCGGCAATGCATCATTATTGTTTGGTGGAACGTGTGCCATTATCCAAACTCTTTGGCCCTTTTGTTCCGAGTCCACCAATTCATCGACAAGGAATTTCCAATTTCCAAACAAATCCGGGTTAGTAGATTGATCAAGATAATTCCACAAATTGGATACATAGTAGGCATTGGAATTCAAAGCTATGACTTTCAATCCTCTATTGGTAACATATGAGAACCCAGTATAATGGTGTCTCAAATCACTAGCATCCTTCTCATCAAACCACTCTTTATTGATCCATAAATTGACGATATCATCAATATTATATTCGTATGAGTTATTTCTTCCATACTGTGAAGGGGAAAACTGTGCATATGGGAATGCATCATGATTACCCAACGAAGGCAACACCGTGATATTGTTTAAGAAATGTTTCATCAAGTTGAACGACGTCACTTCTGATTCTTTTGTGACATTTGGAGTGGCGTGGACAGTATCATGGTCAACCAAATCTCCAGTAAAAATGAGAAATTCGAAATTCTTTTCCTCATGCAACTTGGCCACTTCAATTAACGAGTTGTTCATCAATAA